CAAGTTAGCTTCATTAATTTTGAATAGAAAGAAAATAATTACATTTGACAACCAAAGTTTTTTTTAAAAAAAAGTATCTATCTCACGTTAATTAAAAATAGATTAAAAGTAATATTTGTCCAAGTTAAACTGATGTAAAATTTGCACACCAATTTATTTAATTTTATTGCTAAATTAATTTATCGATCACAATATTTTTTTTTAAAATTTATTGTAGAATGTGTTTAATGACTGCGACTATTGTTCGATGAATGAAACAGTCATTCGTTGGATCTAAAGCAAACACTGCATTTACTTTTAATGACCTGTGAATTAACGAAGTATAAAATAATTATTTGTACTAAATTGCGAGAGGATAATGTAGAAGGTCATTTAAATCACATGTTCAAGCAATTCGAATATATCATGTGACAGTGAATTTGAAAAAATTATTAATCACTGAAAAAGAACTTCTTTTAGAGATAATTGAACTATCAAGTTGGTTCAATGAATTATAGAGAATAGATAATTGATTTTATTTATCAGATTATTTTTTTTTCATCAAAGGTATTTTATATCTGAGAAATTCAGTCTGTTAAATAGTATTAAAGGGAATAGTCAATTTCCGTAAATACACTGGGATAAAAATTGAATTTTCAATTACTTACAATCTGACCTGTGTCTTTTGATATTCGATCAGTGAAATTCGATTGAGAATCTAATTTCAGTGGACTTGTCTAGGTATATATAGTCTTCTTGAAGTATCTCAGCTCTCCATGCGTCATTTTCTACGCCTTTGCTCTCTGTTCACGTTATTGATTATCAACTGATACATGAAAATAAAAATGCATCAAGTATTAAACATTAAAAATACATATTACAGACTTGGGGGAAATCAGGACAGAATAGAGTACTAGGTTAATAATTCAAAAATTGAGTAAACATGGTTCATTAAATAAATATTTTGAAAATGATGAAAAAATTATTTAGAATATTTCTTTTTTTTTTTTTTTTATAATAAATAATAAATTGTAACAAATATTGAAAAAAATTTCTGACACATGTCATCGTTGATTTATATTTTTTACTGATTTGTTTTAAACTTTCGAGAGAACAAGAGAAACTTAGTTGACAGGAAAAAGGTCAGAAAAGAGGACAACGATAATCCTCTTGGGTTCTCTCCTAAGATTTATTTCCAATGATATTCGATAAGTTTGATTATAAATATGTCTCATTTGAATCCATTTTGGCTGGTATATAAGACATCATAAATTCTCCCAAAATTTATTCCTTTTATATTTGAATTCACCCAATCAAGACATATATTCATGTAAAAATACATAAGTACTAAATTAATGTCTGAGATTGAACGAAATTTTTACGAAAAAAATTTCTAACTTTATGATATTTAGTGTACGAAAATAGACGTTAAAGTTTTATTTTAATAAAAATAAAACTGAGCGGTTTTTGTGACAATACCATCAATATCTATTGAACTTTTATTTTATTTTTCTAGCAAAACTCTGCTGATGCGTGACAACAGCCAAGGATAAAGAAACCATTCAACCTCTAAAGGGGTCAATTTTGGCCACTTTTTAAATCAATGACATTGTCTTGATGTATTTAATAACATCAAATAAGTGCGAGGCGCATCCCGCCACGATTTGTCAGACTGACTGCAACGAGTCCAGGTATTACAACGTGCCGTGAGGCCCAATCGCGACGAATATCGCGATTTATCGGGCCTCGCCAGCACTCTCGGCCACCTCCACATCCTCCACCCCACGTGGCTGCACAACTATCTGATAAGGTGAATTGAGATTTGAATAATTTTTTAAAAATTATTATTCCGTCACAATGACAAAGAAGTTTTTTCTTATATTGAAAAAGATTAACTTGACGTATGAAATTTAATAAACCATATTTTTCGAGTTGAATTATTGATAAGCATATTGATGATTCCCACGCTAAGTAACCCCATTCAAAGTAACCTCGAACAAAATTACCCACAAAAATAATGACCTGGAAAAATACACTGTCGATCCTTAAATTATTAAAAGTAATTTAATCGATAATGCATTCTTAATTAACATAATTTTAATTACACTAATATTCTAAAAAAAAATTTTCGGTTATATAAATTCATTAGGGTTCTTAGAAAATTTCAATTACGGACTTGGTGTATTTTCTGCTAATTATTTATAAAGTTAATGAAATAATTAATGCATTAACAAAAATTTTTAAATAGCATGATTAAAAAAAAAAACTTTAACGTAATTTAATATTTTTTTGAATTACTCATTATCATATTGATTGAAAAGTCAACATTTAGAGTGCTTTTTAACTTTAATATTTTTTTTTTAAACTAAATTATGAGATTAATTGACAAAGCTGAATAAATATGACTAATTACAGAACTTTTAAAATATAATTATCGAACAATTTTGACTCAATATCCATGTTTTGTGTAAAAATAAACAAATTGCTATTTGATAAACGAAACTGCATTAAATTTTTAAATTTCAATTAGTTTTCAATGTGCTCGTGGATTTTGTTCTTGTCAATTTTTTGATTTGTTTAACGTACAATAAATATAATATCTACTGAAATTTATACTGTCAATATAAATAGAGTATTTCCACTTCAATATGCATTACCAAACATGAGTTATTTGTTTTCTGTCATTGTCATGATGTATAGTTCTATCATTTATGGAAAATAGTCATCGTTCGTTGCATTACAAACAAATTTAAGAGGTCAAATGCAATCAGGCCATTTTACACTTGAACAATTGTTTAAAAATTATTTCCAATTATCAAATTGTCATTCATTTAGAATTGTTCTATTTAGGTTTCTTTTCAATTATACCACATGTAATATATCCAACTCTTTATTGCTAATTATTTTTCTCCACTGAAATGCTTTGTCATAAATAGCTCTCCAATAATGTGTATAATATAATATCCAAATTAATTAAAGCTTCATTGAGTCGATAATTGAGTCACTTATTTCATTCTATCCACATGTCATTCTTATCACAATTAATTATATCAACTTGTTAATTAGTTAATTTTGTGAGACTATTGATAAATTACCTGAATAAAAATTATATAAATTTAGTTACAACTATATGTATATTGTTGAATTTATTTTAACAACATACCATAGAATAAGTCATATTTATAAATCTAAACTGTCACATGGTTACATGCTGCGTTAATCCAAAAACTTGTGTACAGGAAGTTTGATAAAACTCGTAAGCTCTCTCTATCTCTTGTACTGCTTACTGTCATTTCAGATATCATAATTTAGCCAAGCATATTTTTGTTTTACTTTGTGAGAGTTCTACTAATAAAAGATAACAATTCCGTCTTAAATAAAACAATATGTATTATTTTTAAAAGATTTAACTGAAAATGATTAAATGGTGATATAGGATCATCATTGTTTTAGGATATAATCAAAATGATGAACAGATATTGGGAGAAATTGATTAAATGTTGAAGTGCAATAGATAAAATAGATTATCTATTACATTTAGAGCACGTCTTCTATTGATACCCTATTGACATTGAAAGGTATCATCCAACTAGTATTACCTACCACAATCTAAATGTACTGAAGCTTGATTAGTGTTTGCTGTAAGTGCAAAATGCATTTCTGTAATAGTAGTAAATGTCGTTTTATCATCTAGAATTGAGATACTCCAGTACTTCTTCATTGGTTTACTGAAACATGGATTGTCAATTAATGTTCTTATAATAATTATTGTTTAATAAGCTACAAGTAAGAAATCATGAATTTTGATTCTTGTTTAAGTGTACAGAAGTAATTGAGGAGTTTAAGTAATTACATGGCAGTTGAGATAAGTAACTTTCATCTAGTTAAAATTCAAGTATATTTTGCATTGCATTTGAACCTAAATGAGACATCTTTGATAATTTAATAGTACTGAGAGTTGCCCTGGAGTCTAAAGTTTCAAATATTCTCCATATTCTGTAATTGCTGTTTGCTCTGATTATAGTGTAGATATTTAGTTCTATGGCACTGGTGGAATTTGATTAGAAAAACATAAACGTCCAAGAAATAACATTAAATACATAATGTTACATAAATTAAAGAATAGAAATGATAAAATATATCAGAGAAAATGGTAACATAAATTTTTAATCTCATTTCTTCTTTAAAAACAACTTTAGTAATTTTCCAAGTAATTTATTTCAGTTACTCTATTTGAACACACATTTTAATTCAACTTCAATCCAACTATATATTTCCAAAGTTTTAAAAATTTTCCTTCAGAATAAGTTGATTAAAAAATTTATTTCAATACATTTATTGCTAAATCTACTGTATAAAATGGATAGTTGGTACTTGCAATGGGATTAATCTATTGCAGCTATGTGTAGAACTATATTTCATCAAAACCATAAGTCTCCTAAAGGTAATATAGTTACTAGGCCTTACTATTTGTACAAGAAGTTGTTTGCATAAGTCTACATACATATGTTCTGGAATATACATATGCAGTTGAATATGATTTAATACCCAAGATCGTTATAGTCGTTAAAGGAGTCATATTGTACGCATGCTCGACTTATAAGGACGGGATATTTTGTTTTCAAAGTGCATTATCTTGTAATGTTGAATATGTTATTCTTCAGTCAAGCATTATCTTATTCATATCAAAATATCTAACTATCTGTGTACGAAGAGAAGATTTTCTTTAATCTCTCAGCCTTTGTTATGTCTTCCTCTACATAAATCTTCGTGTGTGTTGATGGAATACCCAAAAAGCCTTGTTCTAGAAGAGCTTCAACAGACACTAATACAATCAGATACGCTGTTTTCTGAAGCTGAAAAATTAAAAATTATGCTGATACATATTATCTTTGTTGCTAAAATTTAATCATTCAAATTATTAATTCAGAATTATATTATTTTGACAAAAATTTTTATTCATAACAAAATAATGTTTTAAAAGAGATGTTATTATTAAAATAGTTGGATTTGTTGCAGAGCTGGAGAAGCGGCCGCAGCCGCAGCTGCCTCGGAGCTCTGAGGAGCTGGAGGATTTGCACAAACTGCTGCACTTCCCCGAGGAGGTAGCTCTTAGATTGACAGAAAGCGAATATCACTTATTTTATCAAGTCCAGCCGAGCGAATATTTGAAACGTGCAACACAAGACTTAGCATCTTCAAATAGTAAAACACTAGTCAGACCTCAGGAATCAACTTCTACAACAAACAGTTCAACACAAACGGATGAGGATCCATTGTGGCCAGGTGCGACATCATCGTACACTGTACAGTCTCTCATCAACCGGCTAAATGAGGTACTCTTATTCTTCCAACTCTTTGTCATCATGAATTACACTTATTTTGTTGATGTAGTCAGCTTTTTCATACATCATAATTTTGAGTATTTTGACCTCAAACTATCATTGCATAACCTTCAGCTGGAGTTTCTTTCGTTTATTGTGTACTTTTTTTTGTATTTGCACGTTAAAAAGTGTTTCAAGTTACTTGGAAATTCCTCATAAATAAACTAGTTGCTTGAAGAATCAAGTTAAAGGTAGTCTCAGGAATAACAGTATCTGATTTAAAGCTAATTTTTTCAACTTCAGAATGAGTAATTTATTTTTAAAAGAATTTTAACATTCATTTGTAGAAGATGTATGAGAGCTTATTATTTAAAAAAGATATTACTACAAGCTAAGATTAAAGGAGTCAACCTTCAAGCAATTGCCTATTACTCTTCTATAAGCTATAGATTTATTGTATCCAAATATTGATTCAATGTGGTACTTGTTTCAGGTAAACTCATGGGTAACTCACACAATAACAAGTGGCTCGACAATCGAAGAGCGTCAAGCTCTTCTTTCATGCCTCTTGCGAGTTGCTCAGACCTGTTGGAATATTGGCAACTTTAACTCGGTGATGGAGATCATCGCTGGTCTCAAGTAAGTTCTTTATTACGCATAAATTAAGAGGTAATAAAAGTATTACAGAGTTATTAAAAAATAACTTTATAAATACTGATCGACTACCAATATTTTTACTCTTACTGTTCAGAATAAAGTTGAAAAATTTGCTTTCATCAAACTGAGTTTTCTGAGATTGGAAAAAACATCTATTCCCTTCTGAAGTTTTATAAAAAAAAAAAAAAAACATGTTCGAAATGATTAAGTCGTTTTACAGTGATAAAATTTGTGAAAATGTACACTTCTCAATCATAATCAATTTTTGTATTCATCACTCTAGAGAAAAAAAAAGATTCTGTCAAGTAGGCTTTGATTGATTCACCACCATGATGTCAAAAGTTCAATATTCATATCTCTCTCTTTCTCTGAATAGTCTTGATTTATGCCTCGTTCTCTTTTTGCATTGAGAAATGGATTTATTGCTGTGAAGAACAAAGTTATAGAAAGATGGGAACGTCAAAGTTGTTCAAGTCGTTGAGAGTTGACGATTAAAAGCATCCGCCTACGAGTATAAAAAATTAATAGACAGTAAAAGAGAAATACCAAATTGATTTGTGTATAAGAATCTTTACAGTTGAAAGACTATATTTTATATGTATTTAATGAAAAATAATCTGTTGAATAATTCATTAACAATAATCAATTTTGCAAAAATACATGGTATATTTTAGTTACCCAACACATCTGGTCTATATCAGCAGCTTCTTCCGTAAATCCTCCATTAATGTGTAGCGTAAACTTTTACGAGTATCTACAATTTCCGTGAGCAATACAAACATTCCAGATCATTTATTTTATTTGAGAAATATAAAAAGAATATATCTATAAACATTATTGTATTGTAACAATGATATATAAAATTATAGCAGTAGTGAAGATTTTATCTAGTAACCAACAAGCATCATAAAGAATTCTTTGAGCCAATTAAAAAAAGATAGCAGTTAATAGCAAAACTTTTATTTGATCAGTAAGAAAGAAATAAACTGTTGATAGTATTATTACGGAGAAATAAAAATTTATTTTCACTGAGAAAAATACTTTTTCACTTCTTTTATATGAATTATTGATAATCACCACAAGAATTTTATGATTTTTTTCTGGTTTAAATAAATTTTTTTTCTCTATATTTTAACGATGAATGATTTTATCTGTAAAAGTACTTTTTATTTCAAACACGTGAAAGAATAAAATCATTTTCATGTGATAGGTCAAATAAATTAAAGCCATTCTGGCAAAGCGTTAATGAACCACCAGTACTGGAATACCTCTCATCAGCTTTACTGTCTTCCGAGTATGAACGAGCTTTGGCACGAGCTCTGGCAATGCCCGAATGTCCAGTTATACCTTTCTTTGGGACCTTTCTACGCGAGTTACGAGAAGCTATTACGAGTGTTACATCTAAGGTAAAACCTCTCATACATATTATAATCAAATTTAGTAGGTTTTTGTATCTCATTACTTCATGTAAATCAACTACAATAACACATTCGAAAAAAAAAACTTGGAACGTGTGCCATAAAATAGTTGAAAAGTATCGATAGTGAACTTTATGAGGAATGAGTGCAATAAGTAAGTGTGAGTTTCCGCATAGTTTGGTGACTAAACAATTTGAAAACTCGCCAGCTAAGTTTGACGATAAAATTCTTTAGGTTCTCTTCTTGATGCTGTGAATTTTGGACATAAGAATAAGGAAAAAAAATGAATAAAAAGTGTAAGGTCAAGCTGTAAGGAAAAGTCGATGGAACAATAAAAACTTGAAAACATACAGAAAAGCTATTGAAACAAATGACCAGACTAATAGTGGTAATAGTGACTGTAACGACTGACGATAGTATAACTATAAGGACGATAGTGGAAACCTTTTCAACATTTGTAACTGCCTTCGCAAAATGTCACTCACCCCAGTCGAATTACCTCCTTTTACTAGTTTTCCCGGAATTTCCCAAGAGAAGTGGACTTTGCGGCCGTTTTTCTTGAAAAGGGATCATGCTTTTTATGTCAGGTATTGAATTGACGGAATGTACACAGTGGATATGAAAATATGTGGAGTAATATATGAGGGATATATGCTTATGATGTTATATAATAAAATTGAGTGAAAGTGAATGATAAAAAACAAAAAAAAACAAATGTTTGAAATATTTCATGAAATCATCCAAAAAACTGACATTGAGGTCAGGGGTTTCTATCGGCCTCCAGCAGCACTGACGGTTGTAGGCCGGCGGAAACTACTTGCTCTCGATGTCGATATTCAACGATCCTGTTGTAATGTATTGTATTCAATACTCTGTGAAAACCCTTATTAATATCCGCTGGTTATGGCCATTATTCGTGCAACAATTGATTATTATTCATCAGTAACACCTATTGCGAGTTGTGTCGTGGATCAGTGCTTGTATTTATTGATCCAATCATTGAGACTATTGTCACTCCGGATGCTATTGTAGTAATAATGACATAAAATATTGAATATTTTTATTGGTTTTATCGTGTTTTAATTGAATGAATCATTTTAGAAGTAACATCAATCAAATTTATCTAAATCCGTTAGTTGCTTTAAGAAAAAAATGTATAGTAAATTTTTAGATGAGAGTAGAACTGAAAAACATGTTGGTTTAAGAACCTAAGAAATAGATGAGAAAATTAATAATGGAATGTCAAATTGAATTATCAATTATCATCATCATAATGTTTACCAACAGTTTCAAAGTCAAACAAGTAAATGTTGATTATTTCAATATGTTCAGCAACAAGCAGGGTGTAAAGAGAAGAGAAATCAACGCTGTATCAGCAAAGAGGGCCCAATACTTGAACACGTGCCTTCGACCTCGCCAAGTCCACGGGTCGAGAGCAATGTTGATGTACCTTATGAGTGGAGTTCATTCAAAAGTGGTACCAATACTGAAGAGAATACCGATAGCACGCATAAAACGGAAGCTGTCTTAAATAAAATTGCACTTTTTCATCAACATCGTCATGCTCGTGGTAGAGATGCAACCACTGGCTCATTACATCGTACCTTAAGTGTCCACACTACAGCACTTGAACAAGCATATACATCTGAAGAGTGTGACGAGAATGACTATCACCTCGACCTGGATTCATACAAGCCGGTTCAACCCCTTGTTGCCGACCATGGCGTCGCTCTTTTTCCTGTCGCTGCACCCCATCATGGAATGGACCTTCATCTGCTTCAGGTACAAAATTTTTTATCGATTATTAAGTTTACAAAGCATTTTATTGACATTTACTACACAAATAGCTTCAACAGAATTCGAAAACAGACTATTTTTGTTGACAAGACAACTTTTTCTTCATCTTTCTAAACGGTTTTAAACTTTTGTTTATATTAAAAGTTAAACATCGAATCATTCGCTTGTTGGAATTCGCAAAAAGGTTTTATAAAGATAGAAACTGTGTGAGTCAGCTATAAAATATATGAATAATTCAAATATAAATATTTTATAAAAATTAATTGTCATACATTAAAATATTTGCATTTTCAGTATATTGATGAAAATAATTAATGAATATACTTATTTAAATAGATTCTGCTACATCTATTTGTACAGTTAATTGCTCATTAACTTCTCTCAGTATTTTTTGTACTAGAAAATCTGTCCAAATACTTGGGTAAACCTTTAAAATCTTTTATGCTGTATTAAATTGCTATTAACTTGAGTGAATTAACAATCGCTCTTTTATTGAGTTTTTATGAGTTTTCGTAATTTATAGCTGCAACTATTTAAGAAATTTTACTTCTATAAAAGTGTATTCAACACATCTAATGTTTTCATGCAATTAAAAAAACAATTATTCTTTTTTTTTATCAATCATATTGAAATAAATTAAAAAAAAAGAAAATTGTTAAGCTGATATTTGTATTCTTTGTTGAATAAATCCTTGCAAAGATTAAAAATCAAAAAATGATGTGTAAATTATATGAAATACAAATTCTTTCTCGTAGGTACTTCATCATGGAACCACCCTAGTACATTGGGACTGTGAAGGAACTGGCTCTCGAACGGCACTAGTGTACGCACGAGTCGATCGCGCCTGTGGGACATTTGTCTGGGAAAAGCCGGCATGGAGTCCTCTCAAAACGACTGGTATTGGAGGCGTATCTAGTGAATTTACATTGACAGTGAATCCAGAAGAAAATGTACCTCCAATCCTCATATCAAAATATACATCGCCACAGGCTGATTGCGCGTCTGTCAGCCTTGAAGAGGGTTATCTGGATCTCAACTCTGTCAAAGAAGTCACTATCGGTTGCTGTGATAAAGACAGGGAAGCAGAACTTCGTGGCATATGCAAAAGATATGGCCTTCCGGGTTCTGATTCCTGTATTGGACTGATGTATGGCTCAAGTTTATCTGATAATCGACTCATTTTTCTCCTTGGACCACCTGCCCTAAGCAAGTAAGAATATCATAAATATAATCATTTCAATCGAAAACTTTTTAATTTTATGAAGATTGTTTTTTTTACTGATCAATTGACATCAAGATTTATGGAGTCGATTTATTGTATATTTTTTTTGCAATACTTAGAATTGTTTATTACCAGAAAAATGTTGCTTTTCAAGTGAAAATAAGATTTCGATATATAGAGTGATAAAATAAAAAATGTTTTCAGACTTTGGTATATGGGTCTCTGCTGGATTTTACGAGGTTTGAAACGTCAGCAACAGTTAACAGATAGACGATCAAGGTGGCTGAAAGAAAAATATCTTCAACTCTACTTCGAAGAAGGCTGTGTAGAACCTACCACTGCTGATGCAATTCGTATATTTGGTGGACGAGATTGGTCCACGACTGATAGCATTGGTACTCTTTCACCAACCAATAGCAGTAATCTCCGACGACGTAATCCCAAACCTAGCAAGAAAACTAAATCTATTAGCAATATTCATGCATTAACAAAAGTAAATTTAATTTCTTAATAAATTCAATTTTCTCATTAATTATCATTACAAGTAAAATTTTAATTTATCAATAGGAATTAAGTTTAAAGCAATATGATTCATCATCATCGGATGGTGGTATTGGAACAGCCCCGTTACGTCATGGAAGTCGAGAGTCTTTAACAAGAATTGTACCTACTTCACCACGTTCTAGTCGAGATCGTATTCCACCACGTAGTCCACCTGGCTCAGCTGAACGTATGTTCTCTGCAAGTTTACCCTACTCCAGTTTACAAAGGTATATCAGTTATGATTGGTTTTAATTTACTTTAAAAGTTTTCTAATATCTTGTAACAAAGTTACAAGTAGCATTAATTCTCTATCTAGAGGATGTTATTTACTTCGTTCACATACATACATATATCGCGTATTGATATTGTTTTGAATTAGTTCTTTACTTAGAGTTAGTTCAAGTAATAGTAATTTAATTTTGATACAACTCATTGTAAATTTGAAGTTTTCAAGTATCACTTGTAGCTAATTCTAGTCATTGTAAATTAGGAAAGTTACATAACACAGAGAGATCAAAGTATCGTATTTACTGATAGATCAAATATATATTTGTTGATTAAGTTTAAGTTGTATACATCTTTCTGAAACTTTGCATAAAATCATTACTTATAGACGTATTTCGTTATAGCTTGCTTTGTCTGACAAGAGATAAAGATAAGAATGGATCTAATCCTCCGTCTGGAGTAATGGAAACTCCTTGGCAAGTTAAAGCACGTACAACGTCCATCATGTACGAAACTCAGCTTAATTTTGTTGAGTTTGTTGCATTATTCAGATCATTCAGTTTAAGGGCGCGAAAAGACTTACGCGATCTTTTTGGACAACTTGCTATTACCTGTCGCAGTCAAAGTGATGGCTCTTTACGTGATTTTACTATGAAACCTTCAGTTTTAAGACAAACTAGTGATGCAACGCCACAACGAATTGGTTTGTATATATTATTCCTACACCACATTATTAAAAATATATTAAAAGCATTCTTTTGTACTAGAAAAAACTTTTTTTTCGTAGGATTATTAACGAGAAATAATTCTATTGACTCTCATGAGTATAAAACAAGTGGCAACCTTCACAAAAAACAGATATTCGATGCTATTGCTGCTGCCAGTATTGTTAACAATTGTTCCGGTGTTGATACATCTAAATCTCAAGTAATAACTCTTGCGACTTTTACGAAATTTTTAGAATCACGTCAACAGGAAAAATTATCTGATGAACAAATTAAAGCGCTTATCAAGGTATGTTTGATACAATTATTCTTAAAATACACGATCGATAGTTACATAGTCAATTTATTCTATTAAAAATTTAGAGACATGAACCTGATCCTGCTTTACGGGTACAATGGTGCTTATCTTTCGAAGGATTTGCTCGATATATGATGGATAAAGATAATTATGCATTTCCCGATGAATACGCTGTCCCCGATGATACTGATATGCAACAGCCTTTGTCACAATACTACATAGCAAGCTCACATAATACTTATTTAACGGGCCATCAACTAAAGGGGGAATCATCGGTTCAATTATATTCTCAAGTAAATATATGTTTAAAATTTAATTATGTAATATCTATCAATTTTCAAGGATGACAGTTAAAAAAAAATCTAGAAATCACGATAAAATTTCTCGGGAAAATTTTTATGCTATAAATGATATCTATAGAGTAGAATCGATAAATTTCATCATGATGCATTATTTCTATTACTTATCAGGTACTTCTAACTGGATGTCGATGTGTTGAACTAGACTGTTGGGATGGTGATGATGGTTCGCCATTGATTTATCACGGTCATACATTTACAACAAAAATTCCTTTTAGATCTGTTGTTGAAGCCATTGATAGAAGTGCTTTCGCCACTTCGCCATATCCAGTTATTCTTTCAATAGAAAATCATTGTACGCAAGCTCAGCAAGCTCGTATGGCTCAAATATTTCAGGTAATTCTGTGAAAAATAAATTATTAAGTCATGTATTGTAATGATAATATTCTTTGATTCTTATATCGTTTATATTTTGTGTTTCAGTCAGTGTTTGGTGATAAATTAGTGACGAAATTTCTTTACGACTCGGATTTTGGTGATGATCCTCAACTACCTTCACCCTCTCAGCTACGTCATAAAATTCTTATAAAAAATAAAAAACTTGTCACAGATCCGACGCCACCATTAGCTCATCCACATGTATGCCACCGATACAAAATATTAATGTCGGATCGTGCATCTTCTATGAAGCAAATGAGAACAGAAATGAGTAGTGCTTCTGTTGTAGAATATTTCAGTGAAGACGATGATGATGAAGAGGACGACGATGAAGACGATAATGTAGATGGTATGTAATTGCTATGACATAATCATTACCATATATAATAGCCATGAATAGTATTATCATATAATCTTTATAATAATCTTACAGATAATTCAATTTCAAGTTATGAACGGTATCAAGGGGGTAATCAAATACCACATTCTCGTTTAAAGTCAGATCCTGCGGTTGATGATAAGATACAAAAACAGAGCAGCCAAATTGCAAAAGAATTGTCAGATTTAGTTGTATATCTACAAGCAATCAAATTTAGAGGTTTGAATACAGCGCCTGGGACAATACCTGCAACAAAGCCTCGACATCAAAGTCATACGGGAACTGTACAAAGGCACAGTATCGCTGGAATTGGAACTGGTGGTATAGCATCTTCTACTGGCTCTCCCCAGTCGTTATCTACTTCAGTGTCAGTAGCAAGTGGTGGAAGTAATATTGATGCTTTATTCAGACCAACTCGAGGAATACCCGCCTGTTTTCAGTGTTCATCATTAAATGAAAGTGCTGCGAAAAAAATTTGCCGTAAACAACCACTGGGAGTCGTTGCACATGCTGAGACCCAACTGATCCGTACATATCCTGCTGGAATGCGTATTGACTCATCGAATTTTAATCCTGTTATATTTTGGGCATTTGGTATTCAAATGGTGGCACTCAATTACCAGACGGACGATGCAGCATCACATCTAAATGCTGCTATGTTTGAACAGAATGGTCAGTGTGGGTATGTGAGAAAACCCGCTGTAATGTGGGACAAAGGGCACATGATGTATCGGCGATTCAATCCTTGGGACAAGGAATTCGACGGATTACACTCCGTACATTTAACTTTATCTATTGTTTCGGGTCAATACATTTCGCCAACTAATCTGCTCGCAAGTACGTATGTAGAAATCGAGCTCGTTGGAATTCCGATTGATTGTGCTAAACATAAAACCAAGGCGATACAGAATAATGCACTTAATCCTATTTGGAATGAAAAATTCTGCTTCCAAGTTATGTTTCGAGATTTAGCCTTTCTACGATTTAGTATTGTTGAAGCTAATTCCCACCATTCAATTGCTCAGCGTGTTCTGCCTCTCAAGTGCCTCAGGCCTGGATACCGACATGTGCGTTTACGTTCCTGTAAAAATAAACCATTGGCATTATCAACCCTTTTTATTTATTCGCGAATGGAAGAGGAAAGTTTGGATTACAACACTTGTTGTCGTGATCACAATAAAGAGTCTAAACGTCCAACGTCCGGTAAAACTCCTGAAAAACTTAGCAGTGTTGATCCAGGTCTTGGTGGTGTAACTTTAAAACGGCGAATGTTCTTCCTGGCAGTTTACGACGTTACACCGGGTGAACCATACACTATTTTAAAAGTAACACAAGAAAGTACAACACAGGAGGTGATGCTACAAGCTCTTCAAAAGGCCGGAATATCAGCAGAACATGTAGATGAATACATTTTAGTAGAGGAGGTATCTAGAGGTTGGGAGAAAAAAGATCGTGAGGAACTACCAACACAAAGAGTATTAGATCCGGCTGAACATCCACTTCAAGCTCAAGCACTTTGGAAAGGCGCGGGTCGCTTCTTGTTAAAACGAGTTGGTAATGATCCAAGCAGTCGAGCATGGCTGGCATCAATACGAAGTACGGCAGGACATTCAAAATTAAATGAAGAAAGTGAACATGATGAATCAACGCATATTTGGGATGAAGCTGACACTTTTCTTGTGTGTATCTACAATGTATCGCCTGAAATTCCATATGCTATTTTACGTGTTCCTGTGAGTAGTTCTGCACAGGATGTTCTAGCACAAGCTCTAGTGAAAGCTCGAAGAATGGAAGATCCAACTAAATTTGCTTTAGTGGAAGAGCTTGAGTGGGGTGGTACTGGTGCTGTCGGTAGTGGTAATCATCAGTTGCGTGTGTTGCGCGATGAAGAAAATGTTTATAGCACTCAAGCCATGTGGAAAACGCTTGGAAGATTTATATTACGCGAACGAGAGCAAGCTATTCCTCGAAAACACCTGCTTCCAGCTACGTTAGACAGAATAAGTAAGGGCTTCTCAGTAGGTAGATCAGTGTCATTACCCGGCTCCAGCAAAGAAAAAGTTCCGGTTGCCGAGGCTCTATCCGATCCGACTTCAAGAGGCCTGCGTTATAGACTTTTAATGTCTGGACGCAGACGGGAGGTACACTCGGACGGTGAGGAGTCTAGGGAATCAGACATCCTCAATGCTGCTTTGTACTTAAAGAAAGTGTCATTGAGGAAATTCCGAGTCTGGAAATCTTAGTGGCAATCACGAGCGACAATACTCTCATCATTGTTTATTCTTCACAAAGATGATTCACTTCCATCAACTAAGGACTAACAATTAATTTTCTATCATTATTTTACTATCCATATCATCGTCATTATTTAATGTATGAGAGTCAAGTCGCTCTTATTCTCACACTGAATAAAAATTTCTAGTCATGTGAGGATTAGATTGTTAGCTGGAGATGGGATACGTAAAGTAAGAATTTAAATAATGAGATATTTATTGAGAAACTCTTTTTCTATTTTTTTCTACTCTTTGCGTTTTTGTGTATTATTCCTTACTGTAATTTATTTATCATTAATTATAAAATTAAGATATAATAATGTAAAACTTCATGAGACTAATAATTAATTTAAATGGTATTGATCATGGGATGAATTAAATCAACATGTTTATCTAGACATGTTTTCCAGATATTTACACTTAACTTATAGATATGTTTATAAACGTATTAAAGTAATGCATAAAATGTAGAACGCATATAAATACATCGACGCAGGCGACGAAGGTTATTAAAAATGCTTAACAAAGCCATTAAAAATGATTTTTGAAAATACAAATATTTAAAAAAAAAGATTTGTTAGTGTTCAAAACGAATTATGTGACACTCAATGCCTAAACTTGTAGAAACGTGTGTGTCAAAATAACCAGATGAACACTTAAATATTAAATACATTATTTTTAATACACTTGAAACTTATTGAATTTTTCAATAGTTTGTCAACTATTAAAATATAAATTAATTAAAATAATCAATTATGTAAAGTTTGTTAAAGAATTTAATATTGTTACAGGCAATTAATAACATAATAGAATTTGCTTAATTCAATAGTTATAAATAGTGTGAGTTTCATTAAAGTATCAAAGATATCAAATAGATTATTCCAAAGTTTGGTAAACTATAGATAAATATTGCGATTTTGATTCATCCCATGATTGAATTTTATTTATTATCTAAATTTTTAGACTCCTATTGAGTAATTGTTCAGAAATGAAGTTCTGATTTTTAACTCATTCGAGAACTTATTTTTATTATGAATTATGTTAATTTGTTATTATATGATAAATTAAAATTTTTTATTAAGTCTAATTCGATTGAATAATTGAATAATAATGTGCAATATATTTTTTATTCTAAATTTAAAGACTAGCTCATTTTTGAACGGAAGAAATGTTTTCTTGAATGAAGAAATTTAAATCTCATTTTTAAATGGAACTTTATTTCTACACAATTACTTGATTTTTTACTCAATCTGTGAGATAGAAAATACTTTTGTTACTTAAACTATTGATACGAGTATGGACTGAATTCAAACGTGTATTAAATGGTATTAATGTCATTGAAAATGGTCAATTGTTTGTCAATAGCCAAACTATTTTAAATGATAATCTCTGTCCTCCGTGTGTAATTAAGATTCAATTTATCTATAAATGTCGTGTCTCATACATCAATCTATTGTATTTTGTTATGTTTGCACAACGAAACAATTTAACTGGCATCATTGACTATTTGATAATATTAAAAAAAATTTATAATGTTATTCATGATTTTGATGATAAAAATTATTTTACATAAAAATTTCAATATTTGCGTTTTTAATATTATACACATTTCTACATCATATCTTGAGTACAATAACCTTTATAATTTTATTTATCTTTTTTTGTATTATATACCTTTTTATGACTATTTATGATAAAAATATTTATATCCAAACATTTTATCACGTTTGGCATGAAAAAAAAAAAATTATCAATGTTGTTTTACGTGTCATTCACACGTTAAACTAGATTTGGAATTAAAATTCAAAGGGAGGAATCATTGAAATAAATATCTCACAAAAAATGAATTATATATATTTATAGGTCATATCTACCTAAATCGTTACATTAGATTATATATGCATTTTAATGTATCATTCTTTTTTAGATAATTGTAATTTTTTTTACATGATAAAAATTAGAATTTCTTATAGATACTTCATATGATAATGAAAAAGTAGTAATTCTTTTATGAATTTGATCGTTTTAGAAACAAATACTTTTACAAAGAAAAATCATTAAATCATTAAATTAATATAAGACATTGATCAAATGTCCTAATAATAAAAATTTTAAAAATTATTATATAATTAATGATATTCAGGAACTCATAGTTAATGAAATGATGAAAAAGTGTTTTCAAGTTTAATTAAAAATTAGGAATGTTTCAAGATTGTAATAGTAGCAGCTTTCAAAAATTGGCATATGTAATAGTGTATTTGACAAAACTACTTTTTAACCTTGGGACCATTGTCATAAGATTAACCGACTTCTTGAGGTCAAACAGTATTAATTTAAACAGTACTCATGACTAGTCGAAATATAAAGAATTAAATCTCTTATTCATAACGCCACTGGCTATTACATAATATTTTCGTTTAGAATTTAATAACCCTTGAGTCTTACGACGATTTTAATCGTCTAATTATTCATTTTCCAAGTAAATTTTGGAGTGCATAATAGAAAGCTATCAACTTTATGTCAACCCAATTAGACAATCGATGATTATTTGATTATCTTAAAGCTGGTGTAAAACCTTTATTGCTGCCTGTGCGCAACTAAATAGTTGAATGGTTTGAATCTTTACCATTCGGGGGCTGTAGAAAAAGAATAAACTAAGTTTATTATTAAAGTCAAAGAATTAAGATATAAACTGAACATTAATCTGATACCTGATATATATCTTTTATGTACATATCTAAAAAAATTTATAGTACTTATGAGCACAGTTTTTAAACTTGTATGTATGTTTTTTAAATCAAAAAATACTCTAAGTCATACAAAAAAGCCAAAGTTTTTTATTATTCTGTTATTCATGTCGTTAAAATAATTATAAAATTGTTATTGTCATTAAGTTTTTTTTTTAATATTTTATGCTGAATACTGAAAAATTGAGAAAATTTCTAGATTTATCACGTTTAAACATTAATAATGATAATAATAATAATTAAAACTGACTTGACAATACGAGCCTAATTATGATGGCTATCTGCTCTTGTTTAACACACTGCATCTAGATTACACATAATATTTATCATTTTTTCATAAAAACACACTTTTATACTGAAGCGCAAATGTTTAAACTTACATTCAAAATTAATTTATAATAATGGGCAACGAAAAGTGACCCAATTCTATTCTTTGCTCTCTTTTCTTTTCTGTCTTAACTTTTCTTTAGTATCCTTTATTCCTATCCCTTTTAATTCAGTTTCTTTGCTAATTTTTTGTTGTATAAGTTGTATTAAACCATTATTAAAACTTTCATTGTGATTCAAGTAACAATTTGTTTCATTTTACTATCGTATTTTGTGATATTAACATAACGTATGAATTTTTTATAATTGTTAATTTTCTGCTTTAAGCATGATATAAATTCTCGAGATGTCGGTTGTTCATATTTTAATTGTAAGTGAGCTAATTATAAATTATAAATAGAAAATAAAATTATGAAGATATGACGTTAAATTTTAAGTACTGGAATTGTTTACAAGTTATAGATTGAGAGTGAATTTTTTGGCGAGTGCTATTTATAAGATTATAAATTATAAATATAAAACAAATAGATGAAAAAATAATATGTTATAAAAGAATTAACACTCTCAATAGACGCGCCAAAAAAGTAGGTGAAACTAATTGCACACATTCAAAATTTAAAACTGATATTTAATTCGGTGCAACATGAACAATATTAAATTTTTTTTCTTTCTAAATTCAGGTAATTTCAACATGACCCAAAAAATAAGGCCATTTAAACTGCATATATATTAAACAAAGATAAATAAATATATAAATATATATATATATATATATAAATGATAAAATAATATAACTATTATTATAATTACTATAATACTAATATTACAATTGTTGAGAGATCTACATGTAAATAAAAAGAAAGATCATTTTTTATAAAAAATGTTCATGCCACATTATTTATCCTGTTATAATAAATTATATAACATTTATTTACTTACGATAAATTCATCAATGTGTTTATTATATTTATAATTCAATCGTATTACTATATTTGTTGTGTAAGTTTTTATTTACGTATCTGTATGATGATGGTAGTATATTTGACATTCTTATCAGTACTTATCAAATGACTGAACTTATTTTAACTTTCTATTAAGTAGTCTCAGTAAAGAGTGTATCTGATACACAGTTGAGAAAATTACATAGCATTATTCACGTCAATAGTTTCCTAATCATGCCGGTAATTGAAAAAAATAGTAGTAAAAAGTACTGAAGTATTTCAATTTATAATTTAATTTCATTTGTAACTTATAGCGTTTGCCATATAACTTCCGGGGCTACATTGCACCTGTCTTTACACCTGTTACTGCTGAAAAAAAGTAAGAATAACAATAATAGTTTAATTTAGATAATTATTATAAAATATTTTGTTTTAACTAGTTTGAACCTTTCAATAATTTCGGAGTATGCAAAATATTTATCTAAAAATGGAATTCAAGGTGTTCTGGGTAAGAAATATGGGCAATATACTTTTTTTGCGTTCTGTCAAATTTTTTATACATGTGTTATTGAAAAGTCAATGGTACAAGTGGAGAAGGTATGTCAATGTCAGTAGCAGATCGTAAAAAAGTAGCTGAAGCATGGGCAGGTGCTATAAAAGAAACAAGACAGCATTTAATGATCCAAGTTGGAGGTGCTTCTCTTCCTGACGTAATTCAACTCGTGAGTAAAATCAATTAATCTTAACATTTGTTCATGTAGAACAAAATAGTAATGATGAAGAACTTATTTCAATTTGTGTTGAAAACTATTAACTATTCATTAGGCAAAACATGCCGAGAAAATTAAAGCAGATTCTATTCTTTGTCTCCCGGAATTGTACTTTAAACCGAACAATTCAGCTCAGTTAATTGAATATCTAAAGATTGTCAGTGAAGCTGCTCCAAAAACTCCATTATTGTATTATCATATTCCAATGTTTACTCATGTCAACAGTAAGTTCTTGTAATTAAAATTTTTCGTTTGCTTCTTTTCAAAAATATTATTCACACAGTTCACATGGGTGAGTTTCTCAACAAAATTGGAGATACAATACCGACTTTTGTTGGAATAAAATTCACTAGTAATAATCTTGAAGAAGGAGCTCAAGCAGTTGAAGCGAATTCCAAAAAAAATATTATTTTCTTAGGAAATGATCAAGTAAGACTCAGCAAAAACAATACTCACTAATTGAAATAGCTTTTTTAAAATTAATTTGCTCGAATTTTCAGTTGATGTCAGCAGCATTTGCTGTTGGAATGGATTCATTTATTGCCACAAGCGTTAATATTTTTCCAGATATAGCCATCAAAATTTTAGAGACAGCTAAAAAAGGGGATTGCTTTAAAGCAAATGAAATACAGAAAAAACTGTCACAGGCTGTTATTGCTATATCTAAATATGGTTTGTTCTTTGCTAAATTATATCATAAAATAGGAATTTATATCACGAATATACAAGGTTTTATTTCTTCATTAATAGGTAATTGGGTTGTTACCATGAAAACTGCCATGGCTTTATTGAGTCCACTTGATCCAGGTCCAGTCTGTGAACCTTTAAAACCTCTCTCTGATGAAGACATTCAATCTATGAAACGTGATCTAGGCTCTTTAGGTTTTATGCTAAATGGTTGATATACAATACTTAATATTAAACAGTATCGTAGAAAATATAATTTAGAAAGTAAATAAACATTAGTTTTGATCATCATCCATTTGTATTTATTAGCTTTGTTCATTACACTGTTACATGCAATTGGCACATAGCTGTAGGCAGCAGTACTTTTATCATCGATGTCAATATAAATGTATACCCGTAGAAAAACAAATATTACCAAGTATTTTAATTGGTAATATTTATTTTTGTAACACAATTAATTATTTTTATTTTTTTAATAAACTAAAAATTTATTTTTCTTTTATTATTATGGTATACTCAGCCAAGTTATCATCATATTTTTAAAATTTTATATCTACAACTATACTTAGCTCTGTTTTTACATTATCAACATAAATTTTCTTATAAAATCAACTTGTATTGTACGATACATATAAGATTTATTATCATTAACTCATTTTAGAATATACACTTTAATTCTAAAGCCTCTATCATTCACATCATATACATACTATATTATTTCTCCCTTAATTTTTTAAACTCAAGTAAATTCAATATTAATCATGATAGCAATTTCTATCAATGATAACACACAATTCAATCGCACAATAAATTCACTGCAATATAATTTCTCTCTGTAACATTTTCTCACAGAGAATTAACTTTTCAGACTTGATGAAAATATTATATAAATCTTGTTAAAGCATAATGAATGTATATTAAAATTCTCTTATGTGAATAATTTTATAATAGAATAAAATTTTTACATTAGAACCTTTTTGAATTTATGAACAATTGTTAGATTGAATTTTCTTTTTTTTTTTCAAATAAAATAAAAACTCTCTGTTAAAATATTCATATAATAACATGTAATAAAGATCTGATAAAAGTAACTAATTACAGTACTATTAATCATTAATTAAAGGAGCTGGATAATTTTCATAGCGAACAAGACTTATCGAATCATATCCTGTGCTCATTGTACTAACAGTTGCCCTTTTTTAATTATTTTCTAATAATCGGCAATCGACAATTGTATTACAATATCGTAATAACATTATTAAATTATTCATCATTTGTATAAAATTTTACTATTATGTACAAATCTTATGATTAGAAAAATTTGACTTATTATAACATGAAATTTCACATTTTTCATATGGTGGCTACTAAAAGCCAGTTTCACTCAGTCGCTGATGATAATTTTGTTTATTACTTTCGATACTATGATCCAATTATTTACAAAAAATGATTTATATTTGATAACTTATTCCAAATTCTTTAAACTAAGAAATAAAAATCCAAAAAAATAAATATCTACCTTAGAGCTCATCGCCACTAGATTCAGAACTGTAGGTAAGTTGCTCTCGCCACCATTCTTTAACTTCTAACATCACACTAGAAGTTTTTGGAGTGGCAGCTTTAACATTTGACACTTCTCGTTGCAGTCGAGTTTGTTCTGTTCCTTCTGTGAGATAAGGCAAATTATTTTTAGCTAATGCTAAACATAGAAGATAATTAACATATTAATATATTTGAAATACACCGATTGAATTTAATTAAAAAAATGATTAAGCACAGAAACTTACGTGGTGGTCTACTGTTTCGTTTTTTGGACACGCCAATTTTTTCTTTTTCGTTGCGAATCGAAGCTGGATCTGATAAAGTTGGTGCTAAATATTTTCTACCTGATCCACTACCTATACTGTCAGATCTGGGTAAAACTACTGGTCGTTTACCTCTGTGACGAGTCGTGTCAGTTTCCTGAAATTTATTTAATTCAATATTAGATTATTTCATCATTATGCTATTAATCGAAAATTAATGACTAAATTTTCACGCATATTTCATTTACCTTCACTTCAGGCTCGTCTTCTCTATCGACACTATTTTCTTTACTTTTTTCTTCTGGATGATCTTGTGCTGTTGCCGCTAGCTCATTCGTAGCTCGCAACCCTGCTATCAAACTATTCTGCTGCTTCTAAATTATGATAAAAATTATGATTAATTAATTAATATATTAAGATAGTTAAGAATAAACATAATAACATACTCCAGTGGCCCTAATTTTTTTTAAACATCCTTCAAGCCAAGTTCGTATGGTCTGTTTTGCCACCTCTTCTTCTATTATGTACTCAAATTCTTCTCTTGCTAAAAGCTCCTCTAATTGCAAAGCTTTTCTGATGTCCACAGACCGATAGGAAAGCATACTAAACATGAAATAATAAATTATAACAATTATATTATTTTAATGAACGATAATAACCGTACAAAAAAAAGTACGAACTTTATAACATCATGAAATGTTACATCTTCTCCATTATGTAACCTTTCGAGTTCATAGCACATATACTTAAATAATAGTCTATCTTTCTGAGGATCTGTTTCTAATCTTCCTTTTAATAGTCGTAAAATAAATTTTACTCTTCTAACAGGTATAACTCCTCGCTGATGAATATCTACGACGTTCCATGTATTTTGAAAATTTCTGATATCAGCATAAGATAATAATGCATCTTCCTCATTAGAATAAAATAGGGAAAAGTTCTCCATGATAATAGCTGAATAAAAAAAATCATTATTTGATTATCTCTGTAAAGTTGAAGAGTCTATTACTGTTATAATTTACGTACCCACTAATAAATTCAAAACTATATAAGTGATGATAACATAAAATGTACAAAAGTAGAACAATGATGCATGAAAATTGCCACAGTCTGTTTCCCAGTAATTGGCTGCTGGAGTACAATAAGGAGGTTGGACCATACAGTCGTGCATAATTTTATTCCAATCTTCTCCTGTAACTATACGAAACAGCATAGCAACTCCAGTGACAGGAGATTCAAAATTCGCACGTCTAAAAAAATTTAATAACATTGATGTTTAATAACTTATTTTTAATGGTGGTATGTCTTTTTATTTACCTTCCAATACCCTCTCCGTATTTTACAGTGCCAAATATGATTGTCCCAGCAAGAGCATAAAAAAATACCAGAAGAAACATACCGAAAATAATGAAAAAACTTTTGCAAACTGATACTCCAACAGTTAACATCAACATTTTTAATGTTGTATGTTTGCCAGTGATGGTAAAAAATCTCAATATCACAACCATAAAACCGATTACATAGGATAAATCATTTTTCATCGTACAATGTATAACTATCCATATCACTCCAACAACTGTAACGAGGAGATCATAACGATTTCTTCGTGATTGCCAATATCCTCTCGGAGTAAAAGCAATGTTTTTCATAATTACTTCAACAACAAAAACCAGAACTAATATGGTTGAAACTGTAGCCAAAGCCTCTGTATGTTTTTGTTCAATTCTCCACTGAAAATATATTGTTAATTAAAATTAATTTACTGAAACAATTAATCAAAGACTTACCGAAACAAAAAGAAGAGAGCTGTTCAGAAGAACCATTACTGCGATAAATCTCTTGAAATAAATATGCTGGGTAATATCGTAAATGAATGCACGAAATTTTTTGCCATCTGGTCGAGGTGGAAGATGTAGAGGTTGAGCAATTTTCAATCGCTTTTTCAAGTCACACCTATTCTCATATTTTATAAAATCAATCATTAAAGTAAATGTATCTTTATTAAAATATTATGTAGATCTTACCATCGTCGTTGATCGACTGTAAGGAGAGCTGTGCCTTTATTTTCTGAATAATTAGCAATAACCACACCAACGAACAGTGTTAAACCAATCATACAACCCAAAAAAATATAAATATGGATGTAAATAGCATGAACCTATGTGAACAATACGAAATTAATTAAATAACAATTGATGCAAGTAAATAACTATTTTATAAAATATGTCAATGACTTACTGGACCTAATGCTTTTATTAAAACATCTCGTACATCTAGCCAGCCTTTGAAAGATAGAACTTCAAATAATGCCAACATTGCATCGCCAATATTATCAAAATTAAATCTTCTAGGATTGGCCCTGAAATGATTTAATAGATAATTTAATCTCCGTTACTTAAATTGATTATTTTAAAAACTTACCATACACGTGGTACTAATATGGACGGATAGCTTTCATTTTCACCAGGTTTCAACTTCATCTTTGTTACAAAAACTCGTCGCATGAAAACTCCAACACATTCTTCTCGCTTTAAAATTGTTGGATCATTACAACGAGCCAATCTACCACCATAAAGTTGTACGCCATAGCTTGCAAAAACAAACATTAGAAGAATAAGCAGTGTTGATACTAATAGAATTTCTTTAAAGCCTCGACACAATTCGTACACCACTTTTCTCATATGTGGTACTAAAGTAAAAATTCTGAGAGGTCGAACACATCGAAGAATCATTAGTAATTGAGCTCCTGAATTTGGTGGTACACTTTTTGGCATCCAGCACAAAAAAACCAGACTGACCTTAAGTAAAAGAAAGGTGATATAACTTAGTTCTAGCATTTATAAACTGTTATATTTAATTTATTACGTACCACATAAATAAAAATATCAAGGACAGATGCTACATCTTTAATATAAGCCTTAGGAGTAAAAAATAAACCATCAGCAAGTATTTTTAAAGTCAGTTCTATACTCATGAAAATAACAAAACCATATTCAGCCACTTGTAAAGCAGGAATTTCCATCACACGAAATTTTGGTGTTTCAAACATCATTGAAATACAAGAAAGTGTCGTTGCACATATCATCACCCAATCCAAGTAAGTGACAAGTCCAAGAAAATTGCTAAAGAAAATTATGAAATTAATTTGCTTAAACTACACTTTTCATAAATGTGATTTTTTATAATCAGATTATTATACTTACTGAAGACTTTTATATTGTACTTTACGCTCTTTTCCAGTCAAAGGGTCTTTCAATCTAGCATCATATCTAGCGTAAACTAGCAATTGGCAAATTTTACGAAATTTACTCTCGCGTGGTACAACAAATAGAGGAGTATCAAAGAAGGGGTGATTTTCTCTCAAATCATCTTCCCGTTGATTACTAGGGATATTTAAAAATATATGTAATTATTTATTATATTTGAAAAAAATTCAAAAAGCATATTTACCGTCTCATTTCAGCTTGTTGTCGCTTAGCTTGGAGTAACTTAATGTCTAAATCATGTGGCCGACTACGAGATGAAGCAACTCGATTTATTGCTCCAATATCTCCATTTTCCACCAAATGTTCATAGGTTTGCTTCAATTTAATTGAACCACTTCGAACACTTCGGCGAATTGACCTTTGAAGTTAATATCAGTTTCAATTTTTAATTACAGGAAAAAAATTTTCACTTACTTTTTTTGATCGATCCTCAATTGCTTTGCACTGCTCACTGTTCCCTGGGGTTTTAAAAGCCCTTTTCCAGGAATTGGAATCATAGAAGAGTCTCCAAGCAACAATCGTTGATTATTTGAATCACTATTGAAAACAGTAGCTATAGTAAAATTTGAAATAAATAAATATTCCTTAAAAAACGTTGGAACTTACTTAATAATGTAAATAATAGCGGCTTTTTTGAAATCTATCATAACATTCCTCACTTTAGGTGGATTGTTTAATATTTTAACGGGCCGTTGTTTTCGATAAACTAATTTTGAGTCAAATGTTTCATTTATTCTTCTTGCCACTTCATTTTCTTCATCTTCAACTTCATAAACAAATTGTCGCATAAAACTTTCTCGGACCTTTATTTAAATATCACATAAGAACTTGTATTGATTGGATTATAATTTTTTTCGTCCTCCAAAACGATGCTAATGATTTATTTACCTTAGGAAGATTGAAGTCTGATGGTACTTTATGTAAGCAAGTCATTTGTGGACTATCAGGAAATTTTTCAAATATTCGTAATCGGAAAGGTAATGTTTCTTTAATCTCAGCACTTTGTTCACGAAATTTCAATTGTTTTAATTTTTTTATGTCTTCATCAAGCTCCAAGTTATCAAGGATAACTGCGACGAAAAGACTCAACACAATCTGAATAAAAATTGAATCAAATTATCAAACTTTTACTCAACAATTTCAATCAAATTATGAATTATTTATGAAGTACTCACCAAAGTTACGAAGAGATGATAAAGAATGAAATAAATAGCCACAAATGGAGCCATTGTTTCATGAGTTCTAACCATTGTTTCATCCATTACTTCCACCCAAGCTTCTTGAGTAAGAATTTGAAACATAGACATAAAAGCCTAAAAGACAATTATTTAAGTATAAATACATTCACGAAAAAATATTAGCATATTATTTTTTTATTACTCACTTCAATAAAAGTTTCAAATTTCGTGAAATCACAGAGAAAACAAAAAAGCTGCATTGATATGCTTGAAGATATGATCAATAAACACATTGTAAATATGATTAAGCTTCCAAGTTTTTTTCCAGGACCAAAAATCTTATAAACAAAATCTTCTAACATTGGTGATGCTTTGATGAGTCTAACTACCCTAAGAACCTATTAAATCATTATTAAATTTCTTTATTCCAGTTGTACTAAAAATTATTTATGAATAACTTACCTGGAAATATGTAAATCCAGAGAGATAAAAAAAAGGTAAAATGTGGATCGTTGTACCGATAGCCAGAAGTAATTCAAATTTATGGATAGAATGTTTGTAATAACTGCGAAAACCAAGACACCATATTTTAAAAAGAGTTTCCAAGTCAAGAAATATCGTGAATGCTATTTCTGCATAATAGTAATTATCATAATATGTATGTCTCGGACGCTCATCATGTTTAAAATTCATGGTGGCTGTTGTGATACCATTCGCCAAAATTGCACACATAACAATCATTCTAAAATATGGTGAACGTAGAATTTCTTGGCAGACAGGTGATGCCAAACCTCCATGCTTATTTTCATCCAATGTAACTAACTTCCATCCATTATCATCTCCAGACAGAATCTAAATGTTCAATACACCTTGTTTTAAATTTCTGACAATGTTTATAAAAGAGGATTACTTATTCAATCATTTTCATACTTGTGATGCTGAACTGCTCGTTATATGTCCTCTGATTCCCCACATTTGTTGAAACTGCACTCGAATTTCATTAAAAGTTTCAGTAATAACAGCAATAAAGACATTTTTTACAAGCCATGCTAAGAAAAATATCATTGTGCTAAAATACAATATTGCTCGCCAGGCTGGAAGACTGTCAATAGCACGATACATAATAAAGACCCAGCCTTCTTGTGATGCTGCTTGATAGACCGTAAAAAAACTCGTCGCTGAAATAAAACAAAATTACCATTAATATTGTCATTATGTAACATAAAAAGATAAACTTATATTGATTGTTATAATACCAAATTCATCAAAGCCATTAAATCCCATAATGTATTTGGATAATTGTAATTTCATACAGGTCATTCCTTCAGGGCATTGATATCCTGATTCAGGATCAGTTGAACAAAATGTATCAGGAATTGCTAAACTATTTATAGTAATGTGAGATGGATCAGTTGTATTTAGAACACAATGGTTTTTGAGTTCTCCAAAAAATTGCACGCCTAATAAACCATAGAGTGACATAAAAAAAAGGAAGAAAAGAGTTACATTGTAGATTTGTTGACTTGAACGCCTAAAAAAATAAAAATTATCATTAGACATTGGATCGATGTTTGCAAAAAAAATTCTAAAATAATAACTTACTTAAAAATTTGATTAATTCTCGCCTTTGGCATAGAGAATTTCAAAAAAACTCGAAGAAAGCGAATCATAATTAGAGGTCGCGGTGATCGAATAATAGACGCCGCACTAAATTTCAAAACAAATCCCAGCATCTCAAACATTTGGAGTATTACCGATAACCATAAAAATAAAACCATCGTTGCATCGAATTGGCACCAGTGGTCTTTCAAGTATGCTTTATCTCTCTGATACAAATATAAATTGAATTATTAACACAATACAGTAAGTACATTTAAAATAAATTTTGTTTACCTTTAAAATTCCTCGTATATGCATTTTAGCAATCATTTCAGCGGTGAAAAGAAAAGTAACAACAAGGTCACAAACGAAAGTAACGTATTGTAGTTGATAAACTTTTTCGAATGTTTTGGGGGTGTTTAAACATACCGATGTAAGTGAAACTAGTGCACATAACCTCATCAATCTTCGAACCCATAGCTAAAACAAAGTGGTAAGTTTTTTAATATGAAATTTCAGGTTAATTTAATTTGTCCTTACCTTATTAACCCATTCAATATCAGCGCTCTCATTGAGGAACTCTTCCGGGCCGTAGTCGGCCAGGACGGGTTCCCCCTTGAGGCTCTGTTTCCGCCCCAACATCATAATTGGGATTATGTTAGCAATGGTGAGGCCTAAAAACGTAAACAACAAGGTAAACAAAGTTGGACTTTGATACATATTTCATTTGGAAATAGATTATTTTCTTCATTTATCAATACTTCGGATATGACTATAAAACTAAAACTAAACTATGAAATTTGTTATAGAATCTAACTTAAATAATACTGGAATGAAGTGTTATATTAGATGAGCAATAATTAAATAAATCATCTAAATATGGGATAATACAAATAATAAATGAGAGTTGTTTATAACTTATGGATTCATCATGCAATTTATTCATCATGAATATGTTGAAATGGTCGACCGCCTAGTCAGAATGACGGTTTATAGATTATAATATCAGCGATATCATTTTATATATTCAGCTATTATACTTCTATTAATTTAAATTTTATATACTATATTTTGACGATTCCAAAGGAAATATTTAACATACAAAAAAATGAGAAAAAAAAACATTGGGTTCTGTTAAATTCACGCTAACTTAGGTATTGAACACACATAATTTTTGGAAAATAATCATAACACACCGAATACGATACTCACGTCACCACAATTTTTAATATCACCGTTTAATTGTCAAATATAGGCTGAAAATTATTTAAAAATATCAAGCATGTTACATGGGATAATGATTATTTATATCTGAAGCAAATTTATTTTACATCATTTGTCATATTTCATCCATTTTTACTGGTTCATTTTTTATTTATTCATTTAATTATTTATTATTTTATTTTTTATCAATATTTTGTTGATTAATGAATTAATAAAAGAAGAGAGACAGTGCAAAATTGAAAGAAAAATAATAGAATGAATAGATAAACTTACCGTTTATGAAACAGTTCAGCTGAGAAATACTCTGCCTTTTGGCAAATACTTATAAACTACATTTCACATATAGCAACGTAGAAAATTAACGATTAATAAACATCTTTATAAACAACAATCATTCTATTAAGTTTAAGACATTTTCTGATGAATGCGACTGATTGTATGGTAAATTTCACTACCAGCTGAGAGCTGCACTTGAGCATGTGCTGTAGCATTCACCGCTCATCTTGGTTAAGATCAATATTTGAAGGCCTGGAATACACCAAATGTAACTCGTAGGGAAGAAAGTTATCTCCGAATATAAGAGATCTGCTTTATCTCGATTCTCATTGAATTTATTCTTTTATTGTTCTTCACATCGATTTTTATTAAAATTGTTAAGTATTAGATTTATACAAATCATCCTACTTATATCTATTTGATGTTAAATTTCAGTCTGAAATATGATTAAGTAGATAAACAATAACTATTTTATTTAATTGATATTAAAAATGTGGTTTATAAGTAAAGTCTCGAAATATTTCAAGTTTGGTTCATTTTTGAAACATCAGAAGAAGATTGCCGTCTCTTCAAGTCTACATGTTTTAATTTTATGATATCACACATGAGCGAATAAATATAAAAAATTTTAATTCTAGATTGTAGATTAAATATTTTTAGTTATTTCATGACAATAAAATAATAGAAAAAAATTTGAGTTCAATAGTCTTCATCTTCTGTGACAGCAGCATCTTCTTGAACTTCACGGTAATCAAGTTCAAGGGCAGCTAGATCTTCACGAGCTTCTGTGAATTCACCTTCTTCCATTCCTTCTCCAACAAACCTATACATACGGAAACATTTTCAATAAAGTTCATTTACTACCACCTTTCAAAATTTTAAATCTCTAGAATTAATTTAGAAGCCATATCTCACCAATGAACAAAAGCTCTTTTTGAATACATCAAATCGAATTTATGATCAATTCTTGCCCAGGCTTCAACTATTGCAGTTGTATTACTTAAACAGCAAACTGCTCTTTCTGTTTTTGCTAGATCACCTCCTGGTACAACAGTAGGTGGTTGATAATTAATTCCAACCTATAGAAATATTTCTATTATAAATAGTTTAATCTTTTAACTATGTTTTAAGATGATTCGTGAAAAAAACGTACTTTGAATCCTGTTGGGCACCATTCAACAAATTGAACGTGTTTTTGTTTTTTGATCATAGCAATTGCAGCATTTACATCTTTCGGAACAACATCACCTCGATAAAGCATACAAACAGCCATATACTTTCCTCTCCTGGGATCACAATTTACCATTTGATGATTTGGTTCAAAGCATGAAATAGTAATATCTGCAACAGTAGATCGCTCGTGTCCTGCTTTGTCTGCTGATAATACTGGTGCGTAAGTAGCCTAAAGAAATACATTGATATATTTACATTCAAATCAATAAGAAAAAATGAAATGTATCTTACTAATGGGAAATGAATCCTTGGGTAAGGAACAAGATTTGTTTGAAATTCTGTTAGATCAACATTTAAAGCTCCATCAAAGCGAAGACTTGCAGTAATTGAAGAAACTATTTGACCAATTAAACGATTCAAATTTGTGTAAGTTGGTCGTTCAATGCTTAAATTTCTTCTACACAATTCATAGATTGCCTACCAATTGGAAATAAAAATATTATTCATGAATAAAATAATATTTCACACTTGATAAAATAAACACTTGCTTGATTATCGACGATAAATGCGACCTCACAGTGTTCAAGGGTAGGATGGGTGTAGAGAATAGCATTGTACGGCTCGACTACAGCAGTTGATACCTAGAATAATTGATTGATAAACCAATAGATGAATTTAAAAAATGTTAGTAAATTTTACTATTCTTTTACTTACTTGAGGAGCAGGATAAATACTGAAGGATAATTTACTTCGTTTAGGATAATCTCCAGATAATCTTTCCATGAGAAGACTTGAGAAGCCTGATCCGGTTCCACCACCGAACGAATGAAAGATCAGGAATCCTTGGAGTCCATGACATTGTTCAGTGATTCTTCTAATACGGTCTAATGTTAAGTCTATCAATTCCTTCCCTAGAAGTCAAAATAGGTGAAGTACAATTATAAATTCAAAGCTCAGTCATATTTACAATCAAATAATAATTTCTCGTACCGATAGTATAATGTCCTCGAGCATAGTTATTAGCTGCATCTTCTTTTCCTGAGATTAACTGCTCTGGATGGAATAATTGTCTGTATGCACCAGTACGTACTTCATCTAAAAATATAAATAAGCTCAGCTGTTACGAATAAATAAAAGTAAAAGTAGAATAAATAAAAAATTGAAACAAACTGTTTTAATGTCATGCGTTTTATGTAAACTATATTAATAATATATTCTTGCCTATTACAGTGGGTTCGAGGTCAATAAAAACAGCTCGAGGGACATGTTTGCCATTGCCACCTTCAGAAAAAAAAGTATTAAACGAGTCATCTTCTTTATCAATTGACAAATCGCTAGGCATTTGACCGTCAGGATGTATTCCATGTTCAAGGCAGTAAAGCTCCCAGCAAGCATTGCCCATTTGAACACCTGCTTGGCCAATGTGTATCGACACACACTCTCGCTATGACACAGAAATGAGCCAGATATCATCGAGATAACAATATTACAGCATTGATCAACATTTAAATACCTTTCTGGCTATTTTATCACCAATACCAAACATTTTTAATTTTAAATCAATTATTCAAGTAAGAAACTTTAAAATTCAATATTGATATAATTCTTTATAAATATTTTACTACAGAGAATTATCGAGGATAAAAAATTACTTCAATGTCCACTAACGTTGACTTTATGAGTCTAACTACCCTAGTAGAATGTAATTTTTTGCCCTTCGTGTTCTTAACTTTTAAAACTATAGCTCCTGCAGTAATGCCTTGACCTAGTATGATATCATTAATTATTAATGAGATATCGAATAGAGGATTCTAATTTATGATATTGATAAGTATATAAATATAAACTTTATGTCATTGTACGGTTGTCTATGCTACTCTTACTATGTATCGTGACTAGCGATTCATGCTGTGGCATGCAACTGACTGAAATCGATTGTAAAGCTTGCTAAGTTGTAACCATAGTAGCTTCAATGAATTTTTTGCCAAAAATGGACATCAAAATTTGATTCTTTTTTGAACATCATTCATAAATCATTGTAAACAAAAAATTACTCTCACATGAGTCTTATTCTTAACGAATTTTTTGTTTTTTATTATATTGTATTATTGTATTTTTATCAACATGAGATGATCTCATAATATTCACCTTCGATGTATACTTCAAATATCTTTTTAGCATTCATTATTAATAATAAAAAGTATTACAAAAAATTTCTAAAGAGAAAAGGTATGAATAATGAAATAGCAAAGTTAGTTCTTCTAGAAACTTTTTCAACTATTTTTAAAGTGTATGTAGATTTATAACAAAGTTGATAGCAAAACAATATATCTGATTAATTTGTTGATTAAACTATAGAAAAACAGAGAAAATATTAATGAGCAAAGTAAACAATAATATCGGAAACTTACCATGATTGGATTGTTGATAGAAGAAAATGTGTAGGTAGTCACAGGTGTAACGATAGTTAACGTCTGACTAGTAAAACGTTCCCATCACTGTGCAATTTACGTCATTAATAAATAGGATGCTCCTACAATACCTGAAGCAAGGTTCCACAAACGATTCATGCTATAGTAACAGCATTACTACTAATGGATAGTTGTAGCATGTATGTTTTTTATCAGAAGTTTAAAACTAAAGTAAAGAACTATATATGTCATAAACATCGATTTCTTATGGTCATTGACATAAAAAGCATCAAGGCAAGCAAAGCAATGGATGAAATATTATTTGATTAAAGAAAAATATGAAAAAATTGAGGATTAAATTTTTTAGAATGTTTTTTTAAATGAATGTATGAATGATGGAAAATGTAATCTGAGTAATATGATATTGGGTGGACCCTGATACCAAATATACATACGCCCACATAGAATTAATTGAACTTTGGTAATGATCGCTGATCTTGCATCAGTTTAGGTCGATGTGCGGTTGAAGAAATTTCTTTCGAAAAATGTTTTCATAAATCAAAAATCTTAAAAAATTAGCAATAAAAAAAGTTTATTTTATTATTAAAAATGGAGTTAAAATTATTATTAATGATTTTATTGGGTGTATCATGGTGTGAAGCTTGGATGGATGAAAGGTCGTAAATACTATACAGATTTTTTGACAAAAAGTCATGTAATTATTTTATGTGTATATTTAATTTTTAGGCCAGTTTTAGAGTCTGTCGATGGAAATCTTATCATCTCCAGTGCCAAGGATAGAAATATTACTATAAAAATTTTAGGGAATGGATATTTTAATATTGATGACATTGATCTTTTGAGTGTTGCAGTTTCGGTAATTAATAAAAACTATTATCAAGTAGAAAATATAATACCTATTTTAATCTATTTTAATTTTGGTGTAGGCCAAAAGTGCATCTCGTATCGTTGAACAATGGCGCAGTGGATATTTACAACAATTGATACAGAAAGTGCATGATATGGTAGATATGATAGAAGGTCCTTATGGATTGCAAAAACGAGTTAATAGATTAGAATTCGGTGTTGATACGTCATCAAATTCTTCTGCACGGTTTCCTAATTCAAATGGCAATGTAAGCGCTAAAAAAACGTTTTTAAATGATTAATTAATAATGTTACAATGGAGGTAATTTTTCCAGAGCCAATCATCTGATGATTCAAAATTAGCTATTCGTAACGTTGCAGACCACGTAAGTTTTTTTTACTCATATTAAATAAATAATTTTATTTTTTCTATGATAAAAACAATTATCTTTGATTTTCTTCAGGTTCGACGCTTGGAAAATCGATTACGAACAATATCATTAAAACTACGTCAAAATAAATGTCTAGATAATCCTTGCCGGAATGGTGGAACATGTATTAGAATTTACGATGGATATCAATGCTTATGTCCACCACAATGGGAGGTAATGATTTTTTTCTTTGCTCTAATTTATTATGATATAAAATTTGTATTTTACTAGAATAAAAAAAATTTATTTCAGGGTAATAATTGTGCGCGAGATATCAATGAATGTACAAGATATGCAGGCACAGATTTAGGGTGTCAAAATGGAGCAAGTTGTATCAACCTTGCAGGCTCTTATCGGTATGAATAATAAATTGTTTGATACGAGTTTGTGACAGTCCAAATAAATATTTTTAAGATTTAAAATTTTTTTCCAGTTGTATATGTGCGCCAGGTTGGTATGGAGTTGACTGTAAATCAAATACTGCTTCTTGCGATCATCAAAATTCTCACGCACTTTGTGGGGAGCATGGAGTATGTGTGCCTAGCGGAACGACACAAGGATATGTCTGCATTTGTGATGAAGGATGGAAATCAGATAAAAATGATCAAGCATGTACCGTTGATGTAAATGAGTGTGAAGGAAAACATCCTCCATGTTCAGTGCACCCGTTTGTGCCCTGCATTAATGTACCAGGAAGTTATCATTGCGGTAGTTGTCCTGCTGGATTCACTGGAAACGGCCACTATTGTGTAGATATTGATGAATGTTCAACAGACAATGGAGGATGTAGTACTGTACCTAAAGTCCAATGTATCAACACACATGGATCAAGAGTGTGTGGATCATGCCCTCCTGGATATCAAGGAGATGGAGTTACTTGTGTCTTTGTTGGAACTTGCCGAATTAATAATGGAGGATGCCACCCATTAGCAACTTGTGTTGAAAATCCTGGATATACAAATGTACTTGTTGAATGTCGATGTCCTGAAGGTTATCATGGGAATGGTATGGGTCCTCTTGGTTGCCAGCCAGGAACTATAGTAGTAGATCAAGGACCTTGTACTAGTAATCCTTGTGTGCATGGAACTTGTGTACCACACGGTCAACACTTTATCTGCAGATGTGAAGCTGAATATACTGGTAAAAGAATCATTTTTTGAAATTATCATTAACATTCGACAAACAATTATTCAATAAAATTATTTAAACTTAGGAACAACCTGCAATACTCACGTAAACCCATGCTCTCCAAATCCATGTAAAAATAATGGTATTTGTACTGCTTCTGGTCTTAAAACGGCAATTTGTGAATGTACAGCTGCGTACACGGGACGACTATGTGAAACACCTAAAGAAACTTGTGGTGGTGTGATTCGAGATTTATCAGGAACTTTAACATATCCAGCAAGTGGTGAAACATATCAGCATGGTCTAAATTGTGCTTTTATCTTAGTAACGAATGCATCATTAGTTTTAAATGTTACTTTCACTAAATTTGATTTGGAACCATCACCACGCTGTAATGATTTTCTCCAGGTAATTTATTACTTAAAGAATATAACTGTTTTTTTTTTAAATTATTAGTTGTTAATTATAATTAATGATTTGTAAAATTACAGATTCATGATGGAGGAAATGCAGGAAGTCATCAGTTAGGAAGGTTTTGTGGAAAATCATTGCCACTGGATGGCAATATTGTCTCAACTCACAACAGCTTGTATATGTGGTTCCATACTGATAAAAGTGTTTCTCATACTGGATTTTCTTTTCATTGGAATAGCATTAAGCCTGTATGCGGTGGTATTTTAAGGGAAGAACATGGAACCATAAGCTCACCCGGATCTCCCGGTAGATATTCTCCAGATCGAGATTGCATTTGGCATATTTATGTTCGTCCGGGTAAAAGAATACAATTCCACTTCTTCACTATGATGATTGAAGAGCATCCGACTTGTAATATGGATTATCTTGAAGTAAATAAATATATTTATCATTTTTTCCTACTATATTGAAATTATTTTATTAGCTATTCAATCTCGTATTAATTGATTTCTATTTGTCATCAGATTAATGAAACTGTCAGTGATCGAGAAATTCAATTAGGTCTTTACTGTAATCATACTCATCCTCCTCCACTTGTTACATCTGGATCATTTGCAACTGTACATTTTCATTCAGACAAATATGGTCAAGATCTTGGATTTCAACTTACTTATTCTAGCATAGAAGGTAGATGTTTTTTAAATTTTTAATAATTTAGCAGATTAAAAGTTGAATATTCTTTAGGAATACCTGGATGTGGTGGAGTGTATACAGCTGATCAGGGTATAATCTCCAGTCCGATGGATGACTCGAAATATAAACCAAATATGGTATGTGAGTGGAAGATACAATTACCTTTAGGAGAACGAATTCGATTAACTTGGATTACATTTGATATTGAAAAATCATTTTCTTGTAGCTTCGATCGTGTCTCGGTGAGAAAAATAAACAATATCTATTTAGACAATGATTAAACTGTAAATGATTTTGGAAACATAATTAATAATTTTTTTAAAGATCTATGAAGGTCCTGACATGGAATCACCATTAGTAGGAAGGTTTTGTGGAAACAATTTACCACCACCCATAGAAATAGATTCAAATGTAGCATTGATTGTTTTTATGAGTGATTGGAGTACTGAACTTGAGGGTTTTCGAATTCAATATGAAATATCTTGTGGCGGCCAGTATCATTCACCATCTGGCTTAATACACTCTCCTTATTATCCAAACATTTATCCTGGATCAAGAACTTGTATTTATGAAATTATTCAAGCACCTGGAAAAGGTATTGCTCTCGAGATTCTTGACATGGACATCGAAGGTTCATCTTTTACCGATTGCTACTTTGATCATCTTGAAATTCGAGATGGTGATAATGAGAATTCAACACTCCTTACTAATCTCTGTGGCAATGACAACAATAAGCCATCTGAACCAATTTATTCTACTTTGAATTATATGTACTTGAAGTTTGAAACTGATTCAAGCGTTCATGGTCGTGGGTTTCTTGCAAATTATACTACTTTCGATCGAAGTAAGTTACTTTTGTCATATTGTAAACTATAATAACATAATTTGAATGATATTTTATGTATTTTCTAGGATGTGGTGGACTTTTAAAAACTCATTCTGGCCAAATTCAAAGTCCAACTGATTCAAATCGATATTCTAATGATGAAGATTGTACATGGACCATCCAAGCACCTGTAGGTCACGTTGTACAGCTCACCTGGTCATCATTTAACTTGGAATATCATGACCGATGTCAAAGCGACTATGTTAAAGTATCAGAAATATATGATGGCGAAGATTCGGAAATAGGAAAGTACGATGGATTTCAGACTTCTTTTATAAATAAGTTATTTTTATAAATTTTTTTTTCCAATCTTTAATAAACAAACGATTACAGATATTGTGGAACGAAAATGCCGCCAATATTAACTTCCCAAAGCCGCACAATGAACATAGTTTTTCATACCGATAGTACCATTACATCTAATGGCTTCATAGCAAATTATTTATTCATTGATGCATCAAATGTTTGTGGAGGACATTATTTCACCCCTATCGGTATTATTAAGAGTCCAGGATATCCAGATATATATCCTAATAATAGAGAATGCATATGGATTATTGAAGCACCAAATAAATTTCGTGTATTTTTGGATATAAAGAAATTCGATCTCGAAAAAAGTACTTCCTGTAACTTCGATTATTTAGAGATTAGAAATGGTGGCTATGATACGTCACCCTTGATAGGCAAATTTTGTGGTGATGAAATACCTGAAGAGATACAGAGTTTTACAAATCAATTATATATTAAGTTTGTTAGTGATTCTTCAAGGGGCCACGAAGGATTTATGATAGAATGGGATAGTACAGTTTATGGTAATTTTTTGAATTAATTCATTTTTCCAGATTACGTTTTGAATAATTTTTATAAAAATAAAATAAATAAATTTTAGGTTGTGGTGGAACACTATCATCAGCAAATGGCGACATAATATCTCCATATTATCCACAGCCATATACGCGGTCATCAGAATGCATATGGAAGATTGCGGTAGCAGCTGGCAGTCGAATCCAAATACTTTTCATAGATCTTGAATTAGAAGAACATTCAAAGTGTAGATTCGATTATTTAGAAATATATGAAGGTTTAAATCGACCACGTAAAAACTCTAACCGTTTCTGTGGCTCGGATTATCCTACAACACTTAATTTTGATAGTAACTTGGTTACGGTTCGTTTCCGAAGTGATTTTACTAACTCTGGTCGTGGGTTCCATATCAAATATAGTACAGGTAAGTAAAAGATAAATCGTTTTTTCTTACAGAGATTATAATTTCATCTACAATTTTTTTAGTGTTATAAAATTCTCATTAGTTTGTAGTAACAAGATCCATGGATTTGGTGGTGTAATAGAGTCACCCAACTTTCCTAATAAATATCCATCTCATATCAACTGCAGTTGGATTATTGATGCTCCGATTGGTAACAAAATAAATGTGACATTCTCACATTTCGATATTGAATCGAATGATGAAGATAGCTGTAAGGATAGTTATTTAGAAATCAAAGAAGGAGCTGATGATGAAGCTAATACAGAATTAGGGAAATTCTGTGGTTCAACTCTACCACCTAAAATAGCATCCAATCAACATCAAATTTTCATTGAATTCGCAGGCAATAACTATTATCAATCTGCTGGATTTAGATTAGAGTGGACATTAAATGGATGTGGTGGTCATCTCAATAGACCAGAAGGTGAATTTACATCACCAGGATATCCATCACTATATCCTACAGATATCACATGCGAGTGGTTGATTGAAGTTGATTATGGCCATAGTGTTGAAATATTTTTCTCTGAAGTGAATACTGAGAAAGCATCATCTTGTTCTTTTGATAAAATTGAAATTTACGGCGGTGAAGATGTATATGCACCAAAGCTAGCTGAATTCTGTCATTCTGCTGAGCCTATTAACTATACTAGTTCTACCAATAAAATGTTTGTTGTATTTAAGTCAGATATATCTTATGCTAATCGTGGATTTGCTGCACGTTACAAAGCTGTACCACTCACTTGTGGTGGATCATTCCGAGCGGATCAGGGATCCATTCATTCTGCTAATTATCCTATGAATTATCCTCATAATCAAAATTGTGAATGGCTCATACGAGTTGATCGACATCATGCTATTAACTTAACATTTACTGATTTCGATATTGAAGATACAGCTAATTGTACTGATGATTACGTTGAGGTAAAACTTTTTATATAAAAAATTTAATTATAGTTTTTTAATTAATTAAATAAAATTTGTAGATATTCGATGGGCCATCAAGAAATGATTCATCACTTGGACGATTTTGTAAAAATAAATTACCACCTTCAATAATTTCTTCTGGTGATACATTATTAGTAGTAATGAGAACCGATAGTTTAATTGCTGCTAAAGGATTTATGGCACGTTTTGAACGTACATGCGGAGCAAAAGTAATTACTGATGGCTCTGGAGTTTTAGAAACCGTATCAAATTTGCATCTACATAATCCCGACGGAATTAATTGTACTTGGATCATCGAGGCAGCCGATCCAGCTGATCATGTAACTCTAACCATTTCTTATTTGAATATTGGATCATTTTTTTCTTGGGATAATTCATGTGAATCCCATTTCCTCAATGTTTATGAAGGTGAAGGCACAAGTGGCCCACTTAGAGGTTCATGGTGTACTAATAAAGCTCCTCCACCAATAGTAAGCAACGGTAACGCTTTAACAGTGCATTTATTCTCATATTCCAACAGTGATTCCATGTTCCAAGCATCTTATTCTGTTTTAAATTCAGGTAAAATAATGTTTCATTATCATTTTTTGCAAAATAATTAATAGAAAGCGATGGGTATTAACTGGAAATTCATTTTTCAAACAGCATGCGGTGGTGATTATTTCTCAGAATCTGGAACACTAGCTTCACCTTCATATCCCGAAAGTTATCCACTAAATATCGAGTGTGTATGGATACTACATACTTCTGCTGGAAATCGAATAAGAGTTTCATTTTCTGAATTTGATCTTGAATCGAGTTCTAACTGTGATCGTGATTATTTAGAAATACGCCAAGAATCTGCTATTGGAAAATTAATTGGGGTTTATTGTGGTACTAAAATAGAAGAAATAACGACAAATACTACAGTGTGGATTAAATTTCGAAGTGATAATGCAAATACAGCTAAAGGATTTTTGGGAGAATACAATTTTATTCATGGTAATAACATTATTGGTACATCAGGAACTATCTCTTCGCCTCTTTATCCACATCCATTTAAATCATCTGATGAAATTACTTGGCGAATCACCGTTGAGTTTATGTCAGTAGTACGAATAGAATTCACTGATTTCCATATTGAAAATATGTATGGCTGTTATTATTCAGCTTTTTCAGTAAGTTCTTTTAAATATTTAAACAATTAATTATATTACAAAAGACTGCTTACTTACACACATAATTCTATAAGGTTCATGATGGCTATGATTCTGATGCTCCATTGATTGGAACATTATGTGGTATTGATCTACCTGATCCAATCCAATCATCTAGCAATGTTGTATTCATTACATTTAATTCTGGTGATTCAATAAGGGAAGGAAACTGGTTTTCATTAAATTGGTATCAAGTTCCTCGAAACTCGAACTCTAAAAATACGAAAGAAGAATGTAAGTAATAATATAAAAATGATTTCAACATTTATCTGGTTGATGATTCTAATTCTAGTATCTGAATGTAATGAAGAAATTTATCTTCATGATTTAAAAAATACAACATTCTACATTAATTCTCCTGGATTTCCAAACGGATATGATGAAAACCTTGATTGTCGATGGACATTTTCATCACCTCCAGGAACTCATTTAGTTCTTTGGTTTATCACCCTTGATATTGAAGAATCTGAAAGTTGTATAATGGATTATGTTGAGGTTTATTCTGGACATGCAGTTTCTTCTCCTCCACCACCTGAATCAGTACAACTGGGCAAATTTTGTTATTTAAATGTTACGAACGTTCATGTAGAATCTACGAATGCTATGACAGTTCACTTCCATAGTGATTCATTTATAAATGGTACTGGTTTTAAAGCTGTTATTTATACTGTTTGCGGTGGTGCATTAAATGAAAATGATGGAATTATTGAATTTAATGATGAGATAAAACAAAACTTGATTCACTCCTGGAGTTTCAAATGCGAATGGAATATAACAGTTAGACCAGGGCGAACAATCGAAGTTAATGTTGTTAACATGTCAATAGATTCATCTGATGAATTTTGTAGAAATTATTATTTATTGGTAAAAATTTCTCTTATTTATTAATTTTAATTTATTGAATATGTTTTTACTTCGAATTTTTGTAGCTTAAAAATGGAGCTGGTCCAGATTCTCCTTTACTTGATAAAGGAAAATTTTGTGGTCGGACCCCACCCGGAACTCTGATGACCACTGGTAATAAATTGTACGTGAAAGCTGTTGGAGCAGGATTACACGTTAATTTCAAACTGACTTATCGGTAAGCTGAGTGAAATGAAGATCCATTCGCAACATAAGAATAAATATAAAACACTTAAATCTGCGAGATTCTCTCCTTTGCTCTTGGTGCAATATATACTATTGTTGATGCAATAATGGATAAAATAAATAATTCTCTCATTAATTTTTAGGGAAGTTGGATTAGAATGTGGTGGAACATTTATATTTTCAGACAAACGTCGATTTTATGATTTAAAAACACCGAATTATCCTAATATACCACCACCATATTCTGAATGTTTTTGGACTTATATGGCACCTGCTGGTGATAAGCTATCACTACACTTCCTCGAAAGATTTGACCTCACGGATAGTCCTAAGTAAACACTGAAATCAATAAAAATATAACGTCGAAAATTTTCAAGGTATTAGAAAAATTTTTTTTCAGTTGCGAAAAAGAATTTGTTGAAGTCAGAGATGGTGCAACAGATTCATCGAAACTTCTTGGGAGATTTTGTTCAGATACAGCACCGAGTAGTATCACTAGTTCAGGAAATGTCCTTTATATACATTTCTTTACTAACGTACCAGATCCTAAAAATGGTTTTAAAGCCTCAATTATTGCAGGAGGTATAATTTGATTACTTAAATAATAATAATTATTCAAATAATAGATTTTTATAAAAATCATTCTGTTTTACAAAGAATTTTGTGGTGGAATTATAAGGGCTAAACAAGGTGTTATTACTTCACCCTACTATCCAGCAACATATCCTAAGAATGAACATTGTAATTGGTGGATTATTGGCCCACCAGACCACACACTAAAAATACAGTTCCGTGATATTCATTTACCAGGATTACGACGATGTGAAAATACTGATTATGTTTCCATCCATGATAAGGTTCCAAATAATGATACAGGTTATATTTCATTTTATATGCATGTTAATTAATAAGCAATGCTTAAATTTTAGTAGCATAACTTAATAGCTTTTATAATAGATATGACTACACTTGGAATTTATTGCGGATCTACAAATCCTGGTATAATTGAAACATCATTTAACGAAGCTTTCGTTATATTCAATAGTGGTCGACGAAGTTATTTAAATTACCGAGGATTTAGTCTCAACTTCACTGCAAGTGGAGATAGTATGTTATTAAGTTGATAATATTATAACAAACATCAAATTTATCAGAATTAATACAATTTATTTTTTATAGCTTGCGGTGGATCTTTGAATGGAATGAATGGGGATATAAAATCTCTCGGTTATCCAAATCCTAGTCTTCGAGCAAGGTGACAAACATTCGATATTTCTTCTCTAGTAACATCGATAACTAACTTATTTATTTAACAGGTATTGTGAATGGCGAATTACTGTTCCTGAAGGATGGCAAGTACGTGTAGAAATTGATGATCTGGACATAGGTGGATCATCATCTAACGATGCTAGATTTTATTTAGCAGTAAGTAAAAAAGTATAACTTGTATTTAATTAAACATAATGATATTAATATATTCTAAATATTTTTAGTTCTATAATGATTTACAATCAAGATCTCAGATTGCTGTTGTACGTACCGGAGAATATGAGAGTCACATTAGTAGCTCGACGAATTTTATGCTGATTTCATTCTGGTCTAGTACAGGTCATCGAGGTTTAAAAGCACAATATACAGCATATGCACCAGCTCGTAAGTATTCTAAAAATCAATGATTTTTAAAGTGGTAGGAAGGTAAACCGCATTCGGAATTCATAACTTCGGAGATTAAGTTTTTTGATGCAGTGAAAATTTTTTATATGGCAATTTTATAGCTTGTGGAAGAATTGTGGATGATGTTCAAGGATCATTAACAGCACCAAGTACTCCGCCGTTTAATCAAAGTACATTCTTTTGTCAGTGGACAGTAAAAGCACCAAATTCTCTATTAGAAGAATCTCCAGGATCTGGAGTTACATTGTCAGTGACAGTGTCAGGAACCATCGGTCGCTATTCTCTCCAAACACGAACATGTTCCTACTTAATGAAATATATTCTGGTATCAGATTCCAAAAATCCTGTTGGAATGGTTTGTGGTAATGTAACTCAAGAACCATATGTTATTCGAAGTCCATCGCCATCTAATATAGTTACAGTATGTAAAAAAAATATTTAGCTGTACTATCAGAGTTGTGAACAGGAATTCAATCGATTCTATTCATAGGTACTCAATGGGACGTATGGAAGTATGATGAAGTTTAATATGACATATAAATGGCAAAAATGTGGAGGATTATTATCAGGTCCGTCTGATATAATTCGAGCACCAACAGACATTACTTACCCGAAAAGTTGTGCGTGGCGTGTGCAATATCCTGATAGTGGTGAAGCTATTCGTCTAACATTCAATCGTATCAATCTTGGGGATTGTAAAAAATCCTACGTAATCGTGAGGTAAGTTTTGATTTAAATGAATTTACAAAATATTTAAAAAAAAAATCCAAATGTAATAGAATTACTTTTTATTATTTAAAATGAATAGAAACGGTGGCCCGATGTCGCCTGAAGTAGGAAAGTTCTGCGGTAATATAAAACCTAAGAACATCACGAGCTCATCTAATAAATTATGGATTGAATACTGGGCTGAAATGGCTCCTAGTGACTTCGAAATCCATCTGAATGTTGATTTGGGTGGTTGTGGTGGCACAATTCGTGGATCAAATAGAGAAATATCATCACCTGGGTACATACTTTTTCTTTAACAAATTTCTTTAACAAAAATACTTAAACATACTTTATTAATTATATATAACTATTTATTAATAAATCAATAGTTTTCCACGGAATTATCCAGCTAAAGCTGAATGCACTTGGGAAATTACTGCTGAGAATGGCTATCATATAGGATTGACTTTTGTTGACAGATTTAATTTGGAATCAAGCGTACTTTGTAACAATGATTTTGTTCAAGTATGGATATTATATTGTTCTAATGTCAATTACTGTTGAGATATATTTACAATAAAAAATGCTCTAATTATTGTGTGCAGATATTTGATTGGGATAGTAGTAATCGCGGCTCTTGGAAGTCATTAGGAAAAGTATGTGGAAGAAATGTACCAGCACCATTAAATACTACTTCAAATCGAATGAAGATATTATTCCGTTCGAATGATGATATTCAAGGAGATGGATTCCGAGCTATTTGGGATCGCAACTGTGGTGGTATTTTCAGAGCAACAAAATATCGACAGATTATTCAATCACCAAATTATCCCAACTATTATGACACAAATTTAGATTGCAATTATACTCTAATCGCTGAAGAAGGGAAATCTATTTTAATTGAGTTCAGAGATTTTGAACTTGAAAATGGTATATAACATAATAAATATTATAAACTATTCAATTGCTTCATTTGTGATTGAAAAATATTTTTTTCAGTCAACGGTAACTGTAGATACGATAATTTAAGTATTTATAACTATGAATGGGGATGGCATGAATCGTCAACTATCTGGTGTGGCCTTAATAAACCTCCAGTTCTGTTAGGAGGAAGTAAAATAGAGATTATTTTCAAAACTGATAAATTTATTCAAAAAAGAGGCTTTGAATTCGTCTACTTCCTCAATGGTAAGTTATTAATTATTTAACTCAGTGTATATATTAATTTTTAAAAATTTTTTCTAGAATGTGGTGGTGAAATAACTAGCGAAGAAATACTTCAACCTCCGAGATCAAAAGAAGCTCTAACATACTTTGGTAGATTTAATTGTACTTGGACTATTCGTGCTCCAAAAGATAAAAGTATCACTCTACGTTTTAAAATGTTTGAACTAGAATACACTCCATCGTAAATATTCATTTTTTATTCATTTATAATTTTTATAATTATATGAATTTTGAACTAACAATTTTTTTTATGAATTAGCTGTTATTCTGATTACGTATCAGTTTTTGAAGGCATTGGAATCAGCTATGCAACAATACTAGCTACTCTTTGCGGAAATTTAACAGAATCATTGCCTGTTGTTAAATCCATCAATAACACGATGACAATAATGTTTTTCTCTGATGATAGCAATCATTACCGAGGATTTGAAGCAGCGGTAAATTAATTAATAGTTATTTAATTATTTTTATTTTACTATTATGATTATTAAATGTTTTCTTACAGGTACTATTTACTAAAAATGTTGCAAGCGGGTGTGGAGGCAATATTAATTTAACAAATTCATTATCCTGGAAATCTCAGAAAGGAAATACATATGAACCATTTGAAGATTGTCTATGGACATTCTCAGTTCCATCTAGTAAAAATATTAAAATAACATTCACCAGTATGGATGTACGAAATACACTAAATAAATCGTATTCTGAAAACACTGCACCATGTAACGGCGACTTCTTAGAAGTAAGTTAAAATTAAATTGAAAAATTTTTATGTATGAAAATGAGTTATCTTTTAAGAGTATGGTGAATTGTTTACTATAAGGTTCGCGATGGTAAAGGACCTTTTGCAGAATTAATTGGTAGATATTGTGGGCATCAAATACCACCGGTAATTACCACCACACGTAGTGATTTATGGATAAGATTTTATAGTGATGGTGAAATTGAAGGAGCAGGTGCCACTGCTACAATAGAACCAGTCGATTGTAAATATGAATAACTAATTTTCTTATATATTGTAAAAAGTTTAATTTATTCCTATTGAAAAACACAATTTAATTTTCAGCAATTTGTGGTGATACTTTGATAAAAATAACAAATGAAACAAAAATACTTACTTCGCCAGGTTATCCTAATAAATATCCATTAGGAATCAGTTGTAAATGGGTAGTTACTTCTCCAATAAGTAATGATATTCAAGTGCATCTAATTGAAGTTGATATGGAAGATTCTGAAGATTGTTTAGGAGATAATTTAGAAATTGTTGATAAACTGGTAACATTTATTGAACCATTATTTTTTATTGATTTTTTATGATAGATTTAATTAATAATTATAATTATTGTAGAACAATAACCATATAAGTGAAGGCTTTGGTGAAGATTTCATTTTTAGCGGAAAACGTCAGCAGCATACAATAGGTTCAAGAATGGTAACATAAAGCTTTATTTCCGTCAAAATGAAATTAATAAATATTACGAGCATGTAAATAATTCAATTTAATATTCCAGCAATATTTCAATCCTATGATCGCTTATAAATGGTGTTCTCAAGTGGAAAACTACGATTATTATAGGTAAGTAGGATAAATGCTTAAAACTGGTTAAAGAGTAAAAATTAAATTTTTTAATCTAAATTTATAGTGGAAGTAGTGAATTAGAAATCAGTTTAAAAACAAATATGGAAAATCCTCACAAACCCAGGAAGTTTAAACTAAATATTGGATTAGCTACTTGTAATCGTAATTACACTAGTCCTCAAGGAAGAATATATCATCAAGGATTCACTGATTGTTGGATCACAATAACGGTTCCACCTGGACACACTATTTCTTTGTACTTCAACAGTATGAAACTTTTTGATTTGACTGAATGTACCAGCAATTATTTGAAAGTTCATGAAGGCGACTTTAATGGTCCACTCTTAGCAACACTTTGTGGTATGCAAAGACCATCACCTATCTTCAGTACGACTAATAAATTAAGTCTGTATTCAAAGTCCGAACGAGGTGTTGTCTGGGAAAGTTATGATATTACTTACACTTCTACAGATAAAGGTAATATTATCTTGTCAATTATTAAGTTAGTTTTTCTATTTACTAATCGATATATTTACCATAAGGACAAGGTTGCGGTGGAAGAATTTATAATTATGTCGGAACATTTACATCACCATTATACCCAAATAATTATAGAAATGAAAGTCTGTGTACTTGGGAAGTAAGCGTGCCTCGAGGGTATAAAATTGTATTGAACTTTGAATTTTTCGACCTTGGTTCAAGTGATTGTGGTAGTGATTATATCAGCCTTCGTGATAGAACAACGGAATATGTACGAGTAATAAAATATTGTTCTCACGTATGTCAATAGAATTTATTTTTTTTTATGCAATCAATAAAGTAACAAATAAAAACAACTCAATTAAATAATAACTAAATTTCAGGACAACCCAGCTAAGTTCTATGGTATGACTAATTCAGTGACGGTAAAATACTCAACGACTGCAAATAATGGAGGAAATGGTTGGGTCATTCAGTTTATAGGGGTTGAACACTGTAAGTATCATTTCGTATATATTTATTTTAACTTTAATAAGCAAATGTGATTATTCATGTAATTTTTCTATTTAGCATTTAAAGAAGAAGAAGAAGAAGAAGAAGAAAAAGAACCAACCTATAGGAGAATGATTATATAGGAGAGATAGCTATAGATTAATTACTATATTTAATGATATGTTAAAAAGTAAATCATTGATATTACTATATTAAAGTTATGAAAGCAGAGTTTGTGATTGAGATATAATGCAAAATTTGCTGATTCTTTTTTAATATCTGTGTTATCGAACACATTCTCCAGATTAGAAATACTTTACATTTATATAATATATGACTTAATGAACTTTGGTTGCATCATTTCAGATACAGATTATTTGATAAGAACTTCTTTTATCTTTTATTGTTTAATGAACTGTTCGAAACGCACAAATATTTAACTGATTAAAATTATATTTATTAGAATAATTTAAACTTCACAAGATTCATCTGCTGGAACTTCATGTTCTTCAGCTACTTCGGAATCTTCTTTTACGTCGAGTGTTCCAATAGTTTCAGTCTCTGAATCTTCAAGCGTTAATTCATCATTTTTCTTTGATTTATATTTATTTTTACAAGATTTTTCTGGTTCTGAGAATTCTCCTTCTACATCATCTACTACAACTTTGTTTTTATTCTTTTTCTTTTTATTGTCATTATAATGTGCTTTTTTTTCATCTTTTTCCTGTTTTGTGTCTTTACTTGTTTCCTTTTCAACGTAATCAACATTTTCTTCTACTGGTGAATTCTCTGATACATTTTCATCATTCTTTGACCTTTTTTTCTTATTTTTATCTAATTTCTTCTTTGATTTATCATTTTTGTTATTACTGTCTGTTAGATTGTCTTTGGATTTCTTATTCTTCTTTTTTTCTCCATCACTAGGTACTTCTTCAACTTGAACCTCTTCTTCAGATGATTTCTCTTCGTGAATGGTCTCTTTTTTATTATTTTTTACTCCAGTATCTTCAACTTGATCAGCAGATCTTTTCACTTTTTTACTCGATTTATATTTATTCTCAGTATGTTCCTTATGATAGTTCTTTTGACGTTTATGATCCTCTTTTAAATTACTTTCAGTTTTCATATCATCTTTCTTCACCTTATTCTTCTTATCATTATATGAGTTTTTAGATATTTCTTCTTTTTTATTTTTAATACTGGAGTGTTCAGGATTATTTTCTTTGTCAGAATGATATTTTTGTTCTTTAGTTTTAGTATGTTTTCCAACTTTATTCTTCTTATTTGCGCTAAAAAATTATCATCATTTTAAAATTTCTGTTAGTCATGGAAAGTATTCACAATTATAATTATAATCTACCTTGAAACTTTTTCTACGTCAGATTGTTTGTTTCTATCATGAGTTTTCTTTCCGTCAGCACTGTCTATTGAAGACACCAATAACACTACGCAGACACATAATGCAAGTGCCACGACGATTCTAAAGCACAAATATTATTTAATAGGTATTCGGTATTTTTTAAGTAAAAGTTCAAAAATCACTTACCGCATTTTTGTAAATATTATTTAACAAAAATAATACAGTAGGTAAATTTTATATACACTTGGTATAAGAAAAGATACTTTCAACGTTAATAAAAGCGACTACAGTACACAATAGTGTCCTTTATAGCATTCAACGACTGATAGAAAATCCTACGATAAATATACAAATATAATCACTCTGTGAACTGTTATGAGTTTCTAGAGAGATTGATTGTATGATAAGCGATCTTTGGTACAGAGAATTTGTACTGACGTAAATTAATTGCACGAGTATATTAAAGTACTTGAGATTATCTAGAAAAATTTATTAAGATAAACAATCAATTAATTAATTAATAAAAACTCACATTAGAGATTTTTTTTTTGATAATATCTTTATGTGTTTAAAGGTATTTTTTCACAATGATATATTAAAGTTTTTTTAAATTGAAAAAAATGAGAGCAATAAATTTAACATTTAACATAATATGCAATTTAATCACATAACTGTATAAATATAGATTTTTTACGGAGATTCTTATGACGTCTGAAGATATTACTTTTATCATTTTTATACTTTAATCAGTATGTACGCATTTATTATCATATCATTCTATCTAGACTAATTATTTTTTTTAATTTAAAATTTTATTCGAAATTTTAAATTAGCTTTATAAAAATTTTTTATTTATATTTATATCTTATATATAACAATATATTAAGCAATATCTTCACACTTATAATAAAATAATTTTTTCAATTATACCTAATTAAGTATTATTTAAAGTTCGTATAAACTATTATATTTAAAATCATTTGTAAATTCATCAAGAAAAATTGAAACAGTTCAGTATAACATGTGTTATTCATAATTATTGTGACGAGAAGTTGCTATATTTTTTTTAATTTTTGTGCTAAAAATCGCTATTTTTTTTGCCATTATCAAACATTTACTTACATTGTTTACGACGAAAAATTTATAACAAGATGTATTATTTATAAAGAATTATTTAGAATTGTTTATAGTTTTTCCAATTATAGTCTATTTGAATCTCTATTTTGATGAAATCTAATGCAAGGCACTCACAAGATCAGTGCATACTGTCATTGCTTTAATATATTACTTCATTCAAATGCAGTTGTCTTCTATTCTCATTGGTTTAAGTGAATTGCTTCTGTATATAAGCAAATATTCAACTGCATCTTTGAAAGTTTGATAACTTCGTTCATTATTTATTCCAATGATTATTTTATAATGCTAATTTTTCTTAGATTTTTTCTGAATACCTATAGAGCACATTCGGTTCTTGTTTTTATAAAAATACTGAATAGGCTTAATTCGAAACTTAATGCATTCGTTATCTTTGAGTATCGTATAGAAATTTATCTTGAAATAATTCTTTGATAGATAAAAATACCAATTATAATCAATATGTTCACTAGTAGAAAAATGTAAAATGAATAATTGATTTTGATTTTATAAATAGATGATTTTCGTGAGTGTACTCTAAATACTGCTTCAATTTAAGTTAAAAACTATACATATATATATATAGTACTTGTGCCCATTTATGAGTAAGATTCTGATGAGCTCAAAAATATTTCAGTTGATATTTATCTGATATTATTATTTCACAAAAATACTTTCTTTTTCTATAGCTTATTACGAGCTTACCCTGACTCTTAAGTTAACAGAAACTTAAGAGCAAACATTCTGAATGAGACTATTACTCAACTGAGTATAAGGCTTCTAGATTTTAAATTATTAAGTGTCATCATTACTTTTAACTTAATGATTGAAAAATAGACTTATTTGTAATTCTAAAAATCACTCTAAAAACTCAACATGTATTTATTATCTCTGGTTGTTCAGAAATATTATTTTTCTTAGAAATAATTGTTCCATTCTTATGAGATGTTTCATTCAATAACTCAACGTCACTATCTACGAAGTCGGGTCGCTTTTGATCAGGATAATTCCATGATTGAATATCGGCAGTTCCAAATATTTGATAAACAATATATGTACCACATGCTATACAAGTAGTGAGGCCGAAAACATTTCGCCAAGCTTCCAAAGTTTGCTTTAATAAAAACAGGAATTAAATTAAATTAACTAACAAAATTATTAGAATAATCATTAACAAAATTTATAAAAATACTTACGCTTTTTTGAGTAAGCAGACCAGCTGCAATAGGTGATAAAAAGCTTGCAGTCATATGGATAGTTTGAGCGAATGCTAAAACTGGACCTGCTAAATTTGGTGCTATATCTACTATATTAGCCATAGCACCGGCATAAGCGGCAGTAATTAATGTTACAGCAATGAACCAAATAATCAGAACAAGAATAATATTACAGCCGAGGTACCCAATTAATAAAACGAGAATTCCCGGAATGACTTGTGCTGTTGTAAAAAATTTTTTTATATTATATAAATTAAGAGAAATCAGTTAAATTTGTGAAATTATAGAAAAGTAAAAAATTTACTTACATATGGCTGTGAACAACTTTCGGACATTAGTTAAAGTCATGATTTGTCGTGTTACGAGAACATCAGCAACATAGCAAAAAACTACTGAACTGAGATAACTGCATATGAACGGGGCTCCCGAGAGCAATCCATTCTGAAAATGTAAATAATTTGTATGTCATGAGAGCTATCTAATGATTGTATTAATATGCAATATTGTATTGTAATAATAGCAACGATTGATATACATACCGCTTGAATACTAAACCCTAAAACCGTTTTCATATACATCGGGCCTGGAATGATGAAGACGTAATGGACCCATATTCTTCCAAAAGTAGTGATTCCAATTGACCATGCTGGCCATGACGTGAGGATAGATTTCCAAGGAACGATGACGGTCTAAAAATAAATATTCGTATGAATATTCTACTCTAAAACGTACTTTAAGCTGTTGAAATATTAATGAATCTTTAACTCACTTCATTCTCCGAAGCGACCTGATGGATGACGCTTCCTTGGATGTATTGGCGTTCCTCAACAGATATCCTTGGATGCGAAGCTGGAGTGTCAAATGCAAAGAAATACCAGATGACGCACCAAGAGACTCCAATGCCACCAGTGGTATAGAATACGACACGCCAACCATAGTGAGCGATGAGAAATCCGCACAACGGGTAGGTCAAGCCGATGCCGAAGCTAAACCCTGAATATAGATAATCGAGGAGTTAGGAGTTGCTCACCCCACGACGGTAGAAGATGAAACATGATGTTCAGCAAATGCAGGCTTTCGGAGCCACTAAACTCGTATCGCAGGACCTTTGTTATTCCATATCAGTGTGGGCTCTCTGCAATGCCATTTAAATGAAGTTTTATTATGAAAAAGAACGACTATGACCGATGGAAAGAACGAAAAAGGAAAAAAAGAAATAAAGTATGAAAGAAATAAAAATTGGAGTTAGTATGTTAATAGGTGGGACAATGAAACTTCTATGTTTGTGAATAATACAAAATGAATCCGGTTGATTTGAAAAGTATTAAGTATGATGAAGACCATGATCCCGAAAAGAAAAAAAAATTATTCAAAATATAATTGAACAAAAATGACAGTTGGACTATGCGAAAAATAATTCATGCTGATTATGTATAAATAAAATGTATCTTTCCACAATAGAAGATATTAATTCGTTGATGTCAGAATATTACGGCGTTCAACGTGCGTGTATACAAGACCAGCTGATTCAACCAGGCTGGAAGTATACTCATGCCGTTCTCATGCTGTTGAGCGGTTGCCAATCGAGTATACCCCGCGGTCCGGTGAATACAGCTACGATGGAGCTAAATCAATGAAAAATAATTTCAACATTTGTAAATATTCGCAGGAGATTATGTACACATGTTTCGATTCCATTATATTATAATAATATATCTGGATAATAATCAGTGATCGTTGATCCAAATGGATATTATTTGACTGAAAAATTTGAAATATTTTGTTATTATGAATAAATTTCCAATTCAATTATTATTATAAATGAAACACTGAAAGAAGTGTTTATGTTAATATTCATAATCAAATAACTTATCAGACTACACAAATGTAATTGATCAATTTTGATAATAATGATATGGATTTCAATATACACAAACAACGACACATGTTACATAGTCTGAGGCGAGAATATTGAAGTTTCACTGTAACACAAAAAATGTTTTAGAACGAAGCAAGTAACAAATTAAATGGACCCTGAAAATAATCCTCTTACCTTGAAAGGAAGACATGAAACGAGAACGTTCAACTGGTGGGATCCAATGTCCTACAATAGCATACATTGCAGGCCAAGTTAACCCCTGAAATAGTTAAATCATATTATATAAATTGATTTTATCAACTATTCATTCAACATTTATCAAATTATAAAGCTCCACTTACACTAGCAATTCCTTGAATACTTCTGAGAGCAATCATTGCTCCGTAATGTAATTCTGCAGCACTTGGTATTAACAGGCTACATATAGCAGTAACTAATTGTGAACCTCCGAATACTGTTTTTGTGCCAAAATACTGTGTAAGTACACCACCAACGATTTGCGAAAGAATGTAACACCAATAGAAACTTCCAATAATGGCAGATTGAACAGTTGGACTCCAATCGAATTCTCCCATATTATGCTACATCATTATAACATGTATGATTCATTTTTTTCTATTTACTTGATATTGATGGTAAATACTAAATGTTATCATTGTAACGCATTTACGTAATCATTGCATCATCATGGCTAAATTACACAGTTTATGTAAAGCTTAATAAGAAAGCTCAATTACTAGTAATTTTTATCAATAGACTTGACTCAAATGATGTCAGTAAATACGAATGTATTAAAAAGAAAAATTGATGAAGAGAATTTGTACAGTTATAAACTATTATTGCAACAATATATGAAGTTGTGAAAGCTATTTTTGAATGGAAGGTTCAGCTTTGATTAGATATGTTCAACTTACTTTAGGAGTGGTAGTGGAATTGTCTGAAGTTGATGTTGCATTCGATGATGCATAACAATAAGAGTCCGTAGCAACTTCAGTATCTCCAGTGGTACGTGGCTGTAGCTTTACCATTTCAACCATAGCAATGTTTATGTCTGTTCTCATCATAAATGATACGAGAAATCCCGAAAACGAGAGCATGTACAAAACCACTCGAGCTGGAACTGTTAGAAAAATTGATTTATTTGCATGATGAAAAAACTGATAATTATAATTATCAGTTTTCACTATAGTTTTGTAGGTATTTCTTTCATTTTATTACCGTCAAACTGTCGTAGGCAATTGTAAGATCTCTTGAACTCGGTTGAATTCTCATATTTACTAAAAAAAGAAAGAAAAAATAGCATCAAATATAAGCTTACAAAAGAAACAATCATTGAATGTACAAAAACATAATTATTTCTTACTTCTCAGGATCTTCCATTGTCTTATTGGAAATTTATTGTAAGAAAACCAATTGTACGTAACTTCACACGAGTTTATAGTCGAACAACCAACCTGTGATCACCTCGGACTTTCCTGTAAACAATTTCATATTATTGCAATAAGTAGATTAATACAATAACACACATAGATTTGATTATTGATGAACATGAATATTTGTTAATTACTTATTACATGACTTATTAGAAAAATGATTGTAATAATTATTCCAAGGATAAAAATAAAAAGTTAGCTCTACAATGATATGCCTACTTTATGATGATAAGTACATTTATTCATATAATTATCATATGGTTTAGCTGAAAAGAATTTCACCTTCAAAGTAGAGGAATTTCAGATATGTGTATTGAATTATGATCTAGGGCTGCGACCTCGTTCTTTACAGAATTCAAGATGGATTAATAAAAATTCTTATTTTGTGAATTTATAAATCTTGACCTAATCTGCCATATAGCAAAAATTTCTCAATTAAATATTTGCTTATAAACAAAAATACTAGTGAAGAGTAAATGATGTCAAGCAGTAGTTATCATATGTATATTTTTTTTATAAAAAATGTTGTGACTAGTTAGTTGGTAGATATAATTATGATATTCAGTCCTTTTATCGAGCGGTATGTGGTTTGATAAATTGTCTACAGTTTGTAAAATTATGATAATATTAAAATGTCGAGGAAATTAGTGACTGCGTGACGGTAAAAATGCAAATACTTGCTAAATTCTATGAAACTCATCAACATTTTCAAAAAACATACATGACACAGCAATGAAGGAAAAATGGTTTTTTCACAATATTGCATAAGTTTATAAACTACTTAAACAGATACTGATAAAATATTATTTATAATTATTCAAAATATAGTTTAAAAAATCTTTCAAAATATTTTATGAAAGCTTACTTGTTCACTAGTATAGTAAATAGTGTTATTCAAGCAATCACTAATTAATGCTGATGATATAATTTTGAGTAATCCTGAACTTTGTGGTATACTTAAAGTAAACACTATGTCTGCAACGTGGTTCTATCCTTACTGATGATTGCTGAAAGCTGACTCTACTTCCATAAAGAAAAGAAGGGTCTTCAGTTTTGTTATCCCCTCTTTATCCCCTCTACTCAAAAACTATCATTCAACGATTTAATTATATGTATATATGAACAGTTGAAAGATTAATCATTTTTTGATACTTTATGTAATCCATTATAAATTTAGTAATTTTTATGCAAACATTGATTAGTATTTTAAGAGACGTTTAAAATTATGTCATTTTTGTACTTGGTTTTTATTAAATCTGATTTCCATTTGAATATTATGAATTTGATGATCTCTGGATGAAAATATAATGATTTACTAGCTATTACATAATACAATCAATTGAATATTTTTTGGACTAAATGTTTGGTCATTTTATTAATTAACGTTTAATTGAAAAGAATGCTGGGGGTAAGTCACGAGTTGTAATTTTCAAATGTGTCATGTGAAGATTGATTCAACGAAATTAATTTTGATTAAGTTGTGACAATTGAAAATAAATTACAAGAAACGAAAAAAATATAATTATGAACCACTCATAGAATTTTTTTTTTAATTGAATAAACATATGCTAAGATGGGTAATGTTTATTATACAAGATTCAGATGAATGATAGAAAAAGTCGTAAACTCAATTTATTAGTTTATTTACTCGTTTTTTTTACGGCAGAATAAAACGAGATGTGATTGATGATAAAAGCTGATGAGATTATAATTGACGATTCAGAATTACGTAAAAAAATGATAGGTGGACAAGCTAACTCATTTCGAAGGTTTTATAAATTTAATTTTTCTTAATGTAATCAACCAGAATATCTAATAATATTTTTTTCTTATCTAAACAGTAATCATGATGTAGAATAAAATTCTCCTAAACAATTGTACTTCATTATAAAAAGTAAATATAAGAAAGTAAACATATTTAACATAAAAATACAAAGAATTTTACAATACAACAAATGATTATAAAAAATTACACAATATATCTTCAACCTTGGCATTATAAATTTTAACCTTATTCAGAATCAATATCAGTTGTAATAATGTACTCATAGGAGCTGTTAGAAAAACTTTAGTTTTATAAAATAAGTTTTATATTAAACCATCCATAAATTATGTAGGCATAATAATAATTTACACTAAACAGCTGTTTACAAAATAAAACATGTTCATTTTAATAATCAGTCAATTTCATCCATCAATTTGAGATACCAGTAGAGATACTCAACTCAGAGTCATTCAGTTGTGCATCATAATACAATAGAAAATTATTAATTATTATGAGTTATTTTCAGTTACCTTAGTCTCTTTCTTATAGTTGTAGAATGCTAAAATATAATACTTCTGGTAAATTTTATCTCTAGTATTCTTCTGCATTTTCACACACGTGCTGAATTCGATGACGTTCAGTTTACTATCATCTTGATGTCAGAATGAATTTGAATCAAATGTATGAACGAAATAATAGAATAAAAATGAAGTCACAAAGTAAGCAAATGTATTTGTATGAGCCTGGTAGTTGGTTATATTTAGGGTAAAAAGGTTCTAACAACGATGTAACGTCGCGTAATAACGAAAACGAATCGGCAAAAATCGTACGACCTACGAGTGAACATTGAATATAGCCTCGACCTCAGGTTCATTTCGTGACGTCAAAATTACCACGTGACATGTTGGAAGCGATCGATAGGCTGCTTGTACGCCGGCTTCACTACTAGGCGGTATTTTGAAAGAAGTAAAATATAATTTGTGATAATAGTTTTATAAATTGAGTGGACTTTTGATTAGTTAGCTCATAATCAACCAATTTGTCCCAGGAAATGAACATAAAATGTTTCACTCCACATATATATCCAGAAAGTAAGTGAATGACAAGTTCAAATTTATAAATTTGGCAAAGATTTGTAAATTTATTTTGGTCCAGTCACATGTTTCATCAATCTTATTCATCAAAGTGATGCCACATAAATAATTTTAATGAATTATCTTATTAATTTTCATATTAAATATTTAAATAAAAATTTGATGTAAAAACAACTGTTTGATTGCATGAAAGATACATCTAATTTCAAGTTTATATTTAATTAGTATATTAAAATTATACAATTTATCCTTTCTGTGGAAATAATAAATAAATGATTATCTTACGTAAAATAAGGAAGATGAATTCATATAATTAAAATATGAAAATAACCTCAATCATTTATTTACTAAGAAACAAATACATTGTTTCATAGAATGAAGTTGGTCATATAAAAAAAATGATTTTCTTGGAAATCACATTTAATAGTTTGATCAAAATGTAAATAAATCAAAATTGCATAAGATTATGTCAGTCAAAGAATATCATGTGCCATAAAAAAAGTACTTATTTTCATCTTTCAAATTTGTTTTATTTTTTTTAAACATTTACCAGATCATGGACAATAAGCAGACATAATTATATAACCTGTATCAAAATTATTATTTAGTATATTTCAATAGTCCTGATATTTTTTGTGGAAAAAAAATAATCAGCTTTCTGAGGTCAGTGTAATTGAATCTCTTGATATCAAATGACATACATTTAACTACTGTATTGTATGCAAATAGTGAGCATCAGTGATGGATATTAACTTGAAAAAATGTTCGAATGCCTCAAAACCACAAAGTCGCAAGGTTGAAAAAGGTGAGACTTGAATTATGTTGGTTATCGAAATGGTAATCAATCTAATATCCATAGTTGTTCTTTACGGAAATATTTAAAAAAATTATGCTTTTTGAATGACGCACCTCAATAAATTATTTATAATCAGTTTATTTAATACTTATCATGGACGTATCGTAATATGATCTAACATTTGCACAAAGTTATCTGTTGGATATTTTATTCAGCACATTAAAAGTATTTTGGCAGATATTTATCATGTATGTATTTTATCTCAGAAAGTGAGCTTATAGGGTCACTATCGAAGCAGCTGTATTTAGCTGGGAATCAAATCCAGAGGCAGCAAGAAGTACTCAAGAAAGTCGAAAATCGATTGAAATCCAAGGATCAGGAAATAAATCGTCTTAAACGAAAGGTTTGTAGCATAGATTATTGTCATTTGACTTTTTTTTATGTAAGACTTTACTTATTATGTTATTGATTTAGATAAAAGAATGGGAGGTGAAAGAAAAAAATCAAGAAACAATTTTAAAGAAAGAAACTCAACAACAACAGATGAAAAACGAAAAGACTGATCATGTTTATAGAAGATGTTTACAACTTGAACAGAAACTTTTGGAAATGGAGGTTATTCGATTATCATTTATGTTTTAATGATCTCGAGATAACATAATGAATACATCGGAATTCACATTAACAGAAATTTCTAGCTGATTATGGGCTGATATGGATTGGTGAAAAGAATCGAACCAAAAATAATTATGAAGAATACTTAAAGTAAAAAATTTCTGATAAATAGTTATCAATGCTATTACTAAAGTATTTAAATTTAGTTTCTTTATCAATCAGCTTATTTTTTTTGTAGTCAGCACATAGATAACCATTTCGATAAGCTTGTGACTAATATTGAGGAGTTAAACTCATCGATAGGAAAAGGGGAGATGTATGTTTGTCATAATGCAAGAGGTGCTTCATTCAAGGTAATTTACATTAAAAAAACTTTTTTCTCAATAAAAATAATATATCATTTAATGTATTATATTGCAATAGGGAAGTAAATATATATAAAATACTAAAAATGGTAAGTAAATAGAAAAAAAGGGGTAGAATAATGCATAAGTCTTAAGACTCTTAAAAGGTTGATCTCCGTAGCAAGGGAGAATTTTTTTTTACGTCCTGTATTAATATATATTTTCACAGGATGTTTTTTTGTTAATAGTTAAGAGTTTTATGAAGTTAAGAAGAGAATTGCATTATGAACTTTTTGTATAAGTCTACATAAAGAATTTAGGGGAATCGATGCAAGGACAATTTTCTCTAGGGTTATAAATTACAATAATGCATAATAAAGAATGTAATGCTTTATGAATAATTTTTAAATTATTGGTAAAGGATTATACATGAGTAGAATACTAAAATATATTGGAAAATAATTTTGTACTGAATACATTCTCAGTAACTTTCTGAGCATTTTAAATGAATTCTTAGTAGGAATTAAAATAATAAATCCATCAACAAATAATTGATCAGTCAATGGAAACATTAACTATGAATAACCGATGTCTTTATTTTTATTATTACGTATTTGTTTCAGACATTGCCATGTATAGTCATTAAGTTTTATAAAAACGGAATGATTGTGCAAAATGGTCGACTACGTCCTTATAATGATCCAGCATCAAAAGCATTTATTAAAGATATTTTAGATGGATATTTTCCATCTGAACTTCAACATCAGTACCCTAATGGTGTTTCTTTTAAGGTCGTTATTTTTTTTTTCAACTTGATATATTGTTCTCTTTCTTTTATTCTCACAATAGCATATATATCATTAGATTGAAGATTTTAGGAAAAAAATACGTTTGGATGAAGGAACTAAATATCCTGGGCATGGTTATCAGCTTGGAAAATTATCCTCTAATGATCGTATTTCCCCCGTAGAATACTCTACTAAAGCTAAGAGAACATCTGTGCCAATTAAGCCTTCATTTGATCATAAATCATATAGTTCATGCATGAAACGTTTAGATAGTTCTCCTCCTTGTGATAGGTAAATTATCATTATTTATTTATTAGTTTTCAAAATGTTCAAAAATAAACTTTCTTCAAATGTTATAGAAAAAATTCTTTGTCCACTGTCAATAAATGTCTCTTAGCAGTATCATCAAACGTAAGGTATATTACAATTGTTTTTCAAAGTTCATGAATAAATAAAAAAACTTATATCTATTGATTTTCAGTCCCTTTGATTTGGAGCCGCAAGATTTAAGGTCTCAAATTCTTGCATCCCACAATCATAACTGTTCTGATACCCATCTCCAATCTCACTTGAATGCTGAAAGGGCTTTGAGTGCAAGAACTGAGAAAGTAAGTTATAAAAAATTTTTAGAAGGTTAGGAAAATCTATTAAATTCATAATATAGGAATTAATCACTCAGTCCCTACTCGTGACTGCTGAAAACCTAAATGAGAATGTCCTTATTAGTGACCCTGTTACAATTATTACTCATAAGATTAAACAGAGGGTCAATAATAAGTATATCATCAGAATATACGATCTCATATAATTATTTTTAATTATTATAACATAAACTAGTGTTAAATAATTACACAAAATGCATTAATTTTCATTAATTCAATGATTTTTCAATTATCGTATTAATATTAAAAAAAAAATTTATTCAACGTTAAATTGCTATTCAAGGCACTAGGATAAGAATCTATTAGACAGAAAAAATTATCAACGATTTTACTATCTGTTTACATATTAGTTGATGCAGCACAAATGGTTGATTTTATCAGATAATAATTAAATTTTTATCCCTTATTTATTATTTAATCTCGAAATAATTTATAAAGATTACGTCAGCTGCAAAACATGTTAAATATCAATCTTCATCAAGAGAAGGAATTTTTAATTACCAAGACGACGTATTAAAATCAGAATCAGTAAATATAAATCGTTACAATCGATCTGCATTAAATCGATCGTCCTTGGATGTGTCTTACAGGTAATTAAATACTTATTATTCTGTATTGTTTACATTCTACTTGTGGGTGATTAACTAAATAAAGAAGATTAGTTCTGATGCATGTGATTAATATAAAAAATGTTAATGTCATCTACGATGGATAATTGTGACAATTAACTATTTCTCGATAGTCATTTAACAATGTAAATGTTTACAGGAAAACCTAGAACTTTAAATACATGCAATTCTGCATCTACAAACTATTATAAAGTCACATGTAATTTGTCTCATCATGATAATTTTTAAAAAAATTCCAGCCATGGAAATAATACTGATAGACGACCTAAATCAGTGAGTTCAGCAAAAAGCTGTTTTTATCCGAAGCAGCTACCAACAATTGTACCATCAGTTGATAGTGATTTCACATCAGCAAGAAGTTGCAAACATTCCAGGAATAATAAACTGAGAGCATCTAAATCAGCAACTCTAGACAAACAGAATAATGAAGTAAATTTTTTTTTATTTTAAATATAAGTGACTATATTTTTAGAATGAATTTAACACGAAAATGATTTTATTGAAGATACCGATAGTTCAGAAAGTTAATGAACCTACTGGAGAATCTGGTGAGCTCCGTTTGAAAATCAGGTCTATGTCTGGTAGTGTGGTGTACCTTGTTTACATTTCTACTGATGATACCGTAGATCGTCTATATCAGTTGTTAAATACAGTCCTCATGCGAAAACGACCACGTGTTGGAGCGTATAAAATTGTGATTAATGGGTAAAATATAGCATTGTTTTATGTTATTGTTAAAATAATTAATGACCACTAAGAAAATGCACAAAAACCTATTGTCTATTATCCTTAGATTTGTCTCAAGGAGATTAGATGTTATGGAAGTTCCTCTAAAAGATTATGGGATTAACAGAGACAGTGTACTTCATCTCGTCAATGATTAATTATTCATGTACTGTTCTCACTTTTCAAAAGCTGGACTCTTCTATAATCAAATACCATGAATTTTTTTATGCATGTGGTCATGAAGTATCTGATAAATGAACGATTAATGAAGATGAATGGATTTTTTATTTTTTTAATTCAATAAACAATTGGGTAGTATTTATTTTATATTAAGCTTGTCATTTATTCGTTCATGTGTAGACAAAGTAGCTCTACCAGCTATTATCATTACGAGTTGTATCTCGTGGCATGTGTCAACCACACAGAATTGGTTTGTTGATGAGAGTTTCAATGTCAATCAATATGTAAATTTGTTGTATATTGCACAATGTTTTTGGTATACATGTTAACAGTATGGAATATACGAATTCACAGTTTTATGGCTGTAGATTTTTTTATTTGCAATCGTGCAAATTTCCGATATTGAGCTTTATTGAAGAACAGTTGGATACACTATCCTTGATTTCTAAATTTTTATTTACTCTATACAAATGTAAATGATAGATTGGAAATTTTATGCTGCTAGAAAATCTTTGGAATAAATAGCAATATTGATTTACATTAATAAAAAAAAATTATTTACTCCAATATTTTATTTTACATTATAAATGCATTTCATTGTGTTGTACATGAATTTGACCTAAAATAATTCGCTGGTATCTGAAAACCTCAACAACGATGCTTCGAGGATTCAAGATTAAGCGTGTCCCCATTACTTATCTTATGATTCATCTTTTGGTTTGTTATCTAATGTTTTTAATCTAATTTACTTAGCACATCTGCACAAGAGAAGAAACACTTCTATACATCCTTCAGTTCGGATGCAAACAGTCCATAATAAAAAATGGATTTGAGCGCACTTAATGCCCTGACAGCAAACTTCCCATTCATTGAAATCCGTAATTTTGTCATCTTTTTGTTTTTTTTATTTTTCATAAGGGATTACTATCGTTATAAAAAATGTAAGTTGTTTAATCACATCAAGTTATTTATAACAGTATTTTATTGATATTTATTAAAAATTATCATAGTCATGATTATTCAATAAATTAAAATCATTTTTAATTGTTTAGAGTCATGTCAAGTCATTAACAACCATATTGTATTGATATTGATCTCAATTTTTAATAATATTAATCATTCAATAAGAATCTATTTGAAATGTCTCCTTACAAATTTACTCAACTTATTTTATATTGTTTATTATAAAAAAACGACTGGACCAAATTTGTTTGAACTTCTTTTAGGTATTCTTCATTGTATTATTTTTCGAATGAAATTTATCTGAAGTTGATATCTTCAGTGGTTCTCGAGATATCAGAAATGAAGAAAAATCTGACACACGTACGTACGGTTGTACGTACGTTTATCCATTTTTAAACCTTCTAATATGCTTTTAAATGTCTTAAAACGTAAAGGATGTGATAAAATTACGAACATTAAAAATCGATTCAATTACAATAACTTCCTAATGGGGAGTTAATAATAGGATGTTAAAAATTCAAAAATATTTTCAAAAAAAAAAGTATGTTTGAGTCGGAATCTTTTTTTTTCTTCTTCAGTATTAAAAAGATGTATTTATGTTTTTATCAAAAAATATACGAAAAAAGAATACAATTATAAAAAGATGAAATAAATTATTATCGTACATTAAAGAAGCTTGAAATCCTGTATTATTTCTTTGGTAGTACGTCTGATAAGTTTATCAAAATTCTGTACGCTCAAGAAATGTCGCAAGAAAACTTGAACTAAGTTTCTCAATTGACAGTACAATATCGAATGGATGAGTGAGATATACTTACTTCAATTGTGTTCAAGCCCCAAGCTCTGTACTTCTCTTTGAGTAGATTGCTTCGAAACCAAACGAAATAACAATTTCATATACGACTAAGTGACGGAATTCATAAGAAATTATAAAACAAAGTTTTCAAAAGGGAACAATTCTAAACAAATAAGAATCCTCCTTGGTATATGAAGAAATTGTATAATTTTAATAACACTGAAAGGTTTTTAAAATTTTTAGATAAATTTTTATTAAAATAAATGAAAGGAAGAATGGTATTATGATGAAATAAATAACTATATCGAGATATGGTAAAAAACAATATTTTAATAATCAAGTTATATTAGTTGAGGTTCTATAATATATGTGTTTATATACAATATTAATTCAGTATGCGATTATTTTAATTCATTCCCATAACTACATTAGAAATAATAACTTATTCATTGTAAACCTAAAAAACTTTTAACGATATACATTTTTACGTACAATAGAACTAACTTATATAATAGAATCTATGTAACAAAATTCATATAATATTTACAATGATGTTTGATATATTATAAATATTTTTTATTTGTATAAAAATTTAACTTTATTCAAAATTTTAAACTTTAATTACAAAGAAATTGGCGAAAATATTTTACATAAATGGTTGATAATAATTAGAGAGTGTCCATTTATAATTATTTATAATAAATAACAACAACAATAATCGCAACATTTGTAAGTAATATTAATACTTCACGGTTATTTTTTTCAAGTATGTCTGTAGTATGGTGATAAACTTGTATTTAAAAATGTTTAAAGATCTCTATAAAAACTATGAAGTATTAATAATTAATTATTTTATAATATTTAATAACAAAGGGATCTAAATTCATAAATATACTTCATCTGTACGATATGGACTTATAGTTTATCTTTGCTTCTCATTGGGTATACACTTTACTTGAGATATTTAATGAGAAATCGACTAGACAGCCAATGTTAATGTTTGAAGTAAATACAGTTTATGGTTTAGAAGTAGTAGAGACAATTATTTTCACAGTATTTACGTCATTACAGAACCGCATAAAATCGTGGAAGACTTCATAATAGTGTTGAAATTAAATCGTAAATAATGAAAAAATAAAAAATTGTAAATTAAATTCAAGCATGAAAATATTATTTTCTATCTAGAAAAAGTAATGGAACTAATTCTGTCAATTAAATTTCTTGAATAATTAATTTATGTAAAAGTAGTGAAATTAAAAATTCATTGAATTGAATATTAGTTGATTTAGCATAGAATATCTCATACATATTCACCAAAGAAATATATATATATATATATGTATATAAATATATTTACTGACAATTATGTAAACATTGAACAGTCGTTGCACTTGTAGTGACATAATTTTCTGTTTCATTATTTACAACTGCATTAATACACATTATTTGAAATCTTTACTGATGTAGGCCGTGATGTTGAATTAATTATAATCTTATACTTTCGAGTAATCTATCCATATATTATTATGTATACTATGTACAAGCATCGTTTTAAGTAATGAATATATGAGTAAGTAACGGGTCTGTATACATGGCCTTTAATCGATGGACATTACATATACGTATAATATACACATGTTGTATTAATAGGTAAAGCTGTCCAAGATATAGTATTTATGGGGTATAATGCCAAACTCTATCTATACTTTACAAACTTACACACTTAAGTATTCTCATATCATGACGTTAAATACATTCATCCATAAAAATCATACTATTTCATTTGTAAAATACTGGACGAATTATTCTCTACATACATTTCTGTTAAGTGCACATTCCACTGGTCCGAAGTAGATTGTGCTTTAATTTAATTTTGGAGTTTCAGTTGTGTTACGAATGTAATTATCGATTCAATTATTCTAGTTATTTACATCATTTTAAATTATCATTTATAATTATTCAATTTAATATAAAAAATTTTCCTAACCGATGTTATTTAACTGTGAAACGTCGAATTGACAGATTTGATGATAGTTAGACTGCTCGTTCAATTATTTTTATAATTTATAGCTGTGGAAATATTTCCAAATCATTTACGTGTTATCATGTCGATTTTACTCGGAATATTTACTGTACAGAAAAACGATTCATTTTTATATATACATGATGATAAAAAAGATGGCAGTGAATTAGCGAAATTTGGTCCATTTGCCAATAAAATTGTTTCTGATGAAGAATTAATGATTTATAAATAATGCAAATTTGGAAAGAAAATGACATAAAATAGGATTATAATGATCACAAAAATAGAGAAAGAAGTAATTGTATCAGCTACAAAAGCGCAATAAAATAAAATTCCAGTAGAAGATGAATGAAGCCCGTCTAATTTGGTTACTGACTTTGTGGTAATAATAAGCTGTTTCACAGTAACATCAATATGCGTCGAGCTTCCCTACTATTTTCTCTGGTCCCGCAGCGTCTAGTTGACTTCATTATTAGCCCCGTCAGGGCTTCATAAGTGCTATAAGCAAGTTTCTTTTTGATCGATGTTAACAACAACGGCGGCTTGTGCAGCAAGTTCCTTTTGCGCGGGCACGCCTGTCGGCACCTCTTCAAGTATTGGTCAAAGTGTTGTAGTTCTTGAAACAGTAGTGGTAAGTGGTGGAGGAGGAGGTGGAGGTGAAATAACAACATCAGGTTCACCAGCTAAATCGCAATCGAATCTCCAAAGAATATTTTCAGGATGGTCACCTCCTGTTCATAGTGATACAAATCTTTTTATTTTAAAAGTTTTACTTCAAGTTTCATGAGAGACTAGAATTTCGAAATATTTTATTTTGTCTCATAAAAGTTTTTAAGATCTATTTAATTGGTCTGATGAATTCTTGGGAAGTTGATTAAACATACCTTGACTTATGCTGATGCTCGGTGAATTCCGCTTCTGTTTCGGCAGTAGATGTTGATGTTTGTGCGAGTGGTTGCGACTGTGAGTATGAGAGTGGCAACGACAGCGATGCGTGTGTACGGGGGTTGCCTTGCAAACCGATGGCGGTGGTGGTGGAGCTTGATGCGACTGTTGTCGATGATGGCGATGGTAAAGTTTTTGCTAGGTGTTCCCGCCATGGCACGTCTCCACTTGATCGAAGCTCAATGATTTCTTCATCTCCGTCATCGGTAGCGCACCAGCTTCCTGCTGTGGGTATTATAAGTACTATGTTAAATAAAGCCAAATTATCATTACTTATCCTATAAGTTACTTTTTAAACTGCACTTTAATTTTTATTATTTTTACTTTGTCAATATTAACACTATATAATTGGATTTTATTTTTTTTTTTATTGTAGAAATGAAATCAAAGTTTTCATTTTCAGTGTTAGAAAAATAAGTATTTTCTTTTATGTTCAATATTGCAAGAAACTTTTTTTCTATAGAGTCTAGAATACGCATAGGTAAACTCAGTTTAACTCCTTTTATTGTACACTTCTAGATACAACGTAAAAATGAAAATAAAACTTTCAAGAAACTATAAAATTGTTCGAATTTAAGTTGAAACTATGAAGAAAATTATTAAAACAATTTTTAATTTATTTTATCAGTATTAAATTAGTAATTTAGTTTCTCTACTACTAAATTATTAGCTTTTCAATAATTGAAAAAAATAATTAAATAGCAAGCTTTTTAAAATAAAAAAAAAAAAGAAAAAAAAAAAGCTATAAAATGTTATTTACTGACACAACATTGAATGTAATTTGAGCTTTAAGTGAAAACGTAAAACACTCAGATATATCAAGACAAATCACACTTTTAACTCAGCACAATTATGACATTGATAGATGCATTACATGTACAAATTGAAATATATCATACTCCCTTAGCTTGTGAAATCCTCTTCGCTAGCTTTTTCCTATCTAACATATAAACTATTGTTCAAAAGCACTCTACACATCTAACAATAAAATTTTGAGTTTTGCTATTAAGCACTGGTTGGGAAAATTATGCAATGCTTTAAAACATAATTTATTCACTACATGTCTATTGTTTTACTGTTAATAATTTTCAATATATTTTATTTGTACGGTTTATGATATAATTTCTCCGAGTGTATTACGATAAATTTCAAATAATTGGTTAATGGCATACATTTTAGAATTTATTTCTGTTTTAAATTAATTCTTCAGTCATCAACAAAATCTCAATAGATTATCAATTTTCAAACATTCATTGTTTTTAGTTATTCGTATGTACATTTCATTTTTAAAAGTTTACTCATCCATATATGGAAAAAAAAAATTATAATTCTTACTCCAATAAATAGCAGTCTGTTACTTTAGGTACAAAAATGGCAATAAGCAATTTTTAATGAGGATACATTACAATTCCTTTTGTCAAAATGTGATTATGAATAAAAATTATGACCTTTACAAAAATAAATAATAAATATTACAATTGCAGTATCTTATTAACATTTCACAAGTAATAATTATAATGTATCCTTATGAAAAAATTACTTATTGCAATTTTTGTACCCGAAGCGACAGATGTCCATTTATTAGAGTAGAAAAGTCCAATTCCTCTCTTTATATATATATAGGAATTAATTTTAGTAACAAAAATCTCCTAAAAATTATCGTAGTAAAAATGAAGTATTTTTAATAAAATTCTTGACAGAAGAACTGTGGAGTATTTTTACAAATATTTCATTTAAAATTCTTTATCAAATATGACCAAACAATTTCTGAATAATTAACAATTTTAAGTTATTTTTTATTGCTTCAAATTCTTGATCTAAATTCATCAATTCTACTAAAAATTATAGCGATAAATGATAGAAGTAATTTTTGGACTGAAGATTTAATTAAAGTTAAAATATGCTTAATGAAAGTAACTTAGATACAACAGCAAAACTCGTCGCGTTTAACGAACTTACACCGTTTAATCGAGGTATCTCAATGCTCGGTATATATGTAGTTTCCTCATGGCTGAAGCATTGACGACTTCTTACTAGTGAAGGTTGAGGACTGTATTGCGTCCGTAATGTAGGATCCAAACTGCCTTGCTTCCGATTCTTCGCTATTGGACGTTGTTGAGAGCCACAACATAATGCGAACCGCAATTCTGAAGCCATCTCAGCACAGAGAGACTGTTCCACGAATTTATCAGATCGAAAGCCATGTGATCATATTACATGCATATATGTATGTCTTGGAAAATGAAATTGGAAATTGATACTTAGATTTTTTTTCACTATTCTAAGGGCGTTAAGGGGAAAATCGAGTCTGTTCAAAAAACGTCAAAATTTAATCAACTGAAAAATTAATAAAAAAATTACAATTACTATCAATTTAATGAAAATATGTTATTTACGAATTTTTTCACTTTTTTAAAAATAATACAGTGAATATTTTTAATTTCCCAGTGGGAAGTTATAGTAATGGGTGACATATCTCCACGTTTTCAGGTCCCCAAAGTCAAATGGAATAGTTTTCCAGTAGACGTCTGTATGTGTGCGTATGTTCGTACGTACGTTCAGAATTATTTTTCATCTTGATTATTTTACGAACAAAAAATGATATCAACGTGGGACTAATTGCATTCGATGCATAATTATGCAATTTAAAACTGATTAGGTTATAAGCAAAATCGGTCTAGCCATTTTTTATGTAGAATTAAAAAACTGAAAAAAAATACTAGCTGAATTTTATCATTCTTTCCACTGGGAAGTTAGTTGTGTTGACCTTTCGGGTCACACCCAGACTACTGAAGAGTACTGATATTTTATTAAATAGTTTTAAATGCTTTTAATTTTGAACTTTTTCGAAATATTGAAATGAAATGAAATTATTAGGTTCATAAGAGTTTATTGTGAAAATATTGTGAAAGTGTTTTAAAAAATGATGGTTTGAGTTTTGATGTTTTTTTTTAGGTATTTTAGTAATAACAACATTTCATTTTAAAATAAAAAAAGTAATTTATGGAAATAAAAAGCAATTAACTTTGAAGTATATAAAAAGTAGTATTATATGGTTTTGTCCCGACATCCTGAATTTTTTTTTTCCAATGAATTTAATTGCATTACTGCATTGTATTAGAAATCGCAATTCAGTTATTTATTGATCAGTTGACCTTTACAAAAAAAAATAGATGCATTATTAGCAGCACATTCACATTGTTATGTTTGAGAGCATTTGAAGTTGAGTCAGGGATTCAGTGGTAAATAGATGTTGTATACGTGTGTCGGTGTAGACGTTGTTATCGTCATCAATTTGAAATGGCGTTATTTCAGATGTGCAGCAAGTAATAAAGATTTCCGATACACAAGTACATATAATACACAGTTTAAAGAACAATATACAAAAAAAAAGTTACACATACATATAAATGTATATATGTATATACCATGCAATATTATGTGCATAATTAACATAGAAATAAATTGATGCATTCATAATATAGACTGATAAATTATAAAAAGAAAGAGTTAATTAAAGCTCTTTTTCATATAAACTTGAATAATTTCCTTCTGTTATTGTCAACACTTTTATGACAACGTAATAAAAAAATAGCAAAAAAAGAAAACTTACCCGATCTGGTTGAGAATTTTTCTTCGAGTTCCAGCAAAATTCGAGAATAGCAACAAGAATTGCAAGAGCAAGGCCACAAAGAAGTACAACAAAGACACCTCCTGTAAGAGAAAAAAAGGAAGTAGAAAAATGCTTCTAGGCGGCTCATTAGTTTTATGCCTTGAGTATCTTCTCTTTAATTTCTTTTAGATACTCACAGCGTTGTGTTTGTGCTGTATTACTTAAACAAGTTGGTAGAATATTGAACACAGTTTTTTTCTCAGCTGAACTTTATTCGTAATTGATGTTGTAAAAAAATTACAAGAGAATTGATATTGCAACTATGTACTTTTTTTTTTATTAAAGTTATTACAAATTTTTGTAATATTTAAGATTTAACTTGAGCAGATACGTTTATAATTTCATTATGGTATACATTTTATGATAATTTAGGAGTTTATTAATAATAAAAAAAATATGAAAAATTTTTTATTCGACGTTAATGTTTAAAAAAAATTAAATAAATCTGTTTCTATAAAAATTATTCTTTAAAGTATAAGCTCGAGAGAAAAATTCTGATACTACAAAGAAAGCTTTTTTTGGTATTATATTGAAACCGTTTCCTCAGAATACTTCTCAACTAAGATTTTTTCGTAAAAGTACTTAACTGAAGGATATGTGTCTGTGTTATAACATTTTATCAAAGGTGTACAAAAATGAGAGTGTAGTAAATACAACATAATAGAGAAGTCACAGCGGCTGATGCGCATGCTATTCTACTACTGAATCTTTAGCTCTATACTCTTCATATTATTGCCGCATGGATAAAACCGAAGAGATATTCTAGTGTAGAGTAGATACAGACTGAAAGTCATCGAGGGTAAGTTGCCATGGCCTCATAGTTTTTTCACACTGAAGAGACATTTTTTTATGATAAAAAATATAAAAGTAAAGGTTCAAACTCACTAGCTGATAACATCTCGGGAAAATTAATGTGATATTCATTAATGAATATTTTAATGAATTAAACTGTAATTGTAAAACCTCATTCATGTTGACTTAAACTTTCTTTCAATATCGTATTAAGCGAGTGCATTTGGTCATAAATAATTCAAACAATTCACAGATACGAGTCGTCGTTACATATCGAAATTATTGCTTATAGAATGACAATTACAACCGATTGATTACCGGAATACGACCGACTGCAATATATTCGTTGATAAGCTATTAATAGTTTCATCAATTGTTTACTAATGAAAGGAGAACAGGTTATGACTATTAAAGCTACTTATGAATTGGATTAAATCATTATTATCATTGCTTAAAGCATAACAAAAATAAAATTGAAGTATTATATCCTCCATATCACTTTAAAATTAATAATATAAATGAAATATATCTTGTACTATGATGATACTTTATGCAGATTACAGTTAAATATGTATGCAATTGTGGAACGCAATAATTAAAATTCATAAGCCTAACGAGAGATTTTTATATCGATTGTACTTAAGTTGGTATGAAATATTGTTATGTTATTGAAAATTTTTATATTTTTATTTATGTTCATATTCATTTGATGCTAATAATGTTGTAATACAATTTAATGTATTGATTAGAACATGTAAGAGGATTTGTAATGATTAACATTAAATATTCAGTAATCCAAATATTCAAATATCTAAAATTATAAACAGATTAAATAGATTTGTATAATTGTATTAATGATTATCCGAAAGGCTTGAACCTTTTAAAAATTCTACAGGTGAAATAATCACTAGCCGATAGGGGCTTTTTTGAATAATTTATAAGTGATAATGTAATTAATAGATGACTCATGAAATAAAATTAATTTTACAAATGAAAAAAGTAATAAGAATGTGTCAAACAACTTGATGTTCCCTAGAAGATATAATAAAACATTTTTTATTATTAAAAAAAAAGGAGATCGGAATGAGTGAGTGGGTTCATAGTAAAGCAGTCTTTACGTGACAGCGATAAGAGTACTTTTCAAAAATCCACAATATAAAGCTATGAATTGTGTGCAGAAAGTTTTAAAGAGCAATTTTATATTTTTTCGTTTGACTGTGATACTTTTTAAAGTGTTGGGACTTGCTCCATTTTCATATGCTATTTTTTCATCCACTCGAAACCAAAAAAAGGAAATGTCTTCACCTGTTTGTTATTCGATTGCTGGAATGATCTATAGTATTATATTATTAGTGTTTATTTTTTGTTCTTTAATATTTTGCATTATTATTGCTCCACCTGAAATCGTGAGTGACAGAATGACTACATCTCTTTTATTTATTATTATCGCAGGTGCTCATAGTGTTTTAATAACAATAATCATTATTTACTGTGTGAAGCAAAAGATTGCTGTTCAAATTCTGAATGAATTGATCAATTTTTATTATGAAATGACAGAAACTTTTCATGGTACTTGCAAGCGAAAGAGCCAAATTTATTCTTTGTTTATTGTATTGGTACATATTCTTATTCTCACTTCACTATTTAGTGGAAATAAGTGGTTTATACAACATCCATATCAAATAACGGTAAAAATAAATCTGATTCTAATACTCGGGTTTTCAATAGGAAGTGTCATAATTCAGTATGCATTAGTGATAATATTTCTTCATAAAATTTTATCCGATCTTAATCGAACTCTGTCAAAATTAATAAACAATGACAAACAATATCCAAAGGATTTAATTTTTCTAACTCAGTCTTCTCACAAAAATGTTGTCATGAAAGATCTCATACTCTTACGAGAATCACAGCGAAGACTCTATGAGATTTCTTGTGAAGTTAGCCGATTTTATTCAGAACCAATTTTATGTGCAATAACACTTTTATTCATCTGGGCAACATACAGTTCGTATCATCTAATAAATTCTCTACTGGCTCCTGATTGTAGAGACGATAGCATACCATTTATATACACAGTATTATGGATTTTGAAAGATGCTTTTCCAATTTTGATTTTAACTAATTGTGTAACCAGATTTAAAACAGAGGTAAGTTTTTTTTCTAATAATTAAATATTACTATCACTTATAAGGGGGATATGGAGCAAGACGGCTTTTTCGATTTTTGGTAACTCAGTGAGGCAAAACAGATCCTCCAAAGCTGTTAGCACGAAAGTTAACATTGATTTGAAAATATGCTTATCGCTCAAATTAAATTATTATGTACATAAGTCATTTTAAAATTCAAAAAGCGGTCTTACCTCATGGATCCGTCGTACCCCGTATTCCCCTATTTGTTTTTGATTATTTACGTTTCTATCATAGATGAGAAGAACCGGTGATATCATTAATGAAATTATGGTTATGCACCCTGTAGAAGGGGAAGTCAAATTCGAGGTAATTTACTTCATAATATTCACTCAACTATACAACTGTACTACATTGAATAAATTTATTTTCTGATTTTTTTATTTACCAGCTTTTATGATATTTCAGTTGGAATATTTTTCTATTGAATTACTACACCGAGACGTACCGTTTACTGCTTGTGGGTTATTTTCTCTTGATGGAAATCTTTTGACATCAGTAAATACCAAAATTTTACTCTAAATTCATTAAATGTTTATCAAAAAATATTTTATTAATTTAAATAACTCATTAACAATGATATTTTTGTCTAGATTGTGAGTACTACTGTAACATATATGGCTATTCTCGTAGAATTTGAAAGTAAAATTAAAGATGGAGGCAACTGTCAGCAAGTACGTATTCAAAGGATGTTTGTATCGATAATAATAATGGCAGTAGAATACTATTTTACAGTTAAGCAAATCATTTAGCTGATCATTGATTTTATCTGTTGAGCAATTATCATTTCCTAGTTTTTATAAAATTAATACCAGTATTACAAGTACCCGTATGAAAAAATTTTCCCTTTCTACTTACAAAAACAATATTCATAATGGAATTAACAAAATTTTTTTATATATTAATTTAATTAAATTTTTATTAATTAAAACTTGTACAATAAATTATGTAATTAGCATAAAAAAATAATTATCAACAACAAACAAATCAAATGGTTTAAATTTTAGTTGAATATTTTTTAAATAAAAAGATATACATTATGATGGTTCATTTATTTGCTAAATTATCTAATTGTCAATGTCAAAAAATTAGTTTAATTAATATATAGAAAAATTTAATTAATTTCATTATGTATATTATTTTTGCAAGTAGAGAACGTTTAATGAACGTTTGAAGTTGAAAGGAAAAATTTTTTATACGTATAATTATAATATATGAAAAGTAGTTGTTTTTTTTTATACCAACGTGGAATAATTTTTTTAGAATCTTTAAACTTGAAATGAATAAACTTGAAATGTATTCAACATGAAATATCTTGAATACATTTTTAGTGAATAAAAAATATTTATTGTATTGAATAGTTACTTTAATATTATATTTTCAGAATAATCAATCATTCATTCAGAAAATCCAATAATTTAATGGGATACTCATCACTTCATTTTTAATGAACTAAGAGGCAAACAATATAAGGTCAGTTTTTGGATGAAACATGTTATTTTGTTTGAAATAATTTGCTATGTAATTATTATCTGAAATCTAGAATATAATTATTGATTTTTAAAAATAGTTCAACTAATTTTCCACGAAATAATGAATATTCAACGATGTTGATATTATCTTAGCAATATTTGTTAAGTATCGCCTTGTTAATTTAGTCTGCATCTAAGTTCAACCAACAATTAATGTTCAACCTTCAATGCATAATCATTAATAAGAACATTAGAAATGAATTTATTTACAAGTTCATCTACGTGCAAGTATATAATAGTCTATATAATTTTCATAAGTTTTAAAGTGTATGGATTACTGCCTTTTAAAGTAAATATTTTCAATGGTGAACATGAGCTCAAGAAAAAAAAACTTTCATATAATTTCTCATATTCCTTGATTGGCTTAATTTACAATATATTGTTGGCTATTCTTTATGTTCTTTTCATGGTCTTTGTTATTTATTATATACTTTATTATCGTATATCTCGAATTTCCAGCTTATTATCTTTTGAGATAGTTTTGACAGTGTGTGCTAGTAGTTTTGTCATAATTATATTATTAATATTAGCTATCAATCAAAAACCTATGATTATTATTGCAACAAAGTTAATGAATTCGAATATAAATTTAAATCTTCAATCATCCACATTTTCTACAGTTTATTCAACCAATGAATACCTACAGATAGTGATAATCATTGTTTACTATGTCATTTACATTGCGATCACTTTGTCTGAAGCAGAATCAATGTACTATACTGTAACTGATGCCTATTGGATCATATCTTGCACACCAGGATTTTTTCTTGGTTGTGTATTGATTCTGTATGCTATTATTCTTTTGAATATCACCAGAGAATTTGAATATTTGAATCAATCATTGGAGTTTGTAATAAATATAGCAGTTACCAAAGATGATTATTTTGATATTCCAGTAACTTCAATGCATGTTGATAGAATTATTCAAAATATTCTTGAAATTAAATATATCCATAGTGTTTTGTATAAACGAATGTATGAATTTTCTAAATTCTGTTCAATACCAATTTTACTGGCCACTTTGTATTATTGTATGGACTTGGTTCATACTTCTTATTCAATATTCATGTTTATTCTTCTGTCAAGAAAATTTACTGTAAGCAGATATATCAATTATGCTTCCTGGATGTTAAGATGTGTATATCCACTTCTACTTTTAACAATCATCGTTACAAATACTATAGCAGAGGTTGGTAAAAATGAGTTTTAGCAAAGAATCATCTAATTTGAGTTGGAATGAATTATTTTTACTGTTTTTAGGTAAATAAGATCAAAGATATCGTACGCAGAGCTATGAATACATATCATATGGATAATAAAGTGAAAAATGAAGTAATGGTTAATATTTAAAAATGTGGAAAGATAAATAACAAGAAAATTTTAAAAATAAAAAAATATTCAAAAATTTTTTCATAAAAATTGTTCGTGATTGAATTTTTTCCTCTTGTTGTTTATCTTTTTTAATGTATATTATATTTCACAGAATTTGATATACTCTATGATTTTTCCCAGCTCGAACAATTTTTCCTAGAATTGCTACATTGTAATGCAAATTTTACTGCAAGTGAATTTTTTCCTCTTGACAACAGCCTTATCAGATTAGTAAGTATTTACGAGTAAAATGAGTGAATCATTTTTCTTATTGACATTTGATTTTGTTTTCTGTAGGTAATGCACACAGTTATAACATACATGATTGTATTTATTCAATTCAAACAAAAGTCAATATCTAATAGTTATCAGGATTCTCATTTTCAAATGGTGACCTCTGAATTCTTCAATAATTCGTCTTAAAAAATCGTATCTTCATTTTGGTGAGGTAATAAACTATAGTTCTCATGAACATTAATATATTAATATATTACTTTTTTATTTCTTCTAGCACATATTGATCGTCGATTGCAAACTTTCTACGTAATAGTGAATATTTAATTCAGACATTCGTTTCCTTGACAACTTTTTTTTTTAATGTTTTTCCATTTTTTTTCTCTCCCAGCAGAATAGTACTAACATCAAGATTGTTCAGTTTGTTGAATAAAAAGAAAAAAAGAATAAAACCATAAAAATGGGTATACCTACGTGTAAATCTATTCTGATTTATATGCTAGCTATGAGTTTTAAACTGTGGGGATTACTTCCTTTTAAAATCAACATCTCAACTCGTGAACGTGAATCTGGCAGGAAAAAAAATCGATACAATTTCTCATACTCTTTAGTTGGTTCGGTTTACAACATTATTTTAATTGTTATATATATTTATTTTATGTATTTCTTTATACATAATTTATTTTTTCAAAAAAAATTCAGTATCATTTCATTACCATTTTTCGAAATCTTTCTGTCAGTAATCTCTAATAGCATTGCTATCATTTTATTAATAATCGTTACTATAAAACAAAAAACAATGATAATTGTTGCTTCAAAGTTGATTAATTTACAAGTGAAATCGAATTTAAATCCTATTAATTCAAAAAAAAAGTTCTCTTTTGATGAATTTCTATTAATAACAATAGTTGTCTTATATTATTTTATATATTTTTTAATTATCATAACTGAGCCAACAAATATTATGATCTTCACTAAGAATGATATTTTTTGGATACTTTATAGTATTTCAGGATTTTTTATTGGTTATGCATTAATTTTATACATTCTCGTACTTTTTCGCGTGAAAAGTGAGTTCTATAAATTAAATCAATCACTTGAATTAGTAACAAATATAGCTGCCACAAAAAATGATTATTATATTATTCCTGTGAATACTAGATACGTCGATGTTGTTATTCAAGATATTTTCCGTATTAAATCCGATCAATTTATTTTCTGTGAATACATTCGTGCATTTTCGAGATTTTGTTCAGTACCAATATTTTTAGCCACATTGTATTGTTGCATAGATTTAATTTACACTTCATATTGTTATTTTATGTATTTTTTATTAAGCAAGGAATATAAATTGAAAAGATCAATCAACTTTCTTTCCTGGATAATGAAAGCACTTTTTCCACTATCGATTTTGACACTCACTGTTACCAGTACCACATCAGAGGTTTGTATTAATAAATTATCAATCAATTATTCTTATATTTACTTTGTATAGTAATAAAAATTTAATCATTTGATTTTTATTTGCAGATAAATAAAACTAAGAGCATTGTATGCAGAGCAATCAATACTAATCATATGAACATTCAAATAAAATATGAAGTATTATTTAAGTATTTGATTGATTAAATATGGATGAATCATATTATTGGAGTAATTAAATTCAAATTTCCTTTCAGCTGGAACAGTTTTTTTCAGAGCTACTACATTGCAACATTATTTTTACTGCATGTCATTTGTTTTCTTTGAATAATAGTCTCATGAGAACGGTAAGTATCCTTATGGTTTTTTTTTAACTTTATTGTAAAACAAATATTTCTTATTCCAGATTTTGAATACTGTTTTAACGTACATGATTGTCTTTGTACAATTGAAAAAAAACGAATTATCAAAAAATAGTACTCCAAGTTACTATGATGATGCAACATAAAATTTGAAATTGAATAGATTTTTTTCGAATTTGACAAGTCATAGATTAATTGAATAATATTTATTACGTTGACTTAGGGATGTGTACTTGTTCATTTGAACTGTTTAAACATTCTACGCCGTTATTATATCACTCAATTTAATTTTTTAATACGATTATAAAATGATAGAATTACCGACTTGAGCATATTTAATGTTATCTTATTATTTCCTATTTAATTAATTATTCTTAATTTGAATTTTTAATTATATTATAATAAATCAAGCTTTGTTTGTGAGATTATCTCTCTTCTATTATATGTCCGTTGCTCTATTATCTACTACAGATTAATTCGTTAATCCATAACCCAATTCAGAATTCTTAAAAAATATAGACAACAATAGAGAAGATTTATTAACAATGATAATGCTATTTATAAGTCTTCAAATATTATGTTTCCACATGAATAAATGAGAATTAATGTGCAATCTTAAAGAAGTCTAAAAATTCAAGGACTTTTAGATAAACATAAATACCATCGCAATGAAATCTAAGGTTATATCTAGGCGTAATATTCTTACGTTTGTAGCCAAAGTGCATTATCTTCTCACAAAGAGTGTGAGACTATCGCATCAGAAGAATAGCACGCCTTTCTCTAGAGCTCCATATTTACAATCAGGTATATGTATTCGCAGAAATCACTCAGGGTATATTACCACACTTCCCCACATTATTTTTCCAGCCACGCATATTTCCCTTTCCTTTGTTTCATCGGAGAGATCAATCAATATTATTTATTGAATCAATTTTATTTAATGTTCGTAAGTGAATTCAAAAGTTGGATTGCGTTTTATATGATTAATGATCATATTTATACATTGAAATTTTATACTTTCAATTAAATAATAACGTTTCATATCAATTCTATTATGTGCAGTGAATAAAAAAAATTTTCTGTTAAATAATATGTTTGAGTTTGGAAAATCTTTTAAATCCTGATCTAAATTAACAACAATAAACAAAATATGGTTTGGATATTTGAAAGCATACTCTGTGCAATATTTCATTACAAATATCTGCAATATTTGTTTTTAGTCGGATTATTTTAGATAACAATTATCAGATAAAGATAAATTTGTATTAAAAAAATTCGATTATAATAAACAAGAAATGCTAAAAATAAAATAAAATAATTCTTGCGGTAGCAACTTTGTAAATTATTTTCCATAAACTTAGAAAGCTGATAAAATAAACTTATTTATTTAATTCAAGTTATATTACTACTTTAAAAGACACTTCGTTTTTGCAAATTGCGTCTTCAAGTTTGAAGTTAACATTAAGCTAGTACGTGAATGAAGATGATTACGTTAATGAGTTTAAGTAATTTATATATTATTAGGTAAAAAGTTGTTCCAAAAATTAAACACATTGAAGTGAATATGTACTACAGCTGTTATAAAAGTAAGAAAAAAAAATTAATAAAAAGTAAAGTAAAAATTTGCAGAAGGAAAGAAAAAAAAATAAAATTATGTAAGGTTTTAGCGATAAGAAAAACTTTCTAGCGAATTTTATGAAATTCGAAAGCTCCTTTGAGAAAATCTAAACCACCATAGCAAAGAAGAGGCTTGTTACTCTGCATAAGCATAGTAATTGCTATTAAATCCTGTGATGTTTTTAATAGTTGTATATTTGCCTCGCTCCTTCATTAATATTCTTATACCTTTTATACATTCGTTATAGAAAATGTCTGTTCGTTAAGAAGCTCATTATTTAAATGATTTCATAATATTTTTGTCTCAAAGACTCTCGAAAAGGATCAGAGATAATTTTCCAGATAATTAATCATAAAAAAAAGTAAAAATACTGATAAAATGAGACTTACCAATGTTCTCAACTCCCAGAGCATTTGCTTTATTTTCTTTACTTTTTTCATCCCTGTTACATACGTCTCCGGTGTTTTTCCACCACTTGTCGTAAAGAATTTGTATTACGCCTTTCTCCTGCAATTCGAGAATAGCAAGAGATATTTTGTCTCTCCAGGGCGAGCCTAAATAAAAAGTTGAAAGAACTGAGCTTAGTATTTCATGTCACTTACAATAGCCAACAAAATTTATAAGAATGATAATACCACATTATACATTACTAGTAAAAAAAAGTCAAAAAAATTTATCTGCTATTACATTCGTACCTTTCGGTGTGGCTATTCCGTATCCTTTACTGTCTAATAATCCTCCTATTTGTGTAAGATTGCAATCTCGTTGTACAGCGTAATCAAGCATTGTAGATTCCATGAGAAAGGCATAATTACCTTCTAGCACTCTTTTAATACCTTCTTCATAAGATGGAACAAATACTGAGGATTTTTTAGCTTCCATAAATCGCCACATTTTTTGGTAAATTCCTATCTTCGAATCCTGGAAAATACATTTTTGATGAGAAGATAAAGAAAATATCGTTTTATTTTAAGGAGATAAGGATTATCAACTTACTCGAAAAAATGTCATGGTACTTCCACCTTCTAGAGTACCATAAGCTATTTCAGTTTGTTCAGCTAGATCAGCTGCATTTTCTATTGGAGTGATCATCCTTTCTACTGTTAAAAATGCTGCAAGGTTTGCAGTATAGGAAGATATAATAATTAGAGTAAAAAACCACCAGATACCTCCCACTATTCTCGTACTGGTTGCCTATTAAAATAACAATCAGTTATTAAACAATTACAGTAATCATTAATTAATACAATGTTGATAGTAAGGATTGGGAATATATGTTATAACCAAAATGGTAAATAATTAAATAATTATTTGCTAACTAGTCATTAGAAGGATTTCAATGTCGTATCTTTAAACAAAAATGATTATTTATAGAAATCATTACGTATGTAGCCGTCAATGATAACGTAAGACTAGAGACAAAAGTTTATATCAATTTAACTTGTGCAAATATAATCATCGGATCTGACACATTCATAACTTCAACTGGAGAGTTTAATGTACAAAAGTAAAAGAAAGAAAAAAAAAACTTTTCAAAGTTCGCTTGCCAAATTTTCAAAGGCTTTGAATCCATTTTATTTCTTTTATATTTTCTCTGCAGCTGTTTATTTTTATTTTTGCAAAAATTCTCTTTGTTATCAGGCGTACGTCGTTGTGAAATCAAGCGTGAAATAACGATATAAATCATTTTTCGCTGATAGAACTGCGCAGAAAACCATTTGTATTGTGATTGGTAGTTTCGTTATTTATTTTTTTTTAATAAAAAATAATAAATATAAAGTGTATTTAGTTTAATGAAACATCAAAGATGTACGTACGTAAAGGTTTCATTGATAGACATTTTCCCTGATGGAAAGACTCGTGTTTCATATTTCGTTGAAGTGAAAATATTCATCAATTTTTTCTGCTTAACTTTTACAAGTCATGACATCCCTGCATGCACACAGAGCCGTTTAGCACCATATGTTGTACAATTAACATTTTTATTGAATAAATAAAAATTATCTAATGTTGTAATGATGATTTAAAATTACAATTTGACCATTGAGTAATCAGAAAATCGATAAATTCTTAGCAGGAGATGTTCTAATGTGACTGTGTATCTACAGTTTAGATTAGTCTTGTTGATTCACTCCCTTCTCTTGTTGAGCTCAACATCACAGCCATTCGTTAACTGTTCTTCTTTGTCTTCAACATCAATTAACTGCTTCTCCTACTTTGAGATCAATTTATTTCGTTTATTAACACTCTACCATAAATTTGGGAAAATAAAATAGAATTTACAGATTTTGATTATTTCAACAGCAATATTATTTGACTTAAAGAGAAATAAGAAATATTGATTTGATATTAATTTTTTATCTTCGACTCTTTACATTATGTGTAGAATGATGGCTATTTTACCACCGTTTTCCACGGGCCCTTGCTTGATAAAACACTCTCAAAATGGTCCATTTATGTATAATGCATTCAGTGATTTATCAGCTGGAACGAATTGTTAAGTTTCACTTTAAAATGATGGTAATTCCTAGTTTCTATTGAAATGATCAATAAAAAAAATTGGTATCATTTAGATTTTGAGTGTTAAGATAAACAATATAATCTCTGTCTACTTTACTGCTTTAAAATGATTATGGCGAATCAATAGTTATTTTGTGTAAAAATATAACGAATTGAGAACAAAAAATGGATTGTCTAAATGATACAATTATGATGCAATCCTTCCACTGATAAGCTAAACTAAAGTCAAGAATCTGGAGTAGCTGTGATGACAAAATTTTTACTAGCAGTAATGTTGCTAATATTCTTTTATTGACAAGAACTCTTCAAAGTATTTAGATTTGTATTCGTGAGTGATGATCAAAGCAAAAAAAAACATAAGGTGCTTAACTTATTATGCAGGGATGACATGCATTATTTCTTTTCTTTCATGTATTTTTTTGATAAAAAGAAACTTTTGTGTTGGTGATTATGTTGAAAGTGTGGGATTCATTTAAAGTAAAAGATTTGAAATTATCCCTATTACGTTTGTATTTATTTTTCAAATTCAGGACAGATGCGAATAATGAACTTAAAGCATTTTTGAAGAGGCTCAGACAGATGACTGTTAACGGATATTAATAATTTTTTCTTATCATCAATTCATTCAATATATTTTATATCAATGTGAATTAATACTTTTTATGAGATATTATTCTCTTATTTCTTTTAATGGCTATGATTCAACTGATAGATAAGCATTCGATTCTAAAAAAATACAATTTATCAGCTTCAGTAATTTTTTGATTAATAAGTTGCGGAATTTTCCAACAAACATTCTTCTTCTATTAACAAAACAACAGTTCACTACTTGAATAATATTTTTTAAGTCTTTAACAATTTTTTACAAGCTCTAAAAAATATTTTTGTACTCATATGGTGCTTTATGATACAATTAAAATTATTTTTCATTGATTATTGGGAAAAACAAATTTTTTCTATGTAAGAAATTGACAATCGGCTCTGTGAACATGGTTACCTTGGGATTGAGGTCGCTCCCCTGTTGCATGAGAGTACCAACTGTGAACCAAAAGCTGTTAGAGAGGCTGAAGTCGTTGACTGTCCTTGGCAAAGGGATGTCATCACTTTCTGGTTCCAAAGCGCTGACATGAGAGCCCTGATCAGTGAGACCCCCATCAAGTGATGCGAAATAGATAAATACAATAATTACTTCTCATCTTTTTGGTAATACTTTGTACTTACAATAATTTCAATATTATATTCAATGTTGCGTTTTACCATGACGAAAAAAATTTAATTATGGCATTACTGGTGTTGTTTACGGAATTTTTTTTTTTTTTATCATTAAAATCAAAACAAAATAAAACGTTGAGTTCATATGTACACGACAAAATCAGATCTTGATGATACAACTCTTGCAGAGTTATTCCCAGAAATGTGCATTGTGTTGTGCGACATGCTTGTACACCCCATTCATTATACTTTTATGGAAATTTATGGAAATGGGGTTCAGTGTTGTGGAAGCTTTCAGTAGAAACTCGGACGAGGAAAATTGTTTATCGTGTGTGTCGTCGAAATATGAAAAAAACTTCATAAAAAAATAAGTACAAATAGTAGACCTTTTCAGGAAATGTAAAAAAAATCAGGAAATACTTACAGGAAGTTTTTATAATTAAATTGATCATAATTTTTTTTCTTAATAAATATTAATCTGGATTTTTAATTCGCAGTAAAATTAAAAGAAAAAAGTCATTTTAGCAAGCCATTATATGCCTTGGACTTATTTTACAGTTGAAAATAATGTACATTGTGTAGTGTATAAATATAAATACCCGTCAAAAATATAATTATACACGTAATCTACATAAAAGAATATACTCTTTACAAGTGTTGTGGATTTTATTCATATGATGATGTGATATACTATATTATGCTATAAAACATCTTTTAGTGGACACTAACAACATAGTAAATGAAATAATGCATATAACTGTATTCTTAATTATTTTATACATTTAATTATTCAAAGATTTCAATATCTTTTATTGAATATCCATAAATATTTATTTTTAAACAACATGTCTTCATTTCCAACCAAAGTTAATCAATAAATCCTACATTTCCAGTAATAAAATCAATGCAAATACTGTATCAATATTCAAATAAGATTAAATTTTTTTCAGCACCACTTGATGAAGGCCTACCTGCAAAGGGCACTTGCAGCTTGGGCAGGGTGGCGGTTCTACCCATTCATACGGTGAAAGACGCGCCACAATCCAAATTGTAATCGAAACCATGACGTACGCCCCCAGCATTGAAAACCAAACTTCCACAGCGAGGGGATTCATGAATGAGAAGAGTCGGGAGGGTGCGCGTTTGGTGGCCTGAAGCATGCAGACGATTCTTCTCTTTTATACTATATCTTCGACTAAGATTTCCAAATGTCAAATATAATTGGTTCATTTTTATTTATTATACTCATTTGATTTTCAATCTGTTCGTTCTTCTATCATCATCTGTCTTGAGATGTTTTTACAAAAAAGAAGGAAATGGAGATGAGATGGGTGAGGAAATGAGATGGAAACTGGAGCAGATGATGAATTTAATATACCTTGGGGTTGAGGCCGCTGCCTTGTCTTAAAAAAGTACCAGTGATAAACCAAAAGCTGTTGCTGACGTTAAATTGGTTTTCGACGATGTCACTTTCAGCTAAACAGGGATGAGGATTATTCCACTCGTAAGGACTGAAGCGAGCCATCACAAAGAGCGTAAAACTGACGAGCATGTATGCTGCCAGTACATAAAGCCATATCTCAACAGCTAGTGGATTCATGAAGGAGAACAGTCGAGTTGGTTGACTGGATGGTACCTAAATTATTTTAGGCTACAACTTTAATTAAAACATTCTCGATGGACGAATCCATGGTGTAGATTTATTCGTATGAAGAGATGTTTATGGAAAATTATTCATATTAGTGAAGTAAACAGATATATACAATGATAAAAGTTACTTCAAAAAATGTTTTATGATTTATTGTTTTTATATTGATGAATAATTTTTTATTACGCATCTCTGAATAAATCTTTTGAATCTTTAAAAGTAGAAAATTATTTTGAAATAAAACTTTGAACAAACAGTTTTAGTTTGTTAATAATACTTAAAAAAAAACTGATTTAAAATAAATAATAAAAACTCCGGAATTTATCAAAGGTTTTATATATGAGACCCTAGAGGAACAGTGCAAACATATTACATGTTCTATACTGGATGTTTGTTAACGGCAAATAATGTTACAAGATTTCTCACACAATGTTGGCATCTAGGCATTAACTAGAATTACTATTGAGTTTATACTCATATCGTTTGATAAACATATCAATGTTTGAAGAGTTATTTGAATTTTTTAAATTAAATTTGAAAATAAACTGTAAACGTTGGCTATATTATTGAGTGGGTAATTAATAAATATTGTTTGAAAAAAAAATAGAATTGATAACCTACTGGTCTAGAATCATTGAAAAATAATCGATAACATCATTGATAAATATTTTAATAATAAAAAATGTTAGCTACTTTCTAAAAAGATGAAAAATTTTACCAACATGATATTTATATTAGACACAATTGAAAGTAAAGTTATTTTTTATTACTCAAGTCCTTAAAAGTTGTATACACGAAGTATGTTAAGAAACAACACTTAAGTACAACTCTGTACTTTTAACCGTTGCAAGTGGTACTTGGTACATTCAATTTGAAAGTTGCTATCTTGTAAACTATTTGTCGTGAAGAATTGGTCTAAAGTTTATACTTTTCATCAAACGAGCCTTTAAAATTAATATATCTCGGCGGTAAAATTATTTATGCAGTTAATTTTTTGAATTGTAAAACACAATGTGAATAAAACAAATTTCTCAATGAATTTTTTTAAAATCAATATTGTTAATAAATTTACACATTTGTTTCCAACTAATTAATTATCTTTAATAAATTAATAGATGAAATTGAATACTTGGAATGTAATTTTGGGATTCTAATTGATAGAATTGTAATGGTGATATACTGGCTTTCAATGATGTGATTCTATTTTAGTGAATAATAACTCAAAGAGAATGTATTTAAGCTTATTAAAGAATACTCAGTTTGCGAAAAAAATTAATTAAATTTAAGAATAGATTATCAATAAACATCCTTTTTGAATGAAAAAATAAGACTTAAGAGAAAAAATTGAGCTTCAAAATAATTATAAATAAATAATATGATAATGGAAAAAATTTTTATTCACCTTAAAAAGTATCCCAATGCCTAGGTTCATAAATGGTTTGGTAAAATCAATAACACTCTCTCTGGCATAATTAATAGTCATTGATGCAACAGCTAAATCTGCTCTCTGTAAATAAATGCAACAATAGAGTTCATTAAAAAAAGCTTATTAAATACTTGAAAGCTTTATTTGGAACACCACGCTTAATGAAAATAATTTTAAATTCAAGCTCTGCAAATATAGATAAAGAATAAAAATTAGTTTTTATTCATGGAACCAAAGAGTATAAAAAAGAATTAACTAGATGTTCATTGTGCATTAGAATTTCTAAATTGTAGCTCATCAAAAGAATGTTGACGTTAATGTATCTTTATTCATTATGTTGGTTGTTATTTTACAAGGTAAACGTTAGTTTAACCTTGTAAAAGTACTCAAGTTCAAGAAGATAGCTCATATTGGATAGAAAACGGTCAGAGACTATCGCAATTTTGATCGTATCAAAGGAAAAAGAAGCAAAAAAATCACAAAAGAAGCTTTGAACTGGTTTTATCGAACGTTGAAATTCTCTAATACTGTAAAATTATTCGAAGGAAACTTTGATTTGTTAAAAAGCTTATTAACTCAAGTACTATTTATTATTGTTACTACAAAACTCTCAGATTATTAACAGCTAAATCTTAACAAACTATTTTGTTATTGTCTATTTTGTGATATGAACAAAATACGAATGAATATGAAAAACTTTTTTTTACTACATACACTTGAAAGTGTTAAGTATACATCTCTATACTCTAGATATGAAATTCCGGATATAACGACTTGGATTTTGAACCTTGAGATAAGATGGGATTATACTTGATGCTTATTTAGAATTCCGGAAATTTTTTTTTAGTGATAAATAACTCGTGTTGCTTTAAAAATGAATTTCAATACATTTTAATAACACGTTTAGAGTTAAATGCAAAAATACATATCAATACTCGAAAAAATAGTAGAGAGTATCAAGTACTTGGAGATTCTGCTATCGACATTTATGATCGGAATCTGTTTCGATGGTGAAAGAATTAACTTCTTCTGAGTGACGTGAGTTTCATATATAACTAGTCAATTTTAATAATCGTAGATTTTAAAATTCAAATACTATGCTGATCGAATTGAGTATCTATGGTAACATCTGTAGCCTATTCTATATTATACAGAATATTGACTTTTAGTAACTCAGCATGAGCTAAAATAAAAAGAAAACTCTAAATGTTATGATTTTATGATTTTTTATATTTAAATATTTTTTAAGGACTATAGAGTTAGTTTAATGTTGATATAATAACAATGCAATAATACCTTTTCCATTAGTTCACGAACTATTCCATTCCATTCTTTCGTTTCCGGATTATAGACACCATACATATGATCAGGTACTAATCGAATAGCGTATTGAAATCCCACTTGGGTTGCTATCCATTTGAGTAAATCAATACAGAATCCTTCAAATCTAGCATTTCCTGTTAAATTTTGATCTTGTCTAACCATCACATATGGTTTTTCCTGAAATTTATGCCATTTTTTTTATTATTGATGAATAAATTATTTAGATTTGAAATAAAAATAAGTTTATATTCGATTTAATATGCAATAAAGTTACCTCACGTGTCATAACGACAAGTGTAATATTAACACTGCTTTTATCGTAGAAAGCTTCGACGTCGGTTATATTAATACCAAATCCTGGTCGCCATTCACCAACTTTTACTAATTCTTCTTTTTTTAATTTTATGAGGTCCAATTTAAAATTATTCCTCTTGCCTTCATTAAATTCTATACGACCTGTTAAACCTTGCAGTCCTGCCTGGAAATTAAATATCCAAAAACTTTAATTCATATATTAACTATATCTTACAAAAATTAATATGAGTCATTTTATAAATTTATAAATATGCAACTTTCTTCTCTTTTTTAGAACATTAAATCAGATATTGATATAATTCAATGATAGAAAATTATATAATCTTTTATTACGCATATGAGATTATTAAGTTTTGTGATAAAAATGTTTCAATTGTATTTTTATCATAATAGTGTTGAAAATAATAGGAATAAATTCATTAATGTGGTTTGTATTAAATGCTAGGAAGTAACCGATTAGGCAAAGCTAAAATGGTTGCATTTTTTGTCTTAGATAGAGGATTTTATGTCTGCTACGACATTAATAATTGCATTTATTGTGAATCATATTAACAGACTAGTATTTATTCATGTGAATCATCACTATCTTATCGAATACTATTACTCATAAAAATTCGATAGCTTTGTTAAAATATACAAATTTTTTTTTGTTATTCCAAAATGTTTAAAGGTGTGCTTCATATAAATTCAAGTGAAATGACGGCGTTTTGATTATCAATTTTCGCTGAATTTGTCTAACTGATGTCATATAAATTTAGATATTTTTTTACATTTACACAATACTTAATTAGTTCTACATTTCATGACACAATAAAAAACATAAAGAATTTGATATTAGGTTGTGTTGTCAAATTTTTATTTAATTGAAAAAATTCATTTTACGTATAATCCTTCACCTTGTTGTATGTATGTAGTCCGTCTACCATGTCTATGAGTGGTAATAACACGTCAAGATAAGTGGATAGATATTATATCTTATCTTAACTTATTTACCTTTATAACTCTGGATTACATAGAGGTATCGTTACCATTGAGTGTATAGTGCTAAACTTATTTTAGTCATCGACGAAACTTCGAAGTGGAAATAATTAATTTGTGTTGAAAAAAAATTTATATTTTTAAAAAATGAAGTTCGCTCTATTTTTAGGAGTCGTTGCTATTCTTGCTATCTCAGGTGAGTATTTATTGTGTTTCAATTGATTACTTTCAGTGTTAAAAAATCCAAAAAATTTTATCCACGCAAAAATGATTTTTCTTTTTCTAGGAGATGCATTAAAATGCTACCAATGTACTAACTGTGCTGATCCTTTCACTAAAAATGAAACTTTATTGAAAGACTGCGGTGTAGATACTCACTGTGCAAAGGGAGTTATTACATTCCGTAATTATAACTGTTTTTTTTATTAATTATAACAATTTTATTTGTGAAATATTAATGAGTCAATTTGAATTATTTATAGAAAACAATACCCAAAGGTACGGACGTGCATGCGTCAGTGCCACCTCGATGGAAAACCCTATCAAACCAAACCAATTGAACTTTTCACTCTATGATTCTGCTAGCTTATACTTTTGCAATACTGATGGATGTAATGGAAGTGGATCCATCTCTGCAGTTATATCCATTATTTTTACAACTTTAGTAGCATCACTCTTTGCTAGTTTTTGAAAATAAAAGTATTTGAGATCTAAATAAATTATTAGCTGAGGTTACAATACGATTTGACTAATTGTATTATAATAAGTAACATAAATTTATTTCAAGTGAATTCATTTCATAAATAACTATCGCGTAAAATAAAATCGATGGAGATAATCAATGGAATAATACTATTTACCACATATTTTGTAATTTATAAAAAATAATAAACGTTAAATAATAAACAAATTTTAATATATTGATCAGACTAAAATTATTTCATCATTTTATGTACGTTTTGTAAATCATTAACAATTATTATGACTTTACATTTGTTTTAAAATTTTCTTCAGGTAAACTTGTAAGTTTTATTCTTATAATTAAATTCTGCTATTCACAAAGTAATACAATTTGTGTCAGGAAATCAATAACAATGTCATCGGCTAGCAGCACTTCAATGGTATTACGGTGTTGTTACATATGGGTGTTGCAAAAGTCTGCTATGTGATGATAAAGAATTTTTTATGATTTGTAAACAATTTTAAAATCGATATATATTCAATGTTTCAGTGCAATTTATAGTTTAAAAAGTCAAATGTCATCAATGTTTTCATTCATATTCAAAAATAATTTTATGCCCGTTTTTTATGTACTGAGTCAAGTGTATTCATGAAATTAACTAATATTTTATACACCAAAGTTAAAAAATTTTTTGAGAATAATTCCATTGAAAGATTTGAAATAATTTTAATAACTAATTAATTTTTTCTATTCTTATAATAATGATTGAACTCTCTCTCTCTCTCTCTTTCTTGTAATTTCATGTACGGTGTAGTTTTTAGTCGGAATTAAATTTCCTCTACTCAACTCTTCATTTACATTATAATTTAGTAGACACCATATTTTACCTTTTCCGTCAATTCTGAAACAGTTGAACTTACATCTATGTATAAAATGTATATATCATTTTTGTCTACTTTAAACATTTTAAAATGTAAATTAACTTGAAAACTAAAAAAACTATTTTAAAAATAATGATATTAAATGTAATTTTCAGTGAGGAATAATTTTTAAAATAAAAAAGAAACAAAAACAATATTAACAGAATTGAAGCAAATACTAGTATGATTATATTTCAACTCTAAAATTAACAAAAAAAATTTTTTTATCTGAAACTTTTAATTATTTACTGGTAATACAAATACAAAAACTACAAATGAGTTAGTCATGGAAAGAGTATTGACAATGATTAAGTTTTTTCTTGGAATCTGAAGAATTTTTCCACAACTGGCGAACAAGTTTATATTAGATTTGAAGTTCAATCAAGAAAATTTTTAAAATACATAAATTTTGATTAAATAAAAGGTCGCATATTTCGAAAATATTGTATTCATAAATGATCCTCAAGCATCAAATTAAAATTATAATTGTATAATTTATGGATGGACTAATGATTATGAATGAAATATTGATACGATTATATAAGTATAATTCTGGAATAATAATTTAAATCAGATTTCAAGTGTAATTTAGATTATAATTCCCCTAGTTATGAGCATTCGATAATTTCCAATGACAATTAAAATAAATAATTTGATGATAAAATAGAATTTCTGATGAGAGTACAATCATTTATTTCTCAGTATCAGCTGATACTGTACTTTTAACAACACCTTTACGTCACAATTCCGACAGGTATAAACAAGTATTCAGGTATCGTAAGTTTGAAGTAATCGTAGTTAGATATGAATAATATGTAGTAAGAAGAAGCTAACAGGAAGAGTCTATTTACCTTTTTCTAGACTAACAAAATAGAAATCTAAAAGATGATTTTATCTATATAACGAAATATTTAGTTTACTTTTATTTTAAATGTATTAGAGATAAAAAAAAGTTACAAAAATTAGGTTAAAATAGAACTTAAAATGAATCAGTGGGGAAATCGATAATAATTGCAAGCAGATAAGGATTAATTAATCAAATTAAAAATGTTAGATACAGCTCGTGATATTCTTTGTTGAGATAAAGGTTAGTCTTTCTTTACGTTCAAATATTTAACAAATTTATATCCGTGAAATAAAAAAATTTATTGTTTATTTAGCTTTTGCAAAAGCTTGTGCTTTATAGATAGATTCAATTATATTTTTAATAGATCCTCAAGAGGTACAAACATTTATTGTTAGTTCTTGAATTGTTTCACGCTTTTGTTCCACAAAATTAAAGTTTCCATGAAATAGATCTATCGTTGCTTAAATCGCGATAAGAATAAAATCTGTGCTAGTTCTACTTATATAAAACGAAAGTTCGAGTGACATGGTGATTTACCTCGAGATGTCCTTCAGTATATTCGTCTCTAAAGTGGTACTTCATCGATATAACCAACTACCTTGGAATTTTTATCAATATCTAGTAAAGCTTTATTTGTCCTGTGTCATCATTTGATGAGTAGTTTAAAGAATATAATCTCATTTTTCGGTGTAAGTCAGTTGATATAATTTTTTACATCTCGTACAACTAGTCATATTTTGATGACGATTAGTGTTTGTATAAATACTAATAATATAACGTAAAACGTTTAATGACACATAATTACTTTGTAAATGTTTAAAGTTTAACATTCAAGAATTAATGACTTCTGATCAAAGTTTAAATTATTATTATTAGTAGAAAATATTGGTATTATTACGATGATTTACTTCGACTTTTGTGTGCAAAGTATTCTCAATGCGAATAAAACTTTCTCGAGACAGTTCCAAAAAAATATTCAATACAATGTGTATTTATTTGAAGGCAAGTTAGATTTAGTGAATACGTAATCTGATATTAAAAAGATAAGTAATCATAAGCCGATCTTATTAAGCTTTATCATTTCATTAATATATGATAGACAAAAAAGTTAATGGCAATTGTTTTTTCATTGTAATTTAATTAAGGTATTAAAATACTAGAATAGATCTCTTTGTAAATAAAAATGGAAGCTATTTAATGATGAATATAATATAAAACTTACGGTATTAATATAATTATAAAGTGATAAACCATCATCCCAAGGTTCTTCTTTTTCACAAGATAAATTCACTGGTCGAAGTACGTGACTCCGATCTAATGCAGCAAGACCATGAGCGAACACTTGTACACTATCATACATCAGAGCTGGTTCTGCCTGAAACATATGTTGAACGATCAATTTATACAATTTTGTGTAAATTTTGTTGGATATAATTTTTGCATGATTATTAATGAGATTTTTTCATTCAATATTGACTTCATATTCAAAAGTAAATTACAGGGTATTGATTTTTTTTATCATTTTGACGTTTTTTTTTTACTTACTAAAATGTTATTAGTTGAATAATTAAAAGTTGAAAGATGAAAATTTTTTCATTTTAAACAAACAGTAAATTACAAAAACTATGGTAAATAATTGTGGCATAAAGTAACTTGTCTGACCATTGAGTGAGTCAAATCTCTAACTTTGAGTCTTGGAAATTCGAGAACTGAGGAGAGAAGTTTGATGAATTTCGTTCAAAAGCCAGAGTTTCAACTCACCATCAAGTAAACCAATTAATTGTGCACCAAATATGTTATCATGACAAGCGTTTTCAAAATATTATCAAATAAAATTTTCGATTAGCTACAAAATTGTTGTCAGTTACAACTTTGATCACTGAAATGGCAAAAATTATTTTCTTTTTCCTTCGTAAAAATGGCAAACATAAATAAGAAATCAAGTGAAAGAAAAAATGAGTATTAACACTAGAACAATTTTGCAGAAAAAATACCATAGATTTTATTTTAAAAAAATTAACCAGTTTTTAAAATAATCTTGATAAGATCAGATAAAGCATCAAACGCTAGAATTCATGATAAAGCTTTAAACGAATTCTAAACAAATCTGGAATTCATTCGCCGTATACAAAACCTGAAGCATGACAAAAAAACTACAATTGGTTTAATAGAAACATCGAGTGTAAAGAGAAATACAAAACTAGTGAAAAATAAAATAAATAATACTATAGCAAGAGAAAATACTGGTGGATCTGTTGGAGGTGGGATGATAAAGGGAGACTAAATAATCTAGATTGTTGGAACCATACAGATTTTGTCCTTCAAAAAAATCTAATCAAGAAAATTATCTGATACCAACAACATTTTTCAGATGAAAAAAAATTTTTTACTAATTTTCTAAAAAATTAGTTTAAAATTTTTTTTTTAATCTAAAGTGGTTAAGAAGATGATAAAAAATCATTACAAACCTGTATGATGCCTGTGCGATTAAGAATAGCATGTCCAATCGGTTGGAATCGTTCCATTTGCTTTAAAATTTCTATTACCTTTGGGTCTTCTAGGTCAACTAATCGGAATGCTGTCATGTTAACATTGTTATATTTGAAGTCTTCCAGATCAAAAGTTTCAATATCCTAAAAAAACCAATAAGCTGCACTTAATATTTTTCAAGCTGTTATTTTTTATTTTATTGCCTAACCAATGTATCAACTTTTACAGAAACCATCAAGGAGGATTCCTTAAATGTGGTAACATAGTTGTAACTTTGTCAGCACCGGGAATCGATAAAAGGCTTTTCAGAGATAGATGGAAGAGCACATAACTTTTTCCAGCCATCTCAAGTTGTCGGAACATTCATTGACTTGAAAGTTGAATCTCAATCTAAAAAATCTTCTCTACAGGTTTTTTCTCTTATATTGGTAAATATCTCGACGAGCTTTGAATAAATAATTGACTAACAATTTATATAATTAACTATTTAAAAATATTTATTTGTACTCTATAGTGTAAAGTATTTTTTAATAAAACAAGCTATTAATTATTATTTCTAATACTACAAAAAATAATTAAACTTAGCACCTGGTCTACTATCATCAATATAGCTTTCTCATATGAGGGACCTTAGAGAATATAACGAGAAAGTTCTAATTACTATCGATCGATTATATTCGAAGCATGTAGAACATATAATATAAACCAAAAGGCGTACTTAAACAACACTTGAATCAAATTCATAGCAAGAGTACTTCAATCATCTCTATGCATCCATTATCAACTTAACTCCAACCACTTATACCGTCATAGTTCTCCCCTGTTACTTTTATTTTCATCTATTATCTTAATTTTAGAACCATGCTCCTCTATGCACTAATAAAATGGACATTAAAGAATCTCGATACGACAGTACCTAATGCTTTTATTCTTTTTTTTTTTAGATTACGCAAAACCGTTTTTATATCTTAATGTATGATTATAAGCCATCCAATATAACGACGTAACAGATGCTCGTGTAGTCATATAAATTACGCAAATACTTATTTTTATATATACGCAAGCTTGAGAGCATCGATATTGAAATTCTAATAATGTTTATCTTGACTGTTCCGAATAAATACTGAATTTAGAGGGAATCTACAAAATTACATATATGCAGTTTTTCGTGATGTTGCAAGGAAGTTTAACAAAACACTGAAATTTGTAACATTCTTTATCTAACTTATGTGAGATACGCAATTTTAGGAAATATCACATTACTGTGTCTCTCTATTTCTACAGTAATGATGTCAATTTCAGTAAATTCCTAATTTCTGCACTTCTACGAAGGTTGAATGGAAGAGACTTCTCAAATATTCGTAATAGAAACTGACTTTAGCTACAATATATTGCAAAATTTATGTTAATTATCTCTTTTGATATTATTCTAAACCCTTTTTATTATTATCTTGTCGAATATTTTTCATTATAATAATGAACTTAAAAGGTAAAGTAAAACATTCCTCTTCTTCAAACAAAATCCAGTCTGTTTAACATCAGATGAAATAATATTTTATACATAAAAAGAAAAATTATATTATACAATTATCGGGTTTCTATTAGCTTTTAAGATATTAAAAATATAATTTAACTTTGGAATAAGTAAACTGCAATGTTTTAAGAAGATTCAAAGTTCTTCAAGAAAATAATTAATATTATTAAGAGCCAAATCTTATTCATTTTGTTTCATGAAACAGAAATTGGTACTTACAAAAGTTGTAAACATATAATGGTATCTGTGATCATTCATTTGTAGTTGTAAAATCTGAAACAAAATTGATCATTATTTCATTATTCTTGATGTAATTATAATGTATTAAAAAAATCAACGCTTTTTTAATGAACAACCGATTTTTGAGCTTTCCAGTATTACCAATTACATTTACTTCGTAAAAAGTATGCCAGCCTATATTTAATATTATATAACCAATTTTATTTTCAACTCCTCAAAGTTCAAAAAGTGTTCTTAAAATAAGTTAATTAAAACCTGTAAATTATAATAATTTTCATACAAACTTTTGGAGGTAATAATATAATAGTTGTTAACTATTTGTTATATTATACTAAACAAACTTGTTGAGCTTAATACGATCAGGTAATATTCTCGTTAGCCAAGTTATTGAAATAGATACTTTGGTGGTATCTTAAAAAAATGATGCATTGTTCAGTGAATACATTTCATTAGGATAACTAAGCTAACAACAAGAATACATAACAATCTGTACATAACTTCGAATCTATTATTTAACAAAAAATACAACATGTTTTGCCTCTTATCATAGAATACGATGCTTTCTTTTTTCATGTTCGAAATTTTTCAAGATGTCACTGGAAAGACCAATCTTTAAGGAAGTAGCAAAATAAAGAAATATTCAACGGAAGAATGAAGACATAACCGGAAATGCCTCGGCGAATTTCATTCTTTTGAACTATACTCCTTCTATATATCTATGTATTAAGACCCTAGTATATATCTATAGACATAGATGTATATAGAGGTTTGCAAACTTTGTATTTTCTTTCTCGGTCCATAAATCTTTCAGTATCCTTCGGTAACTGCAGCGATCCGTTTCTACTGCAAAGAAATTGTCGTAATAACATATCACAGCATGTAAGAAGCGAATTTATAGAAAAAAAAGTCAAATATTTCCAGTGGTCGAGGAAGATACTTTGGAATTATGCGATTTCACTGTTATGAAAGGAAATATTTTATATATGAAGTTGTGATGTTTGATTTTATTACATTAAAATTCTGAGGTCAGGAATGTATACTTAAATATTTGTACCAACATTTTATAAATCACTGTAAATTCACACAAAAACGGATTTCAACAAAAATTAAGATCTACATAATTTTATTCGTGCATGTAACTGATTCATTGCTAGTCTCTTAAAATGATTATGTGAAAAACTTAGATCATCATCATTTGGCTTTGTGTAACAAAAGAACTTTTGACAGATTTTAATAATTTCAATTACGTGAAAATTAGATTTTAAAACTCAAGCCAATTAAAAGCCTCGTGACAGTATGCTGTAGCCGTTTTCTACTAGTTGGAGATCCCTTCTATAAAATCTGGCAATTGTCGAAGGCGTTCGTAGCAGAAAAGTAGATAAAGTTTTTATTTTGTGAAACTACCGAGCAACTCTCTTAATCAAGTCTTTGGAGAAAAGTTTTTTTTCGACGTCCTACTTTTTCTTATTATTTTTCCTTTTTTTTTTTGTTTTTACTTCACGGCAAGAATGTAGGATTTTTTCAGAACATTGTTTATGAGAAAATAAATATGATTAAAGAAGAAGAAAACTCATTTATGCATTGATTTTACCAAATTAGATAAGTTGATTGACCGAACAAAAAAAAAATCCATATTAAACTCATTTTATTTTGTAATCAAATAAATTTCATTTGCTAGAAAAAAGAATGTTAGTGAAGTGTAAAAATCACAATGCATTATTTTTCCAAGTAAAAAAGCTCGTGGTTGCATCGTAAATAAGCACATGATTTTTAAAAAATTCTTATTTAAAAGTTCAATACTTACTGCTCGGAAAAAATGTTGCATATGAATAGGATCTATATCAATAATAAGTTTATAAATTTCTTTTTGTCGTATTTCTCGTAAAACATCTCTGTATGTTCCCGCACCCGCTTGGCGAATGTACATTTCTGTGCGTGGTGATGGTGGTGATTTTACTAGGTCTTGAAGTTTAAATAGCCCTGTAAACACAGTAATAAAATATATTATTAGAAACATGAAAAATCTTTTTCTCATTTTTATTTCTTATAAGCATTGAATACTACGTATATATTGAAACAAAAAAAAAATAGCAATCGATTGATGGTGCTCACAACCAGTTGTAAAAGTGGTTTTCGTTGAAATACTCGTTAATTGAAATTGTGATCTGATGTGACTTTTAAGATCTGATAAAGCAATTAGCACTCAATAATTATGCTGCCAGATGAAAATAAGATTGGATGGTGAATCCCGCTCAGGAAGTGATAAACTTTTTCTTTAATTAGTAAGATGTCAAGGAGGAAGTAAAGAGATTGAATGCGGTAAGATAAAAGCTATGTCAAAGTAATTGAATTAAGTAAAGAACATATTTCAATTCAGACGATAGTTGAGAGACTTCAAACATTATTGAATCATCATATTTGCTGTAATATTGCCTGTTTATTGAGAATACACTCTAAAATTACTGTAGTATAGCATGATACTTTTCTATAGTACAATGATTTGACAAGTTATTCCATCGTATACATAAACAAATAAAATTGCATTTTATTTTCATTGTAGCGAATACGAGAAATTAAATAGCGTGAAAAAATTCAGACCACAATAAAATGAAAATTTACCAGAGTTTACTTTTTTTATCAACTTATAATCTACTTTTTCAATTATCGCATGTGTACAGTCGATTATACACATCCAGACTGTGTGACTGTGTCGTAAAAAGTGTCTGCGAGAAATGTGGGTGGGAATCAAGGAAACAGTAAGAAAAGGTCGAATAAAACAGAAAGAAAAGAAACCAGAATGACATTGAGTTAGAGTTTGTCGGTGGAAAATTCATGATTGTGGTTTACAATACTTATATATTGTTATTTTTGATCATTCGTTCTTTCTACATCTGCTGCAAGATTGTTCCACGTCAGTATTTCAGAATGATTATAGCGCAATAACGATACCATTAAGCTCTGAAGTACTCCACTTCGATATCTATATATAAATGACAAAGCAGATGGTATAAAGCCATGTATTTTTCTTTTATTTTCTTTCCAACCATCGACTTTGTCCATTTAGAAAATTCTCATTGAACTTTAAAAAACGTTTAATTCGTCTTTGTTGCATAATAGATACTTGAATGTAATTATTACATTCAATACAATTTAAGTGACAATATAATTAAAAATTAAGTATAAAAAGAAAGAATTTCATTAGAATTTCGAGTGTATGAAAAAAGTAGTTGATGCATTCAGAGGATTCTTATTTATTTTATTTTATTGATAAAAGAAATAGGAATAGAAAATGGGAGATTATTGGATTAGAAACGTGAGAAGAATAGCATTTTCAAAAAATAATAGTTAAAGAGTGTTCCTGGTAGAAACATGATCATGATAAAAAGTAGATTCCGTCGTACGTGAAAAGAACAAGGAAGATAGCAGAGGGAAGTTTATATGGAGGATCAAGCTAACGGTCATAAATATAGAATATAGTGACAAGCACAAATGCAAAGTCAAGGAGTAGACAAATAGATTTCTAAAATATATATATTGCTTTGCATAAAATATGAACTGGTAACGTGAAATATGATAGATTTCAACACAGTTTAGATTTGTGAAGTTAATTTCATTTTTTTGTCAACTTTCAAAGATTTAATTACTTTATCTTGATCTTTTTTTCAGATTTAAAGTTACTAAAATTAAATTAAACGAATGTATGATTATTGATAAAAACTTATTTTTTAGTTTGCATCAAAAAAATGGTAATTTTTTATTATTCAATTAATTTTGAATTTTTAAAATTTCGATTTCTCATCAATAAATCCCATAATCTTGAATTATTGATAAATACTATTTTATTATTGATAAGAATCATTGCTCTTGCCAATTTTCTATTTTGTCAATGTTTACTTTTAAAAGTATGTATATAATATTGATATAAAATAAAAGGTTATTTTTTTAGACATACCGTAATTTTCCTCATAAATTATGGCAACTTTTGTCCAATTGAGAAAGGACATGAGGTCTGTGAATGCTTTATTCAAATGCTCTTGAGCTGGATATAGGTTAATACTGAACTCTTTGAAAGTTGGTTCAAAATCCATTCTGGCTTCAAGATGCGGAACATCCAGTGCTTCACATATACTTTGAATGTGTGCTCCTAAGAGAGGATCTGAAGGTCCAAATATACCCTGCACTGATCTTGATAACTGCTTGCAAGCTGAAATTTTTATAGAGAAAATAAATAAATCTTTCGTTGGCTGTTAAATCTATGATTTTTTGTATGGTTATATATTCATTACTTAAGATTTCATTTAAAAGAAAATGTTTGCTTGAAAAGATTCAATCCACTCAGCTATATAGTATAAGCTTTTTATGAATAAATTTATGTATTTCATATTACAAATCAAAAATATCAGAGTAGTATGAAAAATTATACTTCAAGTTTATTCACTTGGAATCTACGTACGTTTATTTTCGATCAAATCAATTGATCAAAATCTTTTCTAAGACTTGATGAAAATATTCTTATCAGAAACCTTAAATATTTTAGTAAAAGATTGAAGGATTGAAAATTTTAATATCAGATATGAATATATTTTTTAATGAGTAATAAAAAAAAATTTTAAAATAAGATAATCCGAAAGTGGTTCAGATTCATTTGCCTATTTTATAATTATTAATTTCATTGTGAATTTCACGCAATTTTTTACAAAAGTATTTAAATTATGCATGCATTCAAACAATTGGTAGATCCTTTGGTGTTAATTTAACATCCACAGAATTTAATTATCCGTAGAATCTCATCAAGAAACTATTAAGGTATATCTCAGTCAAAAGAATATTTTGAAGGAGTCTGAAATGTTCTTCTGAAAGGATTGAATACTGTTCAAATACCTATAAACCACAAGAAATTCTTTTCAAGTTCAATTCAAAAGTTGGGATTATTAGATTATAAGGTTGAATTTTTTTCATCAATGGGAAAACTAACATCAATATTTTTATCATTCATTTTAACAATATGTCAATGTAATTGTTGTGAAATCATATTTTTCTAATAAAATAACAGAAAATATTATTTACAATTGAAATAGTTAATGAGACAATTAAACTGTTTACAAGAAGAAGAAAATGACATGAAGTTACTACAAGAACTATTAACTCAGTTTAATTGTAGATGGGGTGTTTAAATCTAGATATTATTAAGCAGGTACAATCTCACAAGTTTCACAAAAGTAAATTAATTTTGATTATCTGCAAGATATTCTAAATTTTATTTAAATAAAGTTTTTTAATAATTTAATACATTTCCTTAAATATTGCACTAATTAGCAATCTATTTGAAGCCAATTATACTCTATGAATGACCACGTTTTAATTTTAAAATTATATAAATTATTACAATTTTTATGTAGAATGTATTTTAATAAATTTTTGCAATTTCGAGGATTATAATTATTTATCGAAATTCATTAGAAAAATATTTTGCATTCCAGTATTTCTTAATTAAGAATTATTATTAAAAAATATTTTTAATTTTATAAAATATTTTTCACGTTCTGTTCTACAAAAAAAAACTGATTGATTAATAAAAAAAAAGGTTATTTAATCGAATCATGCAGAACTTTCAGTTCTATGGATAACAAAAAAATTTTGAAAATTCATGAACAATTCTAAATCTGGGTTGCATGCTTCAATTACACTAATTTCAGATGCGTGTTTCGATCTAGCATTTATCAGATATGTGATCGTAGTGATAGTGGCTTGTGATAGACAGCTAAACAATGAGCAGACGAATTGGTATTTGTTATCAATAGTTATATTATGTTCCAATATATAGTAAATATATAAAAACCTTAAATAAATATGTAGATAAAAATGACATGAATTAGAAATTGAATTAATGAAAAGTTTAACTGGTACAATAAATTGAACTGTAATTTCAAACTTACCTTTCTTTGAAGTTCGAAATGAGTCGTCTTTTGGCACGTATTGAATGTCGTAGACAAGTGTTGTGTTTGGCAGTAAACTTTTATCTTTATTGATTCTATAGACGGCATATTTGAATGCTAATTCCGAAGGACTATCCTTTTGATCCTCCGTGAAAATTGCACCTATAAAAATTTTAATATACACATCATGAAAACCTATTTCCTCTATAAATGCATTCATTTAAATCGAAAGATATTTTTTAATCTATTCTTGCTGAAATAAAATAACCAAAAAATGTAATAATAAATCTAAATGTCTAGGACTCAAAGGAATTACATAACAATGAACATTGACGAATCATAAGTATGCTTCTATATCATAATGCGGCGTTGTAAACTGGTATTTTTTGTTGAATAAAAAATGAAATTGTTGAGAATGATATATGTATCACTGAATGCATTGTAGGATTAAAGAACGTATTTTTCACACTCAAAGAAATTTGTGAAAGAATTCCTGTTATCGATTGCTTCCCACTTTATCAATAATGGTTATCTATATCAAACTAGTAACGAAAAAATTTCATCTATGACATATATTAACTTAAGAGTGATAAAATAAAAAGATATTTGACAAACAGATTTATATAGTGAGTTCATAATTTTTTTATTTACGTACTATGTAATTTATTTTATGATCAAACTGGATTTTTGTCACATGTAGGTCGAATCGATTACGTTTAATATTTCTGCGTTGTAGTAAATATCAAAAAACTAAAGCATTTATTTTATTGAATCTCTTTTGGAAAAGTGAAAAAAATTTGCAGTGCAGATTGTTAGTACATCAGTCGGAGTATCAGACAATAAAACTGGGCTGCATGGCAGTAGTTCAGGACACAGATGTTAGATAGCTATTTTGTACAGACAATTTTCTAACAATAAAAGTACGAAAAAAGAGTAGAAGCTAGAGAATTTGTAGTGTATTATCGTTGAGAGTAGAAGACTGTAACTTAGACCAGGCAATACTTTTCGTCTTACATATGAACTTCTGTTATGAATTGCATTCTGGAAGGTAACAGTAGGATTAGTGATAATTATTTTTGACATTAAAGTTGAAAAAAAAACCGGAACAAATAGAATGAAATATTGTGAAATATTATTAAAATATGCTTCTACAAGTTATTTGGGAAAAAAAGGAAATTTATGCTTAACAGAAAGTTCTTGGCCTAGACTTTAAAGGTCAAACAACTTACATCTTGTTTTAGATACATATACAACTTTGTCTTCACACTATAACTTTTAGAAATGAAACTTTATAAATTTGAATTAGTTTAGAGTTTAAAATAGTTTATCTACAATGACTAACAATTATTATAAGTATTTAATACAAATTTTATTCAATTCTACAATAAATAAGACGTATAAAGAATAAATAGTTGTCGTGGAATTTCCACTCCATTCTTTCCATATTGAATTAAAGTTAATATTTATTTGTGATCAAATTTTTTTCTTCAGAAAATTTTTATTGTATTTTATTCCAGTGATAGATTACTCGGTGAAACAATTTCAAATAATATCTAGACATTCTCGAAATAAAGATGAGAAAAGTGACTAAGACAGTTAGAGAAGATTCTTCAAGAACTTTTCAAACACGATAGAAAACTTTTAACTTACACAATTCCAAGTGAACGAAAAAATTTCATTTTCTTGTTAAATAGATATTGTTTGTGATTAAAAATTTTCTGATTGTGAGTACAAGTATACAGAATGGCACAAAAACAGGTAAATATTTGAAAAAAAGTATGAAGTAGAATTGAATTGCATATGAAAATACTTTGATAATATTTGGTGCTTTGTCAAAAAACATTTGAAAAGAATAGCAGATTCCTTTGTTTCAAACGAAAATATTACTTTTGAAATTTCAATGGTTAAGAAAATTTTATTCTTTACAGTTCAATAAGTAACTCAAAACGTTCTTTATTTAACAAAAAAAAAAAATACAAAAGAAAGTCTGAGGTGAAAAAATCCACTGATTAATCAAGGACCACTTATCTCACCATCATTTATTCTGTTTCTTTGCACCCTCACCAATACATAGATCACAGTCATTGCAATTCGTTCATTCTAATCAGCCCAAATCTTTATCCTAAATTCCCTTAAATACCACCATCTTTTCATCTTTCTCACTATTCACAAAGATAATCTAATATCCATCTTCTATTCTTGCCATTTTTCTCACTTTCTCCCTGCTTCTTTATTCTTCACCTTACACTCCACGTAATCTCAGTTTAAAAATGCGCTCTTAATTAGCAGTTAATTAACCCGTAAATTTCAATAATTCTTGACTTGCGTGTTCTGCTCGTATAATTCAATACAGTGTTATCGTTAGTAATTCAAATCAATTATCACACAGCTCTAAATGTCAGTAATCACATCTCCATTCCATCTTTTTATCTCCTAAATTTATATCAAATTTAATGGTGACAAAGAAAATAATATTTATGAGAGATTCAGTCTCCACTTATTTTTGCTCTCTCTATGATATAATATTCTCCATTTTCCTCGTGAATTATAATGCCGCTTATCACTGAAATGATAAAAAAAAAGTACGAAGAAATAAAACATCGACAAAGTGTTGATTTTTTGGTGAAGAAACAATAAAAATGCCCACAATCTAGCCACATATGGTGAACTATGCCTGGCATACACTACATAAATACAGTCCAAATTGATAGATGATACAGTCAGTGAAATATTTTGAATTCGAGTAGATACAGATAGCCGAAATAAACACCCCTTGTTGGAATTGCTGCTCACTCGAGATCATGGACCGCTTGAATTATCGTAGTCACGACGTTATTCCCGTGAGAAATACGTTCGCCGGATGCAGGCGGAACCGATAATGTGCTTCCGGTACAAATGCTAGTAAATACATCGTTCCGGGAGGCTAAAATTAGTTTCACCACTCGACTGTTTCTATCATTTAATTACATACCAATTCAGAAATAAGTATTTATTGTAAAATTTATTTCATTTAGCTTCCGCCAATCATGTTAAAAGTTACTCTCAAAACAAGATATGGATCTGCTAATCCTCAAGGAATTAAACCGAAAGCTTTACACTTGGAAACTTTGAGCCGATTACAAAGATTTCCTTTTCTATTTTGGCTTTAACTAGAAGTTCATTGTTGGTCGTTTATAATTTTTGACTATTTCATACTTTAATTGAGTTTTAACTAAAGTTTTTCAACTTATTGATTTTACAATTACCTGCAACTTGAATAATTTTATTCATATAAAACAATATCAATTAATTACTTCTTTAATATTGAATGACCTAAAAGTGAAGTTATAGTTGACTGCTTTGTGCATGTGATGTAGTAATGTTTTTATCACATCAGTGGTTATTTAGACGAAGATCAATTGGTGGTGATATTTTAGTTGAATAGGTATTTAATAATACATTGATGAATTAAATAAATTTTTCAGTGAAATGAAATGAAATAAATTGTTAATTTTTACAGTCAATTGATCCAAGCTTTTTCAACAGACACGCTACTGCGTCAAAAGCCGGAACTGATTCATCAAGACTGTTGCCAAGCTATTCACTTTTTAGTAGCAGTGCGATCTCGTCTAGACAAATACTAACATTGAAAATGTGTTTTCTTTTCAAATTTATATACTTTTTTCACCTGGAAAAATTACTCCTTTCTTCTTTTATAAATGATGTTGTTATTAGAAGAAAATAATTATGAAGTTATCAAAGAAATCTTTAATTTATTTTTAATGTTTATAATAATTAATGAAAATGTTTTTATCGTTGGTAACCAATTATCTTCTGCAAAAAAATGTTTATTCATTCATTTTTTTATTGCATTGAATATCCAACAATTTATTCGCACGTTGTTTGTGATAAAAAATCGATACAATAGTTTCTCACTTGGCTGGAAAATAAAAATTTAACAATTTCCTCATTTTCTCGTTGTTGAGATAACTCTATCTGGCACATCGATGTAATATATTTAACAAAAACGACCGTGTTTACTTGAAAATTTGATTAAAAATTTTCTGAATGAAATTAATTCATCAACAAAAATTTCCTTACCATTATATTCCTACGTATATTTCAAAATAATGAGTAAATAGTATCAACAAAAATTTTCAATTTAAATTCCAAGAATAACTTGAAAAAAATCTCTAACAATATTTGCATAAATAAAGTCAAATTACCAACACATCTGGAAAGATGATAATTAGTAACTTTGCAACAGATTTCAACTCTATTAAAATTTATGTTTAACTTGATACGTGCCAAGTGCATTTCATATAGATTTCCATAATTTGTGAATTTCCGAAAGTCTGTTTGCCATTCTCAAACTTTCTTAATAGATCTAGTTCAAGAATATTTAGCCAAGTTTATCATATTACTGTTCTTCTATTTCACGACTATTGGATTGAGATTGTAAAAAATACTTCAAACGAACATGAAAATATATTTTACAATGATAATAATTTATCATTTGAATCAAAAGATAGACTGACTGTAAGTCACTATTAAACTCAACTACCATGTAATATCGTTGAAATTAAAAAAGAACTCTACGAACTCTGGCATCATGTTCTAATGTGCAATAATAAATACTCTCCAGCAATATTACAGAACTTAATGTGCATTAAAAATGTTGCCAGAGTTGAAGGAATCTTTTTTATGGTGATCCAACTGAGCAGTTATATAAATTATTTTATTTTTTTCCAACATATTAAATATCTAAAAAATATTTTAGTAAAAATGGCGATGGCCTCTGTTCCTGCAAGGTAAGTTCTTTACATTATCTTTAGAGAACTCTTTTCTTTCATTCAGCACATCTTAAATTTCTCTAAAATTCTAGTGCAAGAACTATCTTAAATGCTGGTGGCCATTCGTGTTAGTCAGACGGAGAGAAGGGAAACGAAAGAAAAGGGAAATCATCATAAGTATGGTTGACTGAATGATAAAACGTTTTCGGAATCTGAAAGCTTTTACAACTTTATTCTATAGTTAAAGTTACATAAGTGAAAAATCTTGAATAAAGAGCGGAAGAGAACGTTTCGACCAAAGTTTTATTTCGTTGGTGTACTGCCACTGACTCGTGATAGCATTTATTCTTCATTTTTTGCACTTTTCGTTATTTCGAGTTCATGAATAGT